AATGTAATTACAATGCAATAGCAATAGACACTTCTAATGACAGGATGGATATGCCAATGTGATTTCCTAATTGTGGCCTTGTGCATAATGGGTGACTGTTAACATGGCGTGGAGATTATAGAGAGGTGTCTGAATGCAGAAACCCAACCACAGGGACTTGTTACAGTGCTGAAGGGCATAATGCCCAGGCAGGACTCCAGCCAAGTATTGATCACTACAGTTAGACTAGTAAAAGCCATTGAGAGGAGTTGATAGGGTGATTTAATTTGATTAGTTATCCATTGATCCACCTATACATTCAACCTTTCATTAAGGTTTTTTTATTTGTCACATCCATCTATCGATTACGCTCTTTTTCCTCCTCCTTTTTTGAGTGTTATTTCAAAGCACTCATGTCCATTCATCGACCATCTGTCTTTCACTTTGTCCATATGTGATGCTGCCATCCATCCATCCATCCATCCATCTGTCCATCCATCCATCCCTCCATCTCTAACAAGAGGACTGGATGGTGGCGTCCATTATTACAGAGCATCCCAGAATAGAGTCTCGTTTTATTACAAGTCCCTCTGGTCGCCGTGGCTCCCCAAATTACAGGCCAGGCTTCTCACACATAAAAAAGGTTGCGCTGCCGAAAACCAGCCACCTCAATAAAGGATGGATTAGAAAATCCTTTGCTTTTTTCCCTTCCTTTCCTTTTTGAAAGGTTTTCTGTACATTTTTTTCTCTCTGGTGTTTTGTTTTATGTTGGGGTGCAGCGGTCTTCTTCAGTGGTTTTGCTCCCCGACCCTGCGGCGGGAAAATACGCTCACTTGTGGGTTTCTGGGAAGGCAGCGGTGGACAAAACATCTGCTGGGAGCAAGATGTATGTAAGTGTGTGCGTGTGTGTGTGTGAGTGTGTGCATGATGCAGGGACACTGCCCTGGCATCCTGTTCAAGTTTACTGATCTGTTTGACTGTTAGCAAAACAACATACGATAATCAAAAGCACCTATTACTGATGTTTTGCACATTTTAAAGGTTCATCCAAAGTTGGAATTTACAATTAGAAACGACTAGGTGGATAATAAGAACAATACTTGCAGACCTTGTGAAGGAATGGTATACTTTTTGATATGATACGAGTTACAAGTAAGATGACATCATACAAGTGCTGTTGCTATTGTTTTCTGCATCTATTAAGAATGATGTGAAAAAACACAAATATTTCGACTTGACTTTGAATGAAGGATGCTCCGATATGCCAGATTTTTTATTATAACCTCTTTCAAAATAGTGTTTAATGATAATGTGCTAAAAATAAGCATAATTGAATGTTGTGAGTACATAGCAGTGTCAGGGCTGCCAAGTTTCAGAAAATGACAATAGTGAGACTTTAGTGTTATGATGTGTTCAGTCGGCGGCAAATTTTTTTTTGCCTTTTTTAACGTTGATTTATACCTTGAGGTTGATGTCCTCACCTCCATGCCAGCTGCTCTCCCTAATACTAGCCTTAATTAAACAGAAATTAGAAATGAAAATTGTAACAAGAATTTTGACGAAATACATTTATTTGTCAATATTGCATTACGTCAAGTGGGTTTTAAATGTCAGCGCTGTTGTGTGTTAAAGATAGTTAGAGACGTCGAGACCCACCTTACGTTACTTCTGATTGGTTTATAATGTGTGGTACCTTCCGTGGTTGGCTAGATTTAAGCACAAGGGACTGATGGATTGGTCTGGGATTGGTTATCTCGGTCCATCAATCAGAGTTACTCGAATTACAGCAAGCCAAGTTTATTATCATGAAAAAAATAAATACAGATTATTGAATGGGGAAAAATAAGCGTGAGAAATGTCAAGTGTGGTGTGAGAATGTGTCAAATAGCATGACTGTCACACTCAAAGCGTGATGCTTGGCACCTCTGTAGTGTTTGTGCTGGTTTACTCACATTATAAAAGGGAGGCGACTGAGCAGCAGCTAGCTAGCTATGGCAGCCCTCTGAAAAAAATAAAAGCATGACCAACAATTAATTTCTGACATGCAAGTTATTTGCATTTATTAGTGAAGTTTTTTAAGGTGCACCTTGCTTTTGCTATCTCTTGCACAGAATATTATAAAACTATAATTTCCTGATATTTTACAGCCATTATAACCTTGACATTATAACCTTGACATGAAGGTCTGATATTGTGACAGCCATGCTGTGACTGGCACTGTGAAACTGGTTTACAGCAGCTGTCCTGTCTGCTTTACAATGCAGTCTTGTATCTGCCTGTCAGGATTCTATTTGGCATAATCACTAATTACAAACATTACATACATTATGTAACCATGCCGCAAGCTCATTTTGAATCAGTAGCATTGACTGGGAGCTACAATACTCATATCTGTCCAATCAATACTCTGCAACAATATTTAAGTTCATCATAATGCCTCCTTATAATGTTTTTGTGACCTCCTCGATGCTGCCGTGCAAGAATACAGACACCGAGTTGGAGCAACTTTTTCTCACACAAATCTTGGCAAAGATCAAGATAAGTTTTCGAAAATTCATTACATTTGATTGACTAAATTGTGAAGGAGAAAAATTGGACAATGAACAATGATGCAGTCATTTCCATGTGAATAAGTCGTGGTCGGATCCTTGAGGGCTGATTACAGAGGTTCAAATACAGAAATTGAAGGGGAGACCAGACCGGTTTTGATGATGGATTAAAGAAAGATGAGGGGTCAAAGAGATCTATCAGGAATGTTTATGGCACTTTTTTCACATACTCTGCCTTTAAAACCAAAAGGAGAAATATAGCCCGGGACGCCGCCTCATTAAACAATATGAGGGCTCTTTATCGTGTGGCAACCCACCGGAAGTAGGGCTGTGACCCATCTTGGGTTCCGACCCATCGTTTAAGGAGCCAGGGTTTTACGGGAAGTGTGAATGTGGTGTACGATGAAAGGATGGGATGAGGTGTGTGTGTATGTCTGTTTGTGTGTGCAGTGCACGCTATTATTATGTTGCTGTGGTTGTAATGATGTAAGATGCTCGCAACGGAGTAAACAAGAGCAGCACGCTATCTACAACCAACATACAAAAACATCATGTTTTTCTCTGACTGAAATGATATGACAAAAATAGGAAACCTTCAAGTTAGGAGATAAACGGATAGTCAGCAAACTTTGTGTTCAGATGACCCTCCTCTCTGTGATCAAAGAGAGCTTTCAACCTTCTTACAGATTTTTTTCCTACTCAAATAACAATGACAACAACGTGGTTACCTGGCAACAAAACTCATTTAATCCTGGGACAAAGAAACTAACCTCCCTAATAGTGCAGTACCGCAAAACAGTATTTAATCAATATGCTATCTAATATTTTTAACTTTAATGTCTGAACTCTTGAACATCAGATACAACAAATTTGGTACATTCTCTTCACTTTAAGAGATTCTTTAAATCTCCTATAGAGCCACTACTACGGTAGCTGATGAGGGCAAACAGACTATAAGTTCTCAAAAACGTTCTAATATTAAAAAATATGTATAGTGGATTTATTTTAATTAGAATTTTTGTGAATGCGTTTCTGTAACTTTTGCACACTTTGCTGTCATCTTTAAGCTCAAGCTTTCCTAAATTTGCAGCTGCATTTATCTGCGTTTATTAAATTAGTTAAAAGTAGTCTCAGCAGCCATTTCACAGCTTCTGTCTGATTTTAGTGCTGCATTTGCCTCTGATAGGTCCAGTGACATAAGTAGTCACCTATCCTGTGAGGTATTTAAGCATCTTATTAGCCGACATAAAGTCTGTGCAGACACTTATTGTCATGAGCTGACATATTGCATCATACATAAAATTTTCTTTTGTGCACAGCATCAATAAGAATGTGTTGACACACAAACACACATAAACTAAGATGTTCAAATGATCACATTTTACCACTTAATTACATTTTAACATATTCACATTTTCATAAAAAAATAACATACTGAGGTTTGCATACAGAATAATGCACAGCTGTCCCTCACTAGATTATCAAAGAGTCCTGTCTGTGCAACATTATGTTTCTGAAGGCTAAAATTGCTAGTTATTTTTGAGGGATATTCTACATGTTGAGTAAAGGTTTTAACAATGCTTTTTTACCGAAACATGTAGTCATGGCTTTGAGATCATCTATAAGACATGTGAACAAACACTACATGACTGTAGGTGAGCTGGTCAGTGTGATAAAATGTTATTTCAAAGCTTCAAATGTTTTATGTGGTAAATATACATGCGTCAGTAATTTCATCTACCTTATTTTACCGCGAAAATGAGTAATTTATGGTTGTTTTTGCAAAATTTCAACTTATCAGCTCATGTGAACAGCACTGTTTTGTTTTTTTTTGGTGTTTAGTGCAGCACTGTTATGTCTGGTGTTTATTGTGTGTATCCCCAGAGCTTCAAAAGCACACAACAAACACTGAAGTGGTTTTAACTTGACTCATTAGTGTGGGAAATATCATGGTCAGGCTCATCACAGTTAGCTTTTTTATTTTGTTTTCCGGGTCAATGGAAATCGTTCCCACTATCAAAAAAACAGCTTTGGTATCCTAAAGAAAAAAGAAACCCAGGTGTCTTTCCATTTAAGGCTTCTGTCTTTCACTTTAATTTTAAGATATAAAAAATGAGTATTAACTTCTAGCCGAAATATTTTTTGTTGCTCTGTTGTCTGCTTATAAATCAAATGTCACAGTAATTATTTAAGTTTTACAGTAAATCCCTGCAGGATGAGAGAAGATCCCTCTGCTTTATGTGTATGGCTTTTACCCAGCAACAGCTACCAACCAAGTATACAAATAAGATGACACTTAATATTGATCTTATTATGAATTTATTGACTTAAAAATGTTTTATTTATGCAGTTTCCCCTGCCAACCTCTAGATATGTTCACCTCACATTTCACTGCAATAGATTGGTATAAAATGACTATAGGAAATATGCTACAAATTTCCCAATTTGATCATTTCAATCCTCTGTGGCAGGCTGATTGATCACGACTTATAATAAATGTATTAATATCAAAATAAGTTATCTAAAATAATTTATTTCCTCTGCCTGTATGAATCAATGAGGCTCATGCACGTTCTCTCTTAATGCCTTATTCAACCCCCCCGACCTCATCCCCCACCCTTCTGCCTTGTCAATCAGTAGAAGGAGGAAAAAGTCATTAAATCTCTCTGTTGGCCATACATGTAATTACAGTCTGCCTGTATGTTGCTAAATACGCCCCGGCGCTAGTCTGGTCTCCCTGGTCATGTTTTTTCCTCCCACCGGTCGTGTTTAAAGCTCTTATAATTGGCAGAGGCAGCGTGTCAGGATTAGAAGCTGCTGGTCTGAAACCTCGACCCCCCCGCCCCCCTTTAGACAACCACAACTTTAAACCTTGGCCTCCCTCTTACCCAACATGTCTTTTGATTAAAAACAGAATATCAGTAATTCTAATACAGTGAAGCTGTAGAGACATGTAGCTCTGAATGTACTCTCTTATGGCAGTCTATTTCATATGGAGATGTGGTGGCTAACCCAACCAAACACTCAACATTTACCAATCAATTTCTCTATTGAAATATCTCTCCCCACACTGTCATACCTGTGCTCTCATTTATCATATATCCCTCTGTAAAACCTTCTCAATTACCTATCTCTACATACTTATATGAAGCCTATCATGGATCAGATTGTTAGCCTTGTAAAGGTTTTTACAAGTGTTAAATAAGTTGGTGTATATTTGACTGGTGCCTGCAGGACGCTTGTGGTTAGTTGTCTACCTCTCTCATCTCACAGCAGTCCTCTCTTCAGCACAAGACTCTCCAAAGTGGCAGTCACTGCAAAAACAGCCCACTGTTGGAGAAAGTCCTCTCAGTATTTATACATATTTAACCCATCATTGGTGGTGTAAAATATTATCATCTTGATTAAAAATCCTGATGTACTAGGATGTAGCATGACCCTTTTTTTATTTTTTTTTAATTAATTCACTTTTCGCAGTACCACAGGGCTCCCCCTGTCTCACTGGTTGTAGTAAAAAAACCTTGTGGGTTGAGACAAATGAAGGTTTTTTGGGCCATCAAAGCATTTGAAGTCGAAATGATGGAGCTGATGGTCAGTGATGTCAGAAGAGATGTTGACTTTGTCTGAGTCACAGCTCTTTCTGGTCAGTAGAGCCCCTAATTTCTCGGTCTGTCCGCTGCAGTCTCCCTGTTTTGGTCTGTCTTTTAACTCGTCTTACTCTCACATCATTTCACTGACTCCTCTCTCATACATCTAAAAACTGTTGCCCTTTCATCCAGGTCAGTGTGCTGACTTGTGCCAAGAGTCAATTCATCGATCAAAAATGTGCATGACATGAATCTCTGTCCTCGAGTGGATATTTAGATGTTTGTGTGGATCGCAGGGTTAATTGGAAACACTTTAAGATCTTCTTTTCATCATCTTGTTGGTTGTGACTAATTAGAGAAAAGGTATCTAATTAAACCTTTTTCCATCAGAAGCTCCTTTCCTTTTTAATACATTTAAGTAATTGTGAAAGTGTATATACCCATCAGTATTGTATGAGGCTTTCTGTAAATTTCACTTGCTCTTTTGTCTGATCAGACAAAATCCGACAAAAGTAGAAAACTATTTTTTTCTGAACTATGTTTGAATTGCACTATAATGTGTTTGTTATTTAAAGTACATTTTAAACACCAGAAAACTGTGTTTTTCCAGGTGTCAGCAGAATGAAGAGCAAAATAAAACAGAAACTTATTTCGAGAAGGAGTTTTCAGTCATTCAATAATGTTATAATTTTATTGCCTGATGAAAATGGAGTGCAGATGTTGCTTCTGGGAAATGAAGGCTGCTCGAGGTATAATTATGGGTTGAAAAGAGGTAAAATGAGGCTTTTGATGGTGAATTTGATGTTGTTGACATGGCTGTTACTTTCATAAAGGATTCTGTATGTGTGGGATAGAAACATGTTTTTGATTCAGATGCAAGACTGAGACCGAAGCTGATGAGTGTCCTGGTATTTTTACATTTCATGAGGTGTCCTTTTCTCAGCAATACTCATGTGCTGTCTTTTTCTCCTTAAATGTCAGGCTCAGGGTGTGAGGTGAACAAGCTGTTATTATGTCATCCTCTCATATTCCTGCAGATCCTTCAGGAATCTTACAAATCCTTAACATTTCTCTCCTCTTTGATTATCAGACAAAAGAAACATCACTTTCTCTCCAATGAATGCTGTCTCAGCAGTTGTTTGGCCTTGTTTGTATAAAGTAGCATTGTCCAGTTTGTCCAAACATAGTAAATTCATCAAACCCTAGTGGTGGAAGCTGTCCTATTGGTAATATACAAGTACAGTGAAGTGACGCTCCTGTGTCACTAACTTGAATAAAGGATTGTGATTGGGTCTGTACACCATCTATTGGTGGGGAAATGTCAAAGACTGTATATACTATGGACAACTTGGTTCCGCCTTCCACCAATATACGGATTTGAAGCCAAAAAGCTCTCAGTATTTCCGGCATTTTCTCTACTCCCTGAGAAAATCATTGTCCAGTAGTGTTGTACTCATTCAGCGAGAGAGTCACCAAGAGTCGCTGTGGTGACGCTCGACTCAAACAGTGTATCCCCCGGGTGATCTACACAATCTTCGTACATCCATAGGCTGTATCAAGTGTCAATCATAGAAAACGTGAACCCCCTAATAACTTTTAAAACAGGAACTGCAGAAAAAAGAAAAAAAGAGGACTTGAGCACAAACCAGCCTTACAGTAACTACATGTCAACATCGCAAGCAGGAGGAGAAAAATTGATATTCTGTATAATAAAAAATTTAAATTTTTTAAAATAAGTCCAGCGCTCCATAGGGATTGCTGGAGGAGGCAGGATTTATGACCTTTACTGCAACCCGTCACCAGAGGGTGCTGTTCTCGCAGTGGCTTTACTCAGTGAGGAGGCAAACAGTGATCTTACATAGTTTATGAGAAATGTTAAGAACAGCAGCATTGCCAGATCCACATGCCAAATCAACACATCACATCCATCTGAACCCAACTCTCACTTTAATTTCATTCAGAAAACAGCAACAGCTTCCAGAGCTTCTAGATGGGGAGTTTTGTTGAGCTCTTCACAGAAAGGTAGAAGGTGTCGGAGGTCAGTAAGCAATGTAATGATTTCTGATTGGTTAGAAAGTTTTCCAAAGAGTTTTCAAACATGGCAGACCTTACAAGCATACAAGTTTAACTTATACTAAATTTTGTCACTCTATGGCTGGCCTTGTTTGTTCTGCATTCCAAGTATCGAGTTTTGATAACAAGTCTTTTCATGTAGTAAGTAATCACTTTGGAAAACACAAACGTACTGATGAATTGGAAGATAGGTAAAGCTCTTAGAATATTTCTTTGCAATCTTGAGCAAATATTAGGCAAATATGTTTGTTTTTTTCTAGAGTCCCAGACAGATAAAAATCTGGGTTTGCAACTACAGTTAGGAGAATCAGTGTCTAAATAACTAATATTGGCAAAGATTTGTTGACCTTGTCACTGCTGAGAAGGGGCCGAAATTGAGATTTTACTGGCTTTAAACCCTAATTAGACTCAGAGGAGCAAGCGAGTTCAGCTTTTAGGGGGAATCATGCAAATCTGCAGGTGTAGCACTTAAATCCAAGACAAGTTTCCCTTGAGAGGAAACAAAGTCTAATATCCTTTCAAACTGTAGTGTACTGTTCATACTGTGTCTTATAAACAGGGATGAAATAGAATATTGTATCATACCCCTTTGTATCATATCAGATCATATCCTTTACTTCTGTGTCATATAGCTTCCTATCGTATCGTACTGCAATATGCTGTTGTTTCGTATTCTTTAACTTTTTATGAATATATGAGGGACACATGATTCTCTGGCCTCTTTTAAAGCTCTCTGTTTAACACCGACTCAGTGTGTCATAAGATTAGATTAGAAAACTTTATTGTTCCCCAGTGGGTAAACTCATTTGCCACCTCATCCACCCATGTAAGCAACATGGACAGTCCATTTATAATATGCAACAAGAAAATAAATGGAACCAGAAAATGAATACATTTGATGCATAATTGACACAGTTTTGGTGAGAGCTTTCATGTGTTCATTATCAAATCTGACGGCTGCAGGAACATGCAACTTTCTGAGCCGCTCAGTGGGACACTAAGCATCACCAGTCGATCACTGAAAAAGTACATTAAAAACACCGTGCAGACGATGACCTTCAAATATGAGGACCATCTTTAGTTTGGTACTACTTCTCTTCCCAAAGGTAACCTCAAGAGAGTCCAGAGTAATGAGTCAATGATTGACCCAGCCTTTTTGATCAGCTCATTGATTCTGCCCCCCCCAATAAATGTACTTTGCAGCCCTATATTAACAGACCATACCCATTTCTCTGTGGCCTTTTCACCCTCTCTGCCTTGTTCTATATGGCACGTAGCCTCTGGTCACTGCTTTGAATGGACTTCATAAAAACCATTGTAACCATCCGAACAATAGTGAAGTATCTAAAAGCGTCTCTGAATGGGAATGTCTTTTTCAATAAACATCTGAACAATAAAACACTAAGGAATTTCCCTAAATTCTGTTTCCAAAAAATAAATATTTCACAGTTGTTGCTGTTGGAGGAGTGAATGGGTGTACCCAATAAAAGACGATTTGATTTCTGAGTTTATTTACCCTTTTGTGTTATTATTGTGCATTATTTTGAGCTTTTCTTGCACTTTTCCTTGAATCAGTAATATGGATTGTACAGATTGTATTGGTTTCATTTTCATACTCACAGTGCCTCATATCTTTGTTGGATTGAATGGATTTCCTTTTCTTCTCCAACTGTGAGTCTGTATTAGATTCTTGTCTCTCAGTCATTCCACTTGTTCTCTGTTAATCTGCACAGACACCCCCTCTACTCTTCCCAAAGGCCTACGCCCCCACCCCCACCCCAGACAGCTGTCTCACCGCAGCACAGAGCTACAATGTGACACCATGCTATAAATATGAGTTCACATAGACACACAAACACACACACACACACACACACACACACACACACACACACAGACTATAAATACCATCTCTGTGCAAAACACACTGCTGCAGTATAAATATTTAAGTATAAATGTGTAATGAATTTATTGATATGTTGCCCATGCCAGCAGGCACTGTTTTGAACCGCAGCGTGGTGAACCAGTGTGGTGGGATTGAAGTGGTGCTGAGGGATTGTGGGAACGCATGTTCCGAGTTAGGCTGCTGACCAATCGGTGGGATGGAAGCTGGAAGCCGCATCAGAGAAAGAGCTACTGATCAGTACCAGTCCTCATAGCCATCCATCTCTCTCGTTTTGCTCTCTTTTTTCACTTTCTTGGTTTCTTTATTTCTATTTTTTATAGCTTCTTTTTCACTGGAGTCAACTGGGACTCTTTCTGTTACTTTTTCCACCTTTCTGTTTCCTTGCTCCTTTTATCTACAAGATCATACAAACACCTCTCTTACTTTTAGTGTTTCAGACTTTTTGGCTAAAAAACAGCAATCCCTCTTTACCCATGATTTAGTCTATTTTCTTTTATCTCTGTTGCACAACATTTAATTAGCACTTGCACCAGAGCTTTCAAGAATGTGTCTGATTTATGAATGACAGTATTTTTGGCAAAAATTTGCTTAAAATGTGAAAAAAGATCCCACAGCTCCACCAACACTCGTGCAAATAAACAGATTTTCTGCAAAGTGATCAACAAGTGAACCGCACTGTCATTTATTTAGCTCGTGTGACACTGAGTACAGCTGACAAGCTGAGCAAAGCACTGAGACAGCACAAGATCAATATGTGAATTTGATGTAGAACTGAGGCATCCAAATAGTTGCAATGTGTGCTTTCACACCAGACACTGCAGCTATTGTAGTCTTGGTTTTATTGGGAGTCGCCAGTATCACTTCCTTTTGATAAAATCTCGATTAACTCTGCTGTTTACTCATAAAACTGTTCCACTGTCCCAGTTTCCTTCCTCAGTAGCAGTTGTTCCACTCTGCAAACTATTACCCTCATGGGAAACAGAATAAGATGAGGATTTCAACAAATACATTTCTGAGCGGATTATGAACAAAAGAGTCAAACTTCCGATAATATAGGTAAGATGGCAATTTATTGAATTAAACTAATTAAGACAAGAAACAACAAAACTTTGATGTTGCTCCTTTGGGGAACTCGATTAATGGCTTGATTTCAAATGTGTAGTCTCCCCCAAATAACCTGTGTATGGCAATAGCTGTTGAAACATGGCATGTGGATTTGTAAATGCTCTGAATCCACAATTAGTCCAAATGAATGAGGGTTAGGGATCAGTGATACTACAAGTAATACCCATAGACTGCATATAGATTTGACGCAGTCTGCCTCCTTGCTGGGTGAAGCCACCATAAAAACAGCATCCTCTGGTGACAGGCAGCAGTATAGGTCATAAATCACGCCTCCTCCAGAAATCCCTATGGAGCTGTGGACAAACTTCAGAAATCAATTACACGGAATATAAATTGGGCCTTTTCTGTTTAACATTTACATGATCTGACTATCAGATTATAGAAAACAACTATATCGCAAGTAGCTTTAGTTAGTAGTGTAGCGAGCTAAAAGTTCCTGACCAAGTCAGAAATCTGGGTGTTGACAAAGAGTCAGCCCTTTCAAGATTATTAAAAGTCAGCCCTCTGTCACTTATGAAATATATAACAGCTTGAAGGACTTTTGTCTGGAGGAAGTGGAAAAACATATACATTTATCTTTAGTTGACTTGGTTACACTCACAGTGTCTTTAAAGGTTTTCCAGTAAACTAGCAGACAACTGTAGCTGATTCACATGCTACTCGAGTCTTCATTAAGACCAAGAAAGCAGATCACATCACTGTAGTTCTGAGGTCTACACACTGACTCCCTCTCTGCCAGAGAACAGATTTTGAGATACTTCTGCTGGTCTATGAAGCATTTAATGGTTTAGGACAAAAATACTTTAAGTGATTGATCTTTTCATGTAGAATAAACCATCCAGACCACTCATGGCATCAGGGACAGATCTGCTTTCTGTCCCAAGAGTCAGATCCAAACACGATAAAACAGGATTGAGTTTTTATACTCCAAATATCTAGAACAAACTCCCAGAAATGTCAGGCCTGCTGAAACACTATTTTCTCAAATCAAGGTTTAAGACTGTCCCATTTATGGCCTCATTTCATCAAACGATTTTGAACAAATTATTTGTATCCTTGTTTTAGTCATATAGATCTGCCTTTTACCTTTTATTACATTTTAAAACTGTTATAGTACATTTAAAAGCTTATTTTTTAGCTGTTTTTATCTTGAATCATCTTAGATTTGCCTTTTGAGTTCCCTTGTTTTTGAAATTTCTCTATATTTAAACTTGCTATGTTACCATGTTGATCAATGATGGGGGCAGCAGCTAACTGATCTTCATGTTTGGGTTGCATCACTAAAACTCAAATTAAAAAATTGAAAACAGTTTTGATGTAAAACAAGCAACACACCTGAGATAACCTGTGGTGATTATGGTTAAGCACCAGCTAAACAAAAATGGTCTTCGTCTAATAACTTTAAACGTTTAAATTTTGCTGCGTGTGATCAGGGGGTCAAACAGCAATTTGTACTCTCCACCCTGGAAGGATTAGTATTTAGTTCAGCCTCTTAACCCCACAAAAAGTCCTGATGGGAGCTCTAAAAGATGGGTATTGCTCAAACTGTCTCAAACTGTTAATACTAAGGTCATTTCAGACAAAGTGGTTGGGCATAATTCTGGGTGAAATGTGAAGGCCTTGCAGCATCAGGCAGGACCTATTAAACCCTTGACATAAGAAGGATCTAGTCCTTACTCAAAATAAGGCTGATCACCCAGTTGCTTTCCCTCTTTATTTTCTGTACCAATTCAGTGCTTAAACTTGAGTAGAAAAGTTCTTATTCAGCCCTATACTCATGTGGAAATTGGATTCATTTGTTGTTAAATGCTTTGCTTAGACTGTAAAATGCAGCATTCTGATTCCTTCAGCATCCTGCTCATAATTGTGGTTTTTTGCTTCACATTTCACCTCCTCATTACCCCCCACCACACACACACACAAACACACACACTCAACCAGTTCCTCCTGTCATTTCTCTTACCTCCCCTGACCTCCTCTCTCCTCTTCTGTGGACTTCCTCATTTCTTATCATCCCCGCTCCCCGCTGTCGCCCCTCCCTCTGTTCTGTCAAAGCCACATCCTCCTGTCATTTATCCAGCTCCTCTTATGAGAGGTTACCGCTGCTTTTATTAGATTCAGGTTAGTGTGTCTATCTGTGTGTGCACGTGGGTGTGTTTGTGTGTAAGAAGAACTTGACTCAACACTGTTTTTATATCCCAGCATCTCTTTATTTGCCCGTTTCTGTGTTTACCTTTGAGCACCAGTGTAATCATCTTGTCACAACCTCTTTATATCCTCTCCTCTGCCTCACTTGTGCTTCTCCCCTCGACTTATTTGCTGTAACGTGTTTTATTTCTCCTCATTTTGCTGAATTTACCTGTTTGTCTCCCTCGGCTCCCTTTTCTGTTTTGACTCTTGTTTGCGTCTTTCCAATTTTCTCCATCTTTCATTCCTTCCTCTCTCTCTCTCTCCCTCCACCCCTTTGCTTTCTCTCCCTCTTTCTGCCCAAAGTTCTGCAGCCCAGCTGGCATGGTTTTCTAGTGGTGTAGTAAAATATAAATATAATAAGGACGTTTTTGAGCTGGTGAATCCATTCTGAGCAGAGAAACATCACCACAGAGCCCACAGATGTGGCACACACTCAGGAGAGAGAGAGAGAGAGAAAAAGAGGGGTGGAGAGAGGGAGGAGAAGAAATCCCTCAATTGACTTGAAGAGAGTGCAGCAGGAGCATTGGCTGCATTATTGTTGGCAGTATGCTGCTACTAGACGTGTTATTAGGACACTTTGCTCAAATTTGACCTGTCCTTGTCGACAATTTTCAAGCAACTCTCAAACATGGGTGGAAGAAAAGTCTCTTAAAGGGACCTGAACACTTAAAATGATTCTAATGGAGTTATAAAACCCATGCACAGTTACTGTTTTAAAGCTAATTTTCTGAATGCAGTTGTATTTAAATGTCATTTAAGTGCCATTACACGCTCATGGAGTCAAAGTTTTGTCATAGTGAAGTGGCCCATGTAGTTCATTATGACCATATTTGGAAACCTTTTAAATCGACGTGTCACATTCGCTCAATTAAAGCTCATGTGATATTTTAGGGTTCCTTTAATGTCATGCTGCCAAAATGAAAGCTCTCTGCGTAACTTAACACTGATATTGTGTGGATTTGAGGACCTATATGGCTTCAGTCACATACCTGCTTGCTTGTGTTTTCTTCTTTGTGCTTCCCTCGCCCTGCGCGTGGTGTTTTAGTGTCAGAGCACAGCCTACTCCAGTCCCCTGGGCAGCTCTTTGTTTGCTTTAGCCATGCGGTGGCTAGCCTAGCCGCTAACTCCAGGACACATTTAGCCCATGCTCCACTTTTATATCATCCTGCTTTTATTTTCCTTCTGTCTGAACAAACACTCTGCTCTGGATTGGCCTTTAGCTAGACAAGAATTGATTCAGCTCTCAAACTTTGATAGATTTTGGTTATTGTGTTTTTTTGACTGGCTGCTATGTTAGCCCCCAGCTTAGCGAATGAGAACAGAGTGAAGGCTCGAGGTAAAAGGGGCACATTCTGTATGTTTTATCTTCTTGTCTTGGAAAGTTAAAGCTCTCTAAGTTTAGACAGAACCAATCTGATGCTTAGAAATGGGGTATAAAGACCTGGCGTTAGGTATTTATTGTGGTTTGGGGTTGGATGCTGAAGTGTGTGGAGGGACAGAAGGAGGAGGAGGAGAAGGAGGAAGAGGGATGGCGGTTTTTGCCACCAGCTGTTGTTACCTTGAGCATAGCGGCCTTTAACCCCCATTACAGAGAATCACCACAAGCCACAAACACGCTAGCTTCCACTGAATGCAAAACAACTAAAACTCGCTTGTTTACCAGCTAATGTGCTATGTACTCACTCACTCTTACTCATTCAGCCCCCACCCTTTCTCTTTCTTTTATCATCTCCTCCTTTCACATCTTGCTCCCTCATTTCCCGATATGTTCTCAGCAGTTTTTCTTTGTACCACTTTCTCACCCTCTCTCATTATCTCTCTGTCTTTCTGTATCATCCTTTTTCTTCCCATATTTTTTCTATTCATCTCCTTCTTTGCATTTCCTTTCATCTGTTTGCCCCACTCAGAGCCTTTGTTGGTTAGGACCCGGGGTATGCGTGGGTAACCCTGGTGCCCATGTAAAAGCCCAGTGCTGTGGACTCATAGAGCCCCAGTGCCAGTAGATGAAAGCAAAGAGAGACTCTGGGGCTGGCACCCATCTCCCTCTGTCCTGCCACCGTGGCCTCTTATTTTACAGAGAAAATTAATAACTTTAACAAACATCAATGAGCCGGGGCCTGATGCTTGGTTGGCGTGTCGGCTAGTCTGGTGTGTGTGAATCTGTGCTGTGCACACATGGCTGGATGTGTGTATTTTTGCTTGTGTGTTTGTCGGCCTGCATGTGTTTTAAAGCTCATACCTTACACTATGTGAAATAAGTTCACACAAAAAAAAACTGTAAGAGGGGAAAGTGACAAGTTGATGAAAAGTAATAGAGATAGTTTTTTGTATTATGGTGTTGGGGCTTCACTCTGGTTTGGCTGGATCAGATTGCTGTTTTCTTGAAGGGCCGTGGTGTCCTTTCTTGAGGCGTGGATGAACTGAAAGATGGATGGATGAAGGGAGGGAGGGATCAATGGATGGATGGATGGGCGAATGTGACCACTTCTGAGGCATTGTCGACAGCCGGGCTGAATAGGCAGCAGGCCTGCCAGCAGCCACTCCCGTATTTATGATCTTCAAAAGAAAGATGACACACACATACACACTCACGCACAACCACAAAATATTGATAGTTACGGTAAAACACATGCTCGTGCAACTGTGGGTAAACAACGATTTGCATAAAGATTTCTGCTTGCTCACTGGCACACATTAACCTTTGTGCACATTTGTTGGCACACATAAGGAGGTAGGCCAAGGAACCAGCTCTGCAGTTTGCACAAACCTTTTACTTACTCACTGATAAGTATTAACATTTCTGTGCTAGATAAGGGCGCCAAGTAAGGGCTCGGTGTAAAATGTAAGGGCCAAACCCGAGGCATGCGCAGAAGGGTTTATGACCTATGTTGCAGCCAAGTGGCAGCCTCTGGTCCTGAGAAATGCAGCTGATGCTGAAGTGCTTAAAACTGCAGTTCCCTGAGTGTCCACTTGAGGCTGGCTGCAGAAGGAAATCACACGCACACTAACCCAATAATGACTGTTTTTAGAGCACAAATAAAGGACATTCACAGTATGGTTCAAACTGTGCTATTGGTCTGAATAACATAGGTAATGTTATTCAAGTCGATAACAAGTCGATAATGGACTGGTTGAGGTCTCGCTACAAACAAGCGGCTGCTGGAAGAGAGTAGATGAGTTGTGTTTCGTCTCTTTGCTAAAGAAATAAGGCAAAGCTAAAGCACTGTTTTGTTGGCCAGTACTATGTCTGGGACCCTATATGTACTGTTGATGAAGTGAGGTGCTGTTCTGAGCATTATTTGTGGCTATAGAGTGGCTTTTTGGTTGAGGTTTGTGTATGGCTCCTCAGACCGCTGTGTATTGCTATTGTGCGGTCATCACTAAAGTTGGTATAACTAGGCAACATTCATCTCTCGAGGGGGTGTCTAACTTAGTGTTACAGTGTGTTTGACCCTCACTTAATTTTACGCCAGAATATCCCTTTAACTGACAGGTGGGCACACTGCAGCTATTTTTGCTTCTTGTAGGTTGAGTTAGCATTACCACTATTGCAACTGCTGTTGATAGACTCCAAAACTCACAGTCTGTGAACACCCACAGTGCCCATCTTAAGTGAGGACTACACATCAGCTGTTTAGGGTTTAAAAACATTATCTGTAGGAAGGCAGGGGTAGCCAAAGGTTTCACCACTAACTCTGCGGAAAGAAGGAGTGATTTCATATTATGATGGATCTTTTAAAATCTTTTTAGTCTTTTTCTTGAAGATTGTGATAAGAAATTTAGGTAGTCTCATTTCTGTGTGATTTAATGCTAGCGCCAACAAGGAGTTAGCTTGGTTTAGCCCCAAAGACACAGCATGGGAAAAATTAAACTCCTTTTGAAAGTAGCAAAACTGAAGTACTGACACTCCATGACTCTTTAACTGATATTTTAATGCAAGATGGAAAGACCATTTATTTTCAAATTTTCATTTCCTCTTACATACATTTGTCCAACTATTTTTTGACCAGGGACAGTGACTTTCTGGGGTTCAAATCTTGCTCAAAGTTTGGAAGAAACTCATTTTGCCAGTTTTTCCCTGCACAAAAAAACAACATTGGGCATGTCCAGACATGTGAGATCAATTCAGTATAGATGTCTGTATGAGGGGTGTACTGACAAAGAAAGGCCCAGAGGACCACAACAAAAACTATTATAAGCAATATTTTCATGGATAATGAAGCCTAAAAAGATTAAATTGACTAAATTATAAAATGCTCTTATTAAAATTATGGCACTTGTCGTGTTGGGGTCGCTGTTGACCAGGTTTGATCAATATCTAATAATTAGAGCAAAAACTGAAATCATAAGTGCACCGTCAGTCACCACACTGACAGTCAGATCCTCTTCCAATCATCCTGGGTGCGTAGTAAAAGCTAACACAGGAGGAAGGTTAAATGTGTTCAGGATCAGCTTCTAAGCTTGTTAGCTCACAACAGAAGAAGGTCAGCTGTCTTCCTTCATACTTAGCTGAATCATTATGCTGAACTGAAACAAGCTAGACTTAATTAAACCAAGTATGCTAACTGTGTCTGAAAACTCACTGGACAGATATATGAGAGCGTTTACCCCTTCAGTCTGATTTTCATCAATAGAGATCAGTTTTAGTAGTCTCACTAACTGCTCTGTGAGGCAACTTGTCACTAAAAGAGCCTTAAAAGAAACCAATGATCATGCCCTCCACACCGGAGAGAGAAATTTTCCTTGTACCATGAGGTGATGATTCTTCATCCGAGTAAAAAGACAGATAGAAATTAACATTGGTGGCTCTATATGATTCAGATTTCTTTTAACCAGTTTGTACAGTCCATACTGGGAAAGTCCTAATGAATTTACACTAGCGTCAGTTGACAGTCTATTTCAGCTTAAAGGTAAACACAGCTATAGATGGCTGTTTACTGTGAGTGAATCCCTCTCTTTGCTTTCCTCTGTCCCATCAAGGCACATGAAAAGCGGCGGTGCAGCAAAAAATACTTTACAGTGTTTACCTTCACAAATAATAAAACATAAATTGTGGAAACCCTCAGCCGTGTACAGTCCTGCTCATTCAAAGGAGGCTGCCCTGAGAAACAGGGGTGAGACCACTGATTTTCAGCAGGCAAATATTTGAAGAGCTAATTTGGTGGGGTCAGGTTTGCTGGTGTTGAACAGTGTGTGTGTGTGTATGCGTGTGTGTGGGTCAGCCACAGGCAGCCACGGAGCCAGACAGCCAAAAGTTATTAAATTAAAGATGTCCATTTTAGGAAGCTTGTGAAACGATGACATTCATTTTGATTCTATGGCGCTGTGATCAAAGTCATTAACAGGTTTAGATAGTGAGTCAAATAATCAGTTTGCTTGTCAATCAATCAGTCAGTGAGCCCTCCTGCCAAAAGTCCAGGCAGTCTGTCTCACAGCTAGTAAATTACTCCATTACTGAGTCAGTCAACCAAACACTATCAAGCAAATCAGCCAATGACCCTTGAACTTATTTGATATTGGAATGCAGCCGAGAAAAAAAAAAAAAACACCATTGGCTACCTACTCTGGAAAACAGATTGGTTTAATTGATTGTGATTGCTTTGTTGTTTACAAGCTAAAACACAAAAACAAGGTTTTCAAGGGCACAGAGAGTGAGTCAAAGACAGCAGCTGGACACGAGAGGTGGCAGTAGTACAGGACAAAGCTACTGTTTACTATGCTGTGTTCGAGTGTGGACAGGGCTTTCCAGTGCGCCCTGCATGTGCCCAGGAGGGGCGGGGTGGGTGGCAGAGCAGGGACAGCGGGAGAGAAGGGAGAGGAAAGAGGAGGAAGGCAGGACTGGCAGGGTGCGGTCTGAAGTGGCAACAGATCGTTTTGGATCACTCAAATCCCTCCAATTCAACTGGAAAGCTGCAGCTTGTTGCGCGCCGGCCGCATCTGGAGAGGAAGAGCTTTCAAACCAAGCAGCAGGGCTGGAGATGTTGTGACAGTTCCCAGCGCAAAAAGAAAGAGAGGGAGAGAAACCACAACACTGCAACTTGGATATCAGTAACCACTCTCTCTCTCTTTAACTCTCTCACCCACCAAATCGACTTTGAACCTGTTTGTTTAAATACACGGACTTTACAGCCTGCACACTTACTGTTGATTCTGTCGGGCGGTGGGAGCGAAGTTTCTTAATTCGGTTCAGTTTTGTTTGGAGCTGCTGGGAACCTTTTGGTGTCCTCATGGTGCCGGGTGCAGCCAAGGTGCTGAGCTTCTTAGATCAGAACTTTTCGGACGTGATACCGCGACTGTCACGGACGATGGAGGCGGGAGCAGAACCGGAGAGGTACTGAAGACATCTCTCTCTCCCCCGGGAGAGTCCTGCCTCCCCCTGGGGCGATGCGGATCTCCTTCCTCCTGCTCACCGCCTCTCTGTGTGCCTTGGTCCTCCTCCTCGCACCTGCCTCGGAGGGCTGCGGACCGGGGAGGGGGTACGGCAAGAGGCGGCTCCCGAAGAAGCTCATCCCGCTTGCCTACAAGCAGTTCAGTCCCAACGTGGCCGAGAAGACCCTTGGAGCCAGCGGGAGACCCGAGGGCAAAATTACGCGCAACTCCGAGCGCTTTAAAGAGTTGACGCCAAATTACAACACAGATATTATCTTCAAAGATGAGGAGGACACGGGCGCAGATAGGCTTATGACCCAGGTAAGAAGGTCAGAGAAGTGAACGGGGAGTTCGTGGATTAAAAACATCACGCACAGATGCGCAAAGGTGGACTATCGATCCCGTGAAAAGAAACAAAGTGCCCTCTTTCTGGAGTTTTTAAATGGCAAACTGACATTTTCTCTAGCGTGTCGTGAGATGACTGCAGCAGACCACTCTCAAAACTCTGAATGGACTGCTTCACTTCAGGCAGATCAGCCACCCTGTTGCATCTCTTTGACTGTTACATATTTGCCGTCAGTTAAATGTTTAAACCAAAATGATTGATTTCATACTCGAAGCCCTTCGTTTCATTCCCGGATTTTACCTCTAAAAATCTGTTACTGTTGTTCCTTTTGAATACATATTTTACTCCAATTCTAGACCTCATTTTAATAGAAAATCACACTGTCTTTGTAAATCACACTTGGACATGTGGAATTAACACCTCTAACTTTCATATTTCATATAAAATGATGATGATTTTTATACTGGTTTCAAGTCATAATCTGAAATTTTAGCACCGATTCCTGTGCGTTTCTATACGATATCCCTCGGGCTGTAAAAACAACTACAGTAGCTGCTTTACGCACATGCGTGCCAACCTCCCGTTTTACTTATTTCAAAGAAGATCCTTTAATCTCGCACGAATTATTGAGAACTGTAGTCCAGTGCTACCTGATCAAATTCTTGTAAATAAATACCCTCAGCTGAGAGGAAACTTGACCTCAAACTTTATGTAAGTGTCTGGAAATTTGCTGAATCATCCCAAGCAGGCTAGTTGTACTTTGACCATTCACCTGACAGAATCCACCTGACACAAATGCAATACAGTAAAAATCTGCCTTTGTTACCATGTGTTACTGTGGAGGTGCTCTCATCATATTTGGTCAGACCGGATGGAAACCTTGTTTATTGTTTATTCATTCATTTGTCCCTCTTGTTGTCCTTCTGTCTCACCTTCTTTGTCTCTGACTGTGATTTGTCACAGTCACTTTGTTCCCATCATACATGCTGAAAGCTCACAATGTTAGTGTTCCTCTAAAGACGAGTAACTCTTGCTCACATTGGTGCACCCAAATTCATCAAACCCAGCTCTTCTTTTTTGTCCCATCTATCTTCCTCTTCCTCCTCCTCCTCTCAGTACTTTTCTTCTTGCTTGTGTTGTTTTATCTCTAACAGCCGACCTCTCTTTTACCCATTTTAGCGTTGTAAGGACAAGTTAAACTCACTGGCCATCTCTGTGATGAACATGTGGCCGGGTGTGAAGCTGAGAGTGACAGAGGGCTGGGATGAGGACGGTCACCATTCAGAGGATTCTCTGCACTATGAAGGACGTGCTGTGGACATCACCACCTCTGACAGGTTGGCAAACCACAGGGAACATGCTGTGGATTGAATGAGATTGATTACATTTAAAAACTGATAATCAAACTGTTAAGTTAACAAGTTTGTCAGCTTATCAGCAGCATGATGAGTCAGCCAGAGCCTCCATGAACTTTCAGTTTATTTGCTGAGTTTAAATTTGATGTAAAAACCTACACATTTATGTTTGAGCCAGAAGTCAAATAGATCCTGAAATGACAACATTTTAAATGAATTACATCATCATGATGAATGTATGGATGTCAGCTGGTATATTCAGAGTCTGGTGCAGTGTGTGCCAAAATCTAATCAAACTTCATCTGGACTTAGTAAAATCTGTTTATACTCTCCGTAGGGACAGAAATAAGTACGCCATGTTGGCTCGGCTGGCTGTGGAAGCTGGATTTGACTGGGTCTACTATGAGTCCAAAGCCCATATTCACTGTAGTGTCAAATCAGGTAAGGGACGGACATGAAACCACAGTTTGTGTGTGCGCGTGTTTGTGTGTGTGTGAGTGTGCGTGTTGACTCTATATGTGTTTGTGGACAGCTGTCATTACCACTAATGAGGTCGATACCAGATCCTTTGTTGGCAATTCACTATTGGTTAAACTCAACCTCAGTCGGGTGTCTGTCTGTGTGTTTGTGTGCGTGGCCTACTGGGAGCCAATCAAAGCAGGGTGTGCACCTGGGCTCTGCAATATTTGCTCTTATATCTCAGCACATTAATATAATAAATATGGAATGTTTGGCTGTTTAATGTAGAAAAAGAGCTTGTGTACATTTTTTTAATTTTAGACCTGAAAATTCCTGTGGTTTTCCTTTTTGAATTTGATATTAAATCTGTGATGAGTTTTTGGCTGGTAGTGTAACAAGCTGAAATCAATATTGAGGTTTCTGTACAGCCAGCATCACAAGCATCATCATTAAGATAGATTTTTTTCTTAATAGTTAGATTAAATGCCTGTCACCCCTGCTGCAGGGCAAATGTCAGACAAGGTGGTGAACACTGCCAAAACAGACACCCCAAAGAATCACCTCAAGTTTCATTAAAGACTTTTTAAATGAAGGAGGATAAGATTTGTGTTTATTAGCAAACTCTAGTTTTGCGCTTTAAAGTGAGATCAGCTGAGACTTACACTTTTTATACCTGGGCTGCCAAAAGCAACACACCTTCTCTGCAGGAGCTTTCAGTCACACAGAAAATTAAAAAAAAAAAAAAAAAAGCTTCATAGAGTTCAAATGTAAATGATCCACCAAGTGATATACCGAGATATTTCCACTCTGTGGCTGTTTGAAGTCACAGTGTGCCAAACAGTGTGAGAGGTGTGGTCTGTTTGAAATAATATCTGCTGCTCTGGAAAAAGCATTTTATGGCTGGTATAAAATACGATGACTGATAAGTGCTTTCTGATGAGTATTATAAGAGGGTTTTAGGTTATCAACAACTATGAGGCAAAACAAAACAGAAGAGTGTCTGAATACTTCAGGTTTGTATAAAAAGGGACTTTGATTAGCTTGAGGATATTAAAACAACATCTACTACATTTATAAAACCTCATTTCTGGAAAGGAAAAAAAAAGTGCAAGAATATCCAAATATATAAAAAAAATGTCCTGTATGTTTAAAGTGACAGCTGACTGTCCTTTCTGCAACCCTGTGGGAGTTGATTTCCCTTTCTCCTTGTTAATATTAACTCACATCATAATCCAACACAAACTCTATGAAACACAAATCAAATGGAGCTCAAATTTCAACAATACTTGGCAGCTTTTCATCGCTTCAAATATTTTAAAAATCCATTTTCCTCTGTCTGGTACCACCAGCTATTTGATGCCAAACTACATTCTAGCCCTGCACTGAGGTTAGTAGGCTGTAAGATGATTAACTCTCTCTTTGTTTTGCTGTTGCTTTTCCTTCAGTAGGTTTCTCTCAGATCTCTTATCTCAGTCTTATCACCTCTCAGTCACAGCCCTCCTTTTTCTGCAGCCCTCAGGCTCACAGACACACATACCTTGGGCAAATATTTGGCTGCCTTAAGACTGCTCTAAGAAGACCATCCCAAGAATAGACACATACATTTGTACGGGTGCTTTTCTGATTTTGTTCTATCTTAAATATTCCCAGCTAGTATTCTCTTCAACTCTATTTTTTCTGCCAGTTTACCGGCTTTTGTCAGTCTCATAGAAATGTGCGAGTGCTCTGTCTTTGTGGAACAGCTGAGAGTGAGGCATGTGACTTCATTTAAAACACAGTCCAAACAAAATCCAGACCCAGGTCTGAGTCTGTGTGCTTTTCTCTCTCTCTGACCCCGAGCCGTGCTCTGACTGCAGTGATACAATCAGCTGGTTATCCATTAGCTCTTACTGACTGCCTTTTCCTGCCACCTTGTCTCACTATGTCTTAGAGGAACAACTTATATATAGAAACAAGATGAAATGTAAATCACGTGGTGTTTTGGCAACAAAAATGAATGTCTACTGACAAAAAACACACAAAAAAACATTTCTTTAATTCACATAAAACGGTATTACTTCCAAAAAGACAGAAGACCAGCAAGACAGATATAAAATCAGATACTTGAATGGGAGCTGGTCCTCTACAAATTTGTTCACATTACTTTTCACATCAAGCCACAGCGTTTCAAATTACAGGATGCACAAATCCCATCAACATGCTATTTTTTTGTCACATTAAGACTGCTGTTGTTTGTCAGGTGTGTTTGTCTGCGGCGCGAATGAGGTCAAAGAATAAAAAGTTTGGACATGACTCAGATTATATGCATATGTTAACAATCTACCACTGATCCACTGAGATAAAGCTGTCCTTGAGTCAGTGTCAAAGTCTCTCAGGTTTATTAGACCACTGAGTGATCATGCACCACTGTACAAGTCCATGTGTGTCTGCTGTGTTGAGAAAAAATAAAGGAATGAGCTAAACTTCATCAAAAACAATAATCCGTCTTTTTCTTTCTAGAACATTCTGTAGCTGCCAAAACCGGCGGCTGTTTCCCTGGTGATGCTCAGGTCACCATCGAGGGCGGGGCTAAAAAACAGATGCGTGACCTCCACCCTGGAGATCGTGTCCTGGCCTCCTCAACCGCAGATCCTCGGGGCCCTCTCACCTACAGCCCGGTCTTAACCTTTCTGGACCATCAGCCAAACACCACAAAGATCTTCTACATTATTGGCACCAGCTCAGGACTCCATATTACCCTCACAGCCGCTCACCTTATCTTTGTCACAGACTGTAAAGGTGAGCTAAATGAGGAAGAGACAGCTAAGGAGGCACTTTTAGGCTCTGTAGGGGAAGACAGGCCTAACTGGGAGGCAGAGCTGAGGACAGTTTTTGCCAGCGAAATCCTGCCGGGACAGTGTGTACTCACCTCACATGGGAAAGAGGGAGCGCAGGCTGAACTTTCAGTCGTCACATCTGTAGAGGAACGGAGGAGCACAGGGCTGTACGCCCCTCTAACCCAGCACGGGTCCATAGTTGTGAATGGCGTGTTGGCATCCTGCTATGCTGCCATGGACAATCACCACTTGGCCCACTGGGTCCTGGCGCCACTGAGGTTCTTCTACAGCCTGATGGGACCCTCAGAGCTGGAGACTGATGGCCTACACTGGTACCCCTGGCTTCTGCAGAAGCTGGGGCAAATACTGCTAGACGCTGGACACTTCCACCCCTGGGGGTTTGAGCAAGGACTCATGTCTGAGCAACAGAGACATGTCTCACTCTGATGAATTCTTTCACTTTTCTGTATTCAAAGACCTAAAGCACAGACTGACTCTTAGGGTGGAAAAGTGTTTTCTTTTTTTCAAAAATTTGCCTGTATTTGCTGTAAAAAAATCGATTTTGTAAGGAGAAGGCTGAGAGGCTTGTTTTATAGACACAGTGAGGTTTAGATGAGTGAACAGACCAAGGTAAAGACAAAAATTCCAGGGCAGGTCCATAAGCTCTTGATGAACTTGAGTACCAACAGAAAATACTTCTTTCTGTATCAAGAACTGAACCCTGTTTCAACAAGATCCCATTGGAAAATGACCAAAAAAATAGGCATGTGACATGAAAGACAAGACAAAACAAGCGAGTCAGTGTTGTTCAGAGCTTTATATGTGCATTAAGTATTTAGATAGCTGCTGTTCACAGTCAGTCATCACTGCAGTCATTTGGTTGTTTTTATGCTGTATATTCACTGACAAAACAACAAAAATTAAGGGATAAAATCATCACTATTAACTCAGTGCAAACTAGCATTTTGCTAGTGTTGCATTGTAAATTTTTGGGGCTCTTCAGAAAAGCTAATGAAGAGCAGGGAGCGATGATGGACATGGTCAGGTGGTACACACTTGAGATTTACAGCATTAGTGACGTGCTGACAAAGGGAAAGACTCACGGCCAAGCTGTCAGTGAACTTGATGGTCTCAAACTGATTAATCGTTCATTTAAACATTAATTTAAAAAGGTCTCATTTTGTTTAATGTTGTGTTATTGTTTTAAGGTTTGTGATTCAGGTCAGTTTCATTGAGTAAAGCCATACAACAACACTCAGGCTGTATTTAACTACTGTATTTAGTAACAGCTATGCATTATAGTTGCCCTGTTTGCAGCAGCCATGGTACTCTGATATCGCGCTCAGTTCAGGAATCTAAAATTCTTTTATAATGCTCAACAGATTTTTATAAGATTTGAAGTATAAAATTTGTAGATGCACTGATTAGTTTCTCAGGTAGTACTTCGGATTTGGCCGACACTTGCTGTTATTAACTACAGACTCATTAACTTTATGTTGTTTCATCATCCATTTTTCATCATCCATGTTTTGTCATTGCGAATATTTCAGAGTATGAAAATATTTGCTGACTCACTGGGTGCTAAAAGTTAAGTCACAGCAGCTAACATTAGCTTTTTGAAACTATAATGTTGAATTATTTCATAGCATACACTTAACTATCAAATGTTAACAGCCTGCCTTTATTAGCTGCCTCATATAGTAGCTTTTCTATCACAGGTGTGTTTTCACTGTTATCTGAATTGATATTTTTGTGAACAGACATTCACAAACCTTACTTACAGCAGAACAGCATTATAACACAATTTTCTCTTTCCGCTCTGAGCTCTTCATCTGTGGTCGCTGGCTGCTGTGTGAATAGGTTGAAATAGTTTATAGGTAGAAAATCTTTGTCATTACTAAGTTATTTAATAGTTTTCCTTTTGCATGGTCTCTTTTTTATATTTCATGTATCAAGAAAGGCTGGGGTTGGAGTGGCAGAGACACAGAAATGTTAGGTTTAAACAGTAAGCAGATGTGAGAAATGGCTCATCAAGAACTGCTACACATTGTCCATGTTGAAGTTTATTGCGCCCTTTTAAGTGTCACCTATTGAGTGTATTGGAACTCCAAGGCTTTACTCTATATGCTTACTAAAAGATATGTCACATATGTATATTGAGCTATTGTTGGAGAGACTATTTAAAGATATATTTTTAGAAAATATTGTAAACTAATATTATTTTCAGCAATGTTTGCATACAATTTGTATTTGAAACATAAAGTTGTTTTTAAAGTAAACTTAGTCTATGCTTTCTTGACTGTGGTCATTTTAGTCCTTGGTTATTCAGAAAGTGCCTGTTTTGATAGAGAAGCCCTCACTCTTGTGAAATAAGACACCATGAAGCATGATGATCATGTGACATATTGATATGCAAACATCAGTTACATCACTTTTGGTCACTGTAAAAGGTGAAGTGTCATATCTGCTGGTACAATGTGGGTGCAGCATGAGCTGTGGTTAAAGGGTGGGCTGCTGGTTGGTTTCAGTACCACGGACAGCAGCTCACAGCCACCCTTCTTTTTCCTCTGCAGGATGCCTCATTTTCCTCTTTGCAGGATAGGAGAATAAGTCCTTGAACACAGCACAACCTGCTGGAGAACTTGGTAACTGCAGACAAAACCGTCAAAAGATACAGGATCTTCCTTGAATAAGTCATGTGCAAAAAGAACGACAAAATATAAACAAACAACAGAGATTCTAGGTAATCTTTATTATTATTGGTCGTTTAGGTACAGGAAAAACATTTTGTCATACCCCATAGCTCATTGGAGGAGACTCATCCATTAGGACAGATAGAGAACCAGACCCAGGTGAAACACTCACCACCTTAAATGAATCAAAAATAAAACTATGAAAGTGACTGGTTTATGTGTATATCTGCAGGTGGTGCCTTCACATGAGGCTTTTTACATACATCTGAAAAAGATCATGCTCTAGTAAAGTGGTAAAATACTCCAAACCATTACAAAAACATGTCCACCTGAGTCTGGAGTTTGAAAATATTCTCTCTGTGTCCCGTCCCCTTGCAATTACCTTCATCTCTGTTTGGACCACGATACCCTGGCAACATTTTGAGGCAAAGCTGATGGACAACCAGCAACATAATCGGGGCTGATTTGAGAGGGAATGGTGGAAAAATAAATAATATAAACCAGCCCACCAACCTCATTGCAAAGATGAACAGGAGTGACTATCCTAAATTGGATGTAAATAAAAATTGCCGGTTTTCACTGCCTCAAAAGTGACCCAAGTATCATTGTCGTAAATTAAGGGTGTTCACACAACAACACATGGGAAGTCAGCATGCTCACAGTAACTCACATACAGATATGAATGTCTTTATAGAATATGTATCTGTCATCACAGCTTGGCAAAATTACACTTATACACAACAAATGCACGAGAACACCTGGAACCATAATACCAGCCAGTGGAAGAAGACCCGAATACGTTTGAGTGGTCTTTGTCCAGTCAGACAAAAAAAACTCCTGTAAAATGGACAACCTCATCGCCTGGTAGGCAGGTGGTGACATCGTCCAATAACGATAGCCTATAGATAAAGAATTTGTTTTCCAAACAACTCACAAACACACACGCATACAAACGCACACACAAGCATTTTCACACACGCTTGTTACATGTTAATAACATCATGATAACTGTGACTATCGTTCGAGTTGTGACTGACTGAATGATTGACTGTGAAGCTATCCCACGTTAAGCCACTCCACCACTGGCTGAATGTGAGATAGTTTGAACTACCTACAGTAAGCGGTTACGTTTCGAGCAGTAAACCTGACAGAGGTACAAAACACTCCAGTACGTCATAAGTTGGCAATTATTTTGACATAGTTACATTAGGCTATATGTAATCATTGCTTGGCAGCATAGAAAAATAAAAGAAGTTGCTCTGGTGCATATTCTGAATCATCTGCATTGAGTGAAGTCGTCTCTCTGCAAACAGAAGGAATTGTTTTTCGGCACACTTTTTATAAAACTGGATGAGGCTGGCTCAGTTACTGTATATTTGAGTAGCAATAGGGATGTTGCCATACTTGTCAAACATTTATACTACCAGTGGCAGCTATGATCGCTGTAGTGTGTTGCAAGCTATCAAGCACACCTGGCTAGTGCATATTTGGACTCCATCATAAGAGAATTAAATCAAGTTCCTTCTCATGCTCACTCCATCAAAAATCACACCACAAGGATTAAAAAACATGAATGTTACAAATCAAAACACTCATGTTTTTCTACTCTACAGGCAAAGACCAGCGATTCTGTTAAGATTTTAAAAACATTTCAGTAGTCCTTGACAACGTTGGTGTCAAATCACCAGTAAACTGCATATTGTTTCAATTTTGGGTTCATGTGACTTAAACCATCAATTTAAACAAACACAACAACCATGAGCCCGTTTTTTTCACAAGTTAATATCAAGGATGGAGCAGAAAGGGGGTGAATTCAGAGGGCTTAGCAGCAAATCCCAAGGTGTCTATGGGTAAATGGCTAATAATATTAATTATCTAAAGCCGGGATTGAAGGGACCCATCAAAACTCATCAAATGGACACAGATGACAAAACTACAACAAAGTACCAGGGTCACATTTAGGAAAAAAAACTGAAACTTCAAGGATGAAGTTGTTAAATTATGAGAATAAAGTCGCTGATAAAGCTCATCTTTCCAGTTATTAAAATTAAAAACATGTTGCAATGACATGATTATAAAGCTGTGATTTACAAGAATGGAGACACAATTGTAAAAGTAAAAGGTGTATATTAAGGTCATGCAAAAATATGTGACTAATATGAAGAATGAGAGTAACCAGCATTTAGGACAGACTGTTTGAGAAACTAGGTATGATAGGCAGACAGTAATTTAATGATGTTTTTCTTAAAAAAATGTTCTTGTGACGTTGACTTTCACCTTGCAAAATCTTGACTTTATTCTCATTTATTAAAAGGTGATTCTCTGAGGACTTCATCCTCCCAAAATTAAGGCTTTATTTTCTTAATATCATGATTTTCATCTTGAAATCTCAGTTTTTTTCTGTTTGTGGTCCTTCTTCTAGTTACTCATCCCTGGTTGTGCAAAACAAACCAAACCTGTGTGCCTGAGAAGAACAAACTTGATGGAGGTAAATGTCTCTTCATTTTCTACATGGTTTAAATTCAACTATCTTGTGTCTGTGTTATTCTTCTAGGTGAGAGGTTCTTAACTTAAGGAGGACCTGTTCATGCTCCTTTTACCTGGTTTAAGTAATCACATGCACTCATCCTTAACAGTTTGAGGACTTACACTACACTGCTACACTTGGCATGATCTTCCTTCTTCTGCACTGTCCTATATCTTCCAGAAGCACATCTCATTAGTTGATTTCCTTTTATGAAGGTGCCTTAGAGGAATTAAAATGAGCCATGACGTAAGAATTAAAGATTATTTTGCAGTAGCCATTGCAGAGTCACCCATCCCTGCGTATTCTATATTTTATATGATCAATATTCCTCTAGCAGAGGTTTCAACAGGGAGTAGGGCTTTTGAAATGGCTACATCTGTAATGGGTACATGTTGGCAGAAAGCCACAGAAATGCCAAGATCCGCTTTTCGCACAGTGTAGCAGACCTTAGAAATGCACGACTTCAGCCCGGGCTGTGAAAGCTCTGCTTCTATGGCCAAAGTCCTTTTGAAGATACAGTATCAGGGCTGGAGAGAGGGAAGGTACATTTGGGGCAAGAGAAAGAGAGACATAGAAAGTAGCTGGAATGACGTCCTGCCCTCCTCTCTCACAGCCTTTGGGTGAAGTTTTCAGGGAATACTCCTTTGGCGGCATTTTCTTTCTTCTGTTTCCATTCTTCCGAGTTTATTCCCATCAGCCAGCCATCATCCTGGAAGCAAACAAACAAATATTATTTTATCTCACTATCTCTGTAACACATCAGTAAAGATGTGAGTGTTTATTTACCTGTTCCTCAGGGTTGTCAAAGGTGACTACTAGCACCACATCGCCAGCCTTCATCTCCAGTTCGTCTGTGTCATTGGCAGCGTAATCATGCATCACCTGGACCTATATCATTAAAACACAAATATCAGTTATCTTGATTCAAACAGGCTAATTTTATGTTCCTACTGTTTTTTTAACCTAGATCCTGTTTCTACCTTAAATAGAAAACCAGGTGGCAAATCTGGCTCCTCTGAAGCTGCTTCTGTTGGTTCTGCTTCTGCTTCAGCTTCTGCTTCTGCTTCTGCTACTGCTGCTGCAGGCTCCTAAAAAAGAGGTATCAAAAGTGCAAAATAAGTCTTATTTCTTAAGTAAGTGTTTCGTTTTAGAGCTTGACAAACTATTTTACTTCAAACTATTAGATAAATACTACCTTTTATCTATAAACCCATTTTACATCATCGTCTTAGTGAAATCCCAACAGTCATGCATATTACAGTAACTCCTCTGCTCTCACCTCCTCTGTTGCAGCTTCTTCCTCTGTTGCTGGAGCAGCTGCTGCTGCTGAATCACTCTGAGAGCACAGACATAATAACAGAGAGAGGTCAGGGGATTATACTCAGATTAACTCAGGCAGGAGGGAAAATAAAGGAGAGTAGAGACAAACCAGACAAAGACAGACAAAAAGACAAGCCACACAGCCTCAACAGTAAAGTTGTAACTACACAGTGTTGTTGGATTGACAGTAAGCTTGTTACAATTGCACAGTTGCCATACCTGTTAAGCTTTTTGCATGTTAATAAGAGCCTCTATACTCATCTCTTCCTCTAAGCAGTTAGTGATCATCAGCTTGATGCATCCATGCTGTTGGTCCAGATGCATCCTAAATCTTTCCATCTCAAGATTTCTCCACCTCTCACTTACAAGTCATTTCTATATCAACTTTTTCTTTCCAGAACCCCATGCTCAAACCTCTGCCTCAAACACTGATGCATCCACCATTTCCTTCCAGATGCATCTCTCCATTTTTTCTCTCCGTAGTTACCTGACCCTCCTCCTCCTCCTCCTCCTCTGCAGCAGCAGCAGGTGTTTCTTCCTCAGCTGGAGCCTCGGCTGCAGCTGTTTCATCAGGCACCTCTGTGACCGGCTGGCTCTCATCATCGTCCCAGCCCTTCTGGGCTTCAGCAACAGGATTGTAATGAGCTTTCTGACTCTCATCATCCACCTCTTCCTCCTGAGCTGAAGGATCATAGTGAACGGGTTGGGTCCCGTCATCCCCCCACCCCTCTGTGGCAGCTGCAATGGGGTCATAGCGTACAGGCTGTGAGCCGTCATCTCCCCAGGCATCTGTAGCAGCAGCCACAGGGTCATAGTGCGGCGTAATGTCCTCTTCCTGGGCACCACTGTCCTCATGCTGAGGGGCAAGGGTCGGGTTTCAAGGGGTCAGAGGTCAAAAGACATATTTTACTTTGTATGCTTTGTAAGAGCATCAGAAATCAATGGCTGGGGAAATGTCAGGGGACAAAGATAGGGAAGTCAAGAGGGGTAATCTGACTGAGAGTCAGGGACCATCAGAATCAAGGTTATTTGTAAGATTTTTCGGGCAACTCATGAGGAGAGGAACCACAAAACTTTACAATTAGGGTAAAATGAAATACATTTAAAATCAAGAGAAAAGGAAATTTATCAGAAATTTAAATGGGTACGATCAAGGTAAACACAGGTTTCATCTCATATCAGCGAATATATCTTAAGAGATTGGGGGGGATACCTTTTTTATATGCAAAAAAATATATATACTTTTTAAACTAAACTAAATATAAATGTGCTTTGACAATATCCTATATATTTATCCATGCAATGTTAAGGCTATAGACATGGCTTGCTAAGCCTTTCAGGCACAACCGCATATTAAGAGTTATTGGATAGATTGCATTTAGATTGTGTGAAGACATTTTTTTCCCTCACCGGAATAATTTATTTCCAATACCTGAATTAATCAAGTGATTTAGGGCTTTTGCTTTTATTTAAACATCAAATCTACATTTAAGGTCTGGGGGAAAAGTTGATATTCGAACTGGGATGAGCCATTCAAAGTAATACAGTGTACCAGCGCATCAGGCCACCTGAAGTAGTGTAGAGGGTGCATTCTTATTAGCTAATCCATGCACTCTTCACCTCAGTAAACTAATTGGGTTGTACAAACAACAAGAAGATAGCTGTTTGTCGACTTCTTGCTTGTCAACAGCGACAAATTTGTGGGCTCACCTGCTGGCCTGCCACTCATGTGACGCAGCAGTGGCAGAGGAGGAGGCGCAACAGTAAGTGATCAACCCTGTATGACTGCCTGATTTATGGCAAAAAAGCCATGACCGATAAAACCGCAACATTGAAATCTACCCTAACATTTGCACATCATGTTTTCAATATTAAAGTCCATTTTGGGAAAAACTGACAGCCCTAATGCCAACACCTGTTCAAGGTCTTCACTACTGAAGTTGACAACCTGACAGCAAACATTCACACGTTAAGATTAGACCAAAGCAAAGGTTACATCCATAGACTGTTTATAGAATAGACGCTGTCTGCATCCTTGTGATGAAGCCACTGCAAGAACAGCACCCCCTTTGATGGGCTGCAGTATAGGTCATAAATCCTGCCTCCTCCAGCAATCCCTATGGAGCTATGGACTCCATAGTTACTGTAAGACTAAGTCCTCTTTTTTTCCGTACAGCTCCATTTTTAAAAGTTATTTAGGGGGTCATGTTTTCTATGATTGACACTTGATACAGCCTATGGGCGTACGAAGATTGCGTAGCTCACCCAAGGAATAAGCTGTTTGAGCAGAGCATTATCATAGCAACTCTTGGTGACTCTCCCGCCAAATGCATACAACACTACTACACGAGTGGTGGTTCCAAGAAGGGGAGGAAATCACGGAATGTAATGACGGAAGGCAGAACCAAGTTGTCCGTAGTACTGTATATAAAGTCTATGGTTATACCCACCGTTAGCATGCTTTAATTTGCTGTGTAAGCATGGTGTTAGCATTTTATTCACAGGTTTTAATGTTTAAAAACTAGCAGTAGTTATGTGTCACTAGCTCAAGAAGATTGGCTTTGGGGATCTAAAGAAGGAGGAGGGTTTCAGGAATTGGCATGAAGCAGGGGATTGAACTTATTTGGCATATTAAAGGGAAAAAATTGATAACTTTTGCAAAGTATGAGGAGGAACAGGGACAAAAGATGCCATGGAGACCAATGTAAAGGGTTCAGCAGCATTATTAGGAAGTCATCATCATCATTAACATCAGCGTCATAGGTCCCAAGAGAATAGATGAAGAAGAGCACAGCCTTGCAGAAAAGGTTTGGTTAAATTAAGAAGAAAAACAAAGATGCAGATAGGCAAGGGTGGCAGCATAAGGCAGAAACGCAAAAACTGTCAGCCTTTTCCCATCAGAAAATAGATGCTGGATCCTCTGTTTGTGGTTTGCAAGCATGATGTGTACTTCCACGGCTATGTTCAGATGGAGAAAGAGGGAGGAAGCTTTGTAAGAGTAGAGGTGTCGTTTCTCTCTGAGCTATCACTGCTTTGTCTCAAAGCAAGATGAACTTAACATTTGTTTTGACACATCTCTCTTACAGCAATAAGGATGAACAAAGGGTTAGTCAATGGTCAGGATGTCAAGTTGTAAGAAAGTTGCCCACTGGCTACGTTTGGTGATCTGTCCAGTCTCATTACTATGAAACAATCCACTGAAAACATGAGCAACTTCACTCAACTTCCTCAACAAAACTGTTCCCTGTGTGTCACATGGAGCATCTAGCTAACATGTAGAAGCTACATGTTGTGCAACATGTACATACAGGGATAAAGGGCAAAACAGAAACAGATCAGTTCAGTCACAAATATTCCCTGATACTCTAACATGATGTCATATTTGAAACCGAACTGTCCCTTGCAAAACCCCAAGTTCTATTTGTGCTGTACGACAGTCTCAGTGTTTAGTGTTGTCACATAAAGCACTGCATACACACACTCAACGCACAAACAGATCTTGGACAAACGAATGACACAGAACCACAAAAAACTTCAGAAATCCAGCATGCAAACTCTAGGTATGGAGCAGCATGCATTTTCAGAGTAGGGCTGTATAAACAAATGTTAACATCAAAACGTGAATGATGGTCAACATGAGCACAATGAAGGGTTTACAGAAACACTATGATTTATGTTTTGTTTTGTTTTTTGCTGATTGGAAATGTAATAAGCTGAGGTTGATACGCTTACCCATGAGTCCCAGTTTGCAGACTGCAGGAAAAAAAAGACCAGAGTTAAAAGAGAAAAGGAAACTCCTCACACAGGTCTGGCCAAGGCTACCGAGAAAGCTCCGGTGCAGGTCCCATGCTGTAAAACTACAAGCCCATAGCAGAAGATCTCCAACAAAACAACTCAGGCAATACCCTGTTTAAAGAGGCCACAAGAGGAAAAGACCTGAGAAGAGTAAAAACTCAAAAGAAATCATTGTGTCTTAGTCTGTGATTGACAGTTTTTCTGTTAAAGCTCCTATTAGAAATTTTTAGCTTGTAATGAAACTGACTGAAATCAATTTTGGTGCTTGAATGTGACCTAAAAAAGCAAACAAGACCATCAGCAGTGGCTGAAACCAGTACCACCAAGTAGTCATCAGATAAAGTAAGTTACAGCAAATCTTTGAAGTTATTTTTCCATATATTTTCTGTTACAAAATGACCCGCTCTGTACCTCTGTAACTAATTAAATGGGCCAAGGTGTAGAGAAGGGAATATGCTAATCCTCTGTCAGATATTGTAATCCTGCATGGAATAACTGAGAACTTATCGATCCCATCCTCTCAGAATCCAGTAAATTTTAGGCAACTCAAGTAGATGCTGGTATCATGAAAGTTCAACTCATATCATTCCAGTCCCACTACAGTCTACTGAGCAGTCCTGAAAAGAAGAAAGTAAGAGCAGAGCAGGGTTTAGTCTACAATTCATGCCATAAGTGACCCGTGGATAGTGCTAAAGCAGGAGAAAGTGTTTTCTAAAGCAGGGCTCTACAGATCATCATGCTGTCATCCACCTCTTGTTTGGTAAGTTGGAAAAAAGCAGAGCAGGTAACACCTCAAATTCTGCCAAGCTTTTCAAGTGGTTTCATTTTTATCCAGACTGAATAAAACTTACTTCAATATCTATAAAAAATCTAGACTACCAACTGGAAACCCCCAACAATCAAAAAAAGGCCTGAAAATTTCTCTTCAACTTATACATTATCGGAAACTTGAAACTTTTTCAGCATAAAAGATCAAACCCCTTGTAAAGCTTGGCATTTGTTGCTGTGAAAGGTCTCTAAAATCTAGGTTTTCATGCCATAATTTGTCCACCTGTGTGACCGTGGGGGCTTTAGTTGCTGCACTGAAAGAGTCCAGGTCCATGTCCAATAGGCTGCTCACTGCTGGACTGTCAAACTGACAACAACAGGAATAGGAGGACTCATTGGCTGACTGGGTGCAATAGAATAGAATAGAATAGAATAGAATAGAATAGTAAGGTAAAGAATAGAATAGAAAAGGCCTGAATAGAATAGAAAGAACAGAGCTGAACAGAATAGAAAAGAATAGAATAGAAAAGGATGGACCAGAATGAAACAGAATAGAATAGAATAGAATAGAATAGAATAGAATAGAATAGAATAGAATAGCAGGGGGAGACAGGCCTATAGAAGAAATATGAAAAGCTCTGACCTGTCCAGGAGAGTAAAAAGTCGATCTGCCTGTTTGACAACAGTAGCTGCTTACTGACCTCTGTTGGTGAAGTGACGCTGATATCAGGGGTGGCTGCAGCATCAAACAGTCCGATGATGTTTTCTGTTTTCATCTCCTTGGACGGGGTCACCTTTGGTGGAGGAGGCACTGCTGGCCTTAGCTAGGTCGGAGAAAATTATAAAAAGATGTAGTCTTGCATAATGTTATACCAGGGCTTGACATGATAGTTACACTATATTGTGAATACGGTCAAGATAGTGTACCCAACTCCTTATTCAGAGGCGACGGGGATGTTATTGAACAGTCATCTGTTAGACAAACTCAGATTTGTTTTCATGGACTGACGTAAAAGAAATTATGGACAGTGTGTCTGAGAAGGATCTTTGACATGCAGTCAAATAACAATGAGAAACACTAACTGTTCATAGAATGAAAGGCACTTCATTTACACTTAAGAGGATTTCAAGCTACATGACTGCCTCTATATGCACTAACATTGAGTTGATGCAGTCAGGACATACACATAAGCAACCTTGCTGGTGGGATTGAGGTCAGACCAGCAACTAACCAAAACATTACGAAAGTCTGAGATGTGCTTGCTCCAGCCTGTCAACAGGGGGAGCTGTAAATCTTTGGGCTTCAAGGTCAGTGAAAACTTATATTGTCCTTTTACATAGATGTATATGGTCTACAGTAAGAAATGCTTCAGTGACAATTCAAGAGAGGGAAAAACCAGCAACAACTGAAATTCAAATATTGTGGCTCACTTAAAAATAGACATGTAGAGGTGTAGCTAGGCTGTGATGATAGAGCAGCAGTTTCAGTATTGACCCTGATTTTAAGTATTGGTGCATCCCTAGAGCAAAGTAAAGCAAAGTCCTTCCTTAATTCAGATCAATTTTTTTTCAGCAGAAATGAACATTGCTTTTTAAGGTAAATTGTAGCCATAAATTAAAAGTGGTTAAAGCCGGCCTGGTGTCATCCATTTGGTGCCCCCTTAGCTGGACAAGAGGTTGGATTTACTTCTCTGTTTTTCTAGCATTATCCATGATTGCAACTCGTTAGTTACAAGAGAGCTGTGCAAAAAGTCATGCATCCTTCTTTATCTCTTTTTTTTTTCCAAATTGAATCATACTTTATAAGTTGACAGAGGTAATAAATCAACCGAGATGCAGAGTCACTATTTGCATACATGCAAACAATCCAACTAATTTTGCTACCAGGGTAGTTCCCCCCACAGGCCGTTAAAAGGATCACAGGTCAGACCAGGAGGCTTCAACATCCTTAGATACAGTCTACAGTTGTAAGTTATTACTTTATCAAGGGCTCTGAAATGATACTGAGTAATGGTTAGTGTTTTTAGTACTACAAGAAACAGCCTGAGTGTGTGTATGTGTCACTGAGTGGGTTTACCTTGGATGGTGATTTAGGGATTGGCGGTGGTCCTCCTGGCCTGAGAGTGTGGTTAGATGCATCTTTCCCACTAAGTGAATTACAGAGAGAGAGATGGGGAGGGCAAAGAGGGAAAAACACTGATTACAGAGAAAGTACAAACAAGGATCACAGACGGTGAGAGAGGAAGTCTGGCAGGGGTTAAAAAGAGCAGCTAGAAGCTAGCACAGCTTGATAAGTTAAAAAAGGCATGCTCTACAAGAGTCTAAGCAGAAGGTGGAACTGCAAGACCTGTCATGCAAGAAAAGTGAGTGGCCTCCTTATCCATCCCTCTCTTTTTACTCCAACCATCCCATGCAAGCAGGCTTCTTTTGTGCGTCCTCTAGTTTCCTCAGAAGCGAGCAGTGATAGAGCATTCAAAAGCAGCCCCAGATCTGCAGGTATTTAAGGGCTGAACACATGCAGCTTCCTGCTGAACCAGGAAATGTTGTTTTTTAGTGGGCTTTACATGGTAGCTAGATGTTACTTCCAAGCACAATTTTAACAAGACTGGAAGTGGATCTCAGTTAAATATACTTTTGTAGCCTCACATGGAAAATGTAGACCAAAGGCAGAAAAGCTGCATAATGTGGGCCAAAAAACTGGTCCTGCTTTCCTGATCTGGCTTGATCTACTGCTTTAGTTTTGTGGTTTCATGTTGTGTATCTGTATACTTTATCATTGTATGAAAGCTTTACAAAAACTGCACAAAGCACAAAGACAAAGGGGCTCTGTGCACCCCAGCTACATCCAATATATGTTTGCCCTGTGGCTCCCATATACACAGGACCATCCATCCAGCCATGTACAGTACAGTACAATACTCCCACAGCACACTAACTGTTTACCTTCCTGGTGCAGCATGAAACATGCAAGTTGCTCAGCTCTTGAATATTTGCAGCTCTGAGTGCTTAACTCTCAGATAACGCTCAAAATCCACTTGCACATCCAAGCACTAGTTAACTCTTTTCTCCCAAGTCTGACTGACAGACAGTTGGACAAACAGGTCAGTTCAACAGACAGACAAGTTTTTATGTCACCATTGTTACCACAGTTGCTGCTGGTTACCTCCTATTTGCTCCTGACGCGGCGCCACGGCTACCTGTCTTTCTGTAAGGGATGTTCAGGGGTGGCTCCAGGTTAATGCATGACATTAACTTTGATATCTTGTGCTTTGATATATTAGTGTCATTTTACAGAAAAAAAAAAAGAAAAACTTATGCTGAAGCTAAAAAAAAATTGATAATTTACATCCACATGTCCTCCAAGACTACTTTTTGATGCAGCACAAACAGGACAGCAAACATCAATGTTTTACCCTTGTGGTATTTTCTGCTTTTTTCTGCTTTGACAAATAGAATGAAATAGTTCTCAGTGGCATGTTAGCTGCAACTCTTTGGAGAGTTGACATGAAAATAAAGTTTCTCTTTTGGTATAAAAAAAAAACATCCAACCAGGGAAATAAATGTGTTTATGGATTAAAAAAAAAGTTTAAATTTGTTATTTCAATACTCATCTAGCATATTGACTAATGTGCTCTCAAGAAGTTGAATTATTCTCTCACATTTCTGAGAAGATTTAGGGCCTGTGTCCACTAATGACATTTTTAAGCTAGCAATGCCTATTTTCTGAACAACCAATGCAGTTCAGGGATTGCAGTGCTCAGCGCCTAGGCACAAAAACACCCTTGGCATCATTTAGTTTTCATCGCTGCACTCTCAGCATTCTCAGTTAAAAATAGTTCAACTTTTGGAGCACCGTCACACTTACTATTTCGTTTTACTTTTCCATCATCAATCAATAAAAGCAAAGACAGACTTTAGACATCAACTTTGTCAGCAACAAAAGTGGCAGTCTGCAGGAAGAGGACTGACCTCGCTTTTTCTTTGTGAATATATTAATTTCATTGAATAAAAGCAAGCATGAAGTATACACAGCATTTTGAAACATACAAACAGTCATTACTAAGAAAATAAGTCCCAGTGTTTCCCCTATGATGTATTTGGTAGGGTGCCCCGCCCTGCCAGTGGATACCCCCGTCCTGCCAACGAGATCCAAAACCAGAAATTGAAATCGTGGATTAATGTATACATTTAATTTCTATTTTTGTCAAAACGGCCAATAAAATATAATTTGCACAATTCCAGACTCTACAGCTCGCAATCGTTTCATTACTTTCGAGAAAAATGTATCCAAAAGAAATGTACCCGCTCGCTCCTCTCTCTATCTTACAACAAACATGCATGCCGACATCCCGCACAGCGTAGTTTAAGGGACAGCATGTCAGCGCCACTGATTCTGGTATTCTGATCGTGAGTGCTCACCGCTCATACCCTGCCAGTTTTGAGCAGGATGGTTTTGACAACCCGGGGTTCTGGCTCATATCCATCATGTTTGCTGCCAACAAAACAATAAAAAAAAACAGTCTTGGAGCACCGAACTGTCCCTGAATATTCAGCACCCCAATTAAAAAAATATCTGCATTCCTAAAAAAGACAGTACTTAGTGATGCAGATGCCGCACATTCTCTTGTTGATGCTAGCTTAAGCACACCCAAAAACAGCACTGGCTCATCTCCCGCCACCATCACCACCACCACCATCAAAGCGAAGAAGCAAGGGGAAACACTGACTCCTGCAGCCTAGCAAAGGTAAGCAACAGTAAGATGCACACTGAAATTGTGGTTGGAGGCACTGTAAGCACAACAATGCAATCAGTGGAAACAGGCCCTTATTTGTGACTGATGTTTGAGGTTTAGCACTAAATACATTTTCATGAAGACATATAGACAGTTGTTTTTCAGGAAACTGGGAAGCGTCATCACCTCCTAAAGGTGTCTATATTTGTGGTACCAAAAATAATCTTCATTATATAATTATGCTGCAAAAATATCTGGACATCTGCCTAGATTCATAACCGAAATAAAAAGAATATGAAACAAAAATCCATTTTCAATATTAATAGTTTATACAGTCCATCTTGAGGCAATCTCCTGCTGCTACAGTGATGACCATGGCTCACTAACCTGGTTGGGTCTGTTCCTTCCAATTTCACCAAGACATCATACAAATCCTGATCCAACTGCAGAGAGGACAAACGACAATCAGGATTACAACAAAAGCATTACTGTCCACAAGCACATTCAATGACTTAATCAATACAATGTTATGGTTTTTTTTGTGAGTGTTCCTAATTGTGCCTAGTGCTACAAGCTTTTTGTGTAATTGTGTCCAAATTCAAAAACTGTAATAATTACTCTCAAGCTTGGTCAGCAATACAAGAGATTATCTCACTGAACACAGTTTTAAGGTCATCCAGTATTTATGTTTCACAGGCCAAAGGAAGGCAGACTTTGCATTAGGTTTCAAGAAGTTCTGAGGGGAACAAACAAGCTTTATCAGACTTAAAAGCAAACACAGCTGACGTAGATAACCCTGTTCTTGTCTGCCTTTCTCCTCAATTGCAATCTGATATTAGCCTCAGTTTGTTTCTGGTCTTTTCCCTAAAGTCTGCTTTTATGAAGGTGTAAACACAAGCCTTACCCGGCTTATTTCCTTGTGGAACTTCTCCTCAAAACCAGCCAAGCTCTGGAAGGTGCTTACGTAAAACCCGACACGACTGCATAGAGCAGAGAGAGAGTATTGATTGAGTTAGTGGCTTGACTTAATTTGATGTCCTCTCAAGGCAAATGTAGCACAGATGTAAGTGAAACGTAATTACAGAAGCAGTACATTAAGAGGAGAATCAGTTTCCACACAGACTCCCTCATATACACATACAGACCTGTTCCACAGTGAAGGTAATTCCTCTTGCAAGTCAATATTAATCTCCTCAAACACCTTCTGGGCTCTCTCCAACTCTTCCTCTGCCTGAAACACGCACATATACACATGCACAAAAGTTTGTGATTGATTCATGTCTGTGCATGCATGTGTGTATGTGTGCAGGATTTTCATGTACCTGGCTCCTGGACAGACTGCTTTGAGCCACATTGTGTGCAGACAAGATACCCTGAGCCCAACCTGGAGTGGCCCGCTCCAGCAAAGAGGAGGGCTGGAAGACAGATGAAATTCAATATGTGCACCCATGAGGCATATTTTTAGACACAGAGCAGTATTAAAATGGACCTTGGTAACCCTTAAATCCTCACGAGTTATTTTGGTAGGGATCTTACTTAGTTGCAATTTGATAAATAAGTTCACAGAGGAACCTGCGAGTATTTGGTAGATTGATTTTTGGTTAAAAGAGCAACTTTGACACAGGTACTTTTGGGCATTCTGGGTGGCACGTATCATTCAGTAGATCAAAGATGTCCTGCAATATGCAGCCATACCTAGCAGGTGTATAGAAGTGTGGCTACCTGAAAGAGCAACTTTCATACAGATACTTTTTGGGCTTTCTATAGGCAAAAACATAGAGGTTGCCGATCACTGCAGCAAAGCATACAGGACACGTATCAGCTCCGTCGCAGCATCGTATCGAGAGCAGTACGGCTAAAGATATGCAACAAGTCCATTTTTGCAGCTCTATGCTTCCAATTCGCATTAATCATCGCATTAAACATATTAAAAACATAATATGCGAACTCCCGACTGTGTATGAGTTTGTGGAGATGAGAAATACTTCCTGGTTCTCCAAATACACATCCTGTATACGATACCCAATGCTGCTCTACGCAGCAAATACGGAATGCGCCCAATACAGATCCTGTATGTTTTCGGCTTAAGAGTCTTTGGGCAACATGTATCATTCAGAAGATCAAGATGTCCTGCAATAAGCAGCCATGCCTAGAAGGTGTGTAGAAGTGTGGCTATCTGGGGCACGTTATGCTGGCTAGAAAGTCAGCAGCTTAACCATCTACATCCAGCTTTAATATTTGCTTTGTGAGTGAGCAAGGTATTACAACATGAGTGAAAGCTACAGTGAGCTGAAACTTATGGCATCAAGTTTTAATGAGCAAATGCATCAAGCACTCTGGTATGCTCTTATTTCTTATCGATATGAGTACATTTTATCAGCCATGCGTGCCAAAAAGCCCTTTCATCATGTCAGAGTGTTTAACAAATACAGCAAGTGAAAACAAAGCTTTGCTGTATGTAGTTTTACCTTGGTGATTTTGATGCCTCCATCCTTTTTCTTGGTCTTGTGTGTAGTAGCATAATTGTGTCTGGCACTGTCAAAATCCACCAGCTTCCTGTCCCTCTTTGCTATACGAGCCTGGATACAAAAAAAGAGGAATAATTCTGTTATGTTATTTAGTGTTATTCACATTAAAGGTGTATTTATGAAACCAAAGTATGCTGCAGTTTCTTCATTTTTGACAACAACACAGTGCTTAGCTTATTCCTGCTTTCACTGATGCTCTTTAACTCTCATTTTGTCTGTAATTTTGGAGCAATCAAGCACTACAATATCCTTTGGCATCATTTGAGTTTTCACTGACCACCCACCTTGATATCAGGGAACTGGCCCAAGTAAGTATCCATGGAGATGAGAGCATGATCAACCAGCTTTTGGTGGTAGTCAGTCCACAGCACGTCACAGTCCTGCAGCAGGAATAAGTATAATTGTACAGAGCACAATCACAAACACACAATATTGGAGAATAAAACAGAGTGATCATTTACGAAGCTCTTCTCATTAAAATAGTCTTGAAATGGTTTTGGTGTGTTGCTTTGTTTCTAATTTGAGAATTTTCAGAATCTTCGTGCTGCAAACTTGCAGATTACCATCTTTCTGCAGATGGTAATCATAATAGCTCATGATGATTTCAACAATAATCTTAATGAAGGTTGAGGGGGTTCTGTGAGGTATGATTTTGATAGGAATTAATTTCAGAAAACTCCAAAGAGCAGAATCTCACACAGCTGTGATTACCCTTGGAAAAGGAAGCTGCTATGATGCATTAGCACACACTTAATCACCTCATAGACAATAGAACAAAGTGGTTTTGACCTCCAGTCTGTCTTCACACCCTTACATCTGCAGGCAATGTCTGCATTTAAAAGACCTCCATGAACAGTGTAACTGACCTCCACTATGGAGTCCACCTCTCTCTTGCCGTACCAGTCGTCTTCATACATGTCTGCCAAACACGCCTGCACATTTTTGGAGGACTCGTGCATTGCTAAAACAAACAAAAACACACACACACACAAAGGAGATCAGAGGAAAATCTATGGATTAAGTCAGGACAAGGTGCATTTTTCAATGACTAAATGTGTGTCCTGTTTGTGTTTATGGAGCAGTCTGAGTTTTCACATGTTAGGGTGTGTGTTACCTTTGACTGCCTCCAGGTACGCCCTAAGGTCTCTTTGCAGTTTACTACCTTCAGCCTGGGGGAGAAACACAAAAGACAATACTTACAACACAAAACAAAATAGTGCGCAGAGACAGATGCAGATGTTACAGGCCTGTTGATCCAGCAGCTGACATATCTTCACTGTGCCATTATTGGTCAATGGCACATTGATTTCTGAGGATTTTAGAAACATGACCCAGCCTCTCGCTGAGCTGTACTCACATATTGTTTGTTGAAGTTGATCACTCCCTCCTCAAATGCAAGGTCTTTGGTCTCGTCAGCTTTGCCAAGCTTCTGAAGAACCTGCAGACAAAAAGGAATAACAGGCCATTAATGATCAGTGACAATACAAAAGGAAGGGTCAGTGATTAAACAGAGCAGAATATGCTGAACGGGTTGGTGAATATTCAGCTTTTTAATGTCTTTACACAAATTCTCTCCTATGCTTCAAATCAAATATGGTTTCTTTGCCTTCATGAGTAAAATGAATGGGTCGCAAAGCAGCACATTGAATCTGATATCTAAACTGTGTTACAATGAAAGGTGTTAAAGTGAATTTGATTGACAGAAAGAGCAACCTGGACAGCACATGGCAAATAAATGAGTGTGTGTCATGTAATTTCTACCAAACATACATATTCAAGTGTTCTTATCAGACATAACTGCTTGGATTACACGAGCTGTATTTACTGCCTTGATTCTGCCTCTGCCTTTTCAGCCTCATAGGACATGATGCATCATGATAGACAAATAGCGCCCCCTAACATTTATTCGATGCCAAACGCGCAGGTGCACAGACGCATAAACCAGGCCTCATATTACTAACCGATACACATTGCAGCGTGGCTTGTATTTACTATCATGCTGTGTTCCTGCAAAATGTAACGCGTTGTATCTGTAACCAACATTGGAGTGACACACACTCGCTCACATGCTGAGAAATTGATCCCTCGTGCCAGTGTCACAGCAGTCGAGGGCTAAATTAAAGGCAGGCCTGCTGTAAGGTTTATCCCACTGCATTATGAACGTGCCCGCTGTGTGACATTGACACGTACATCATTGTTTTTTTTTAAAGTGGACGTCTCCATCCAGAAATAAAGTAAAAGTGCCATGATAATTGTCATGTCGTGATGCGACACTGCGCCTTGGAGGAGGATGCGGCACTGCTGCTTCGAGCCTCTCAGGCCCTAGTATCCATTTACCCCACATATTAACGTGTCACTGAAAAGCTCTCACCTTCTCTTGCGCTCTCGTTAGTTTTTTCTGAACGTTGCTGGCCACTTTCCCCGCAGTCAGACCCTTTCCCAAATTCAACTCAGCCATCTTGAAGCGTAGATCAGTCTTTGGATACGGAGAGGATGGAAATAAAGGCAATAACGATCGGGAGGACCGCTACGGCGACGGATGAAGCAAATGCATCAATGTCCAGTGGAGAAATAATGGTGATAAATGCAATTGTATATTGTAAGGATGTATCTTCACGGAGATCTGTGTGCAGAAAGCTAAGCTGTATTCTCAAATGTTGAGCTGCTGTGTGCGCGTCCGTGTCAGAGGAGGATGCTGTCAGAGATGCTCTTAAAGGCACAGCTGCTGCTACGCGCACACACGGGACGAACAGGGAAATCCATGTAGGCAATACGGGTAATTTGCAAGGAGAGAAGCTGCAGTTTTACTAAAAACAACTGATATTTTTCAGAAAAGAAATGTGACGTTTGTATTTTCCTTTTTCTTTAGATTTTTTTTACCATCCTCTAATATGTCTCTCTAATGATCAGTGTCTGAAATCCCTGTTTATGATGGAATTGATAGGCATGCGTAATTTTCCAAGAAATCCTACCTAACACTGATTAAACAAAATAATGAAAACGGCCTAGAAAATGCCCACGCATGCGCACTAATGACGCCTTGAAGACACATCTGCTCAGTCAGATATTATGGTGTTACATAACTGGTAGAGAAACATGGACAACTATTTATCACCGGGAAATTATCAGAAAGGAGCATCACATACAGAAAAAATGTCTAGAGGCTGCTGTCTTTTATTACACTTGCTTTTTGATTCCAACAGAACAGATATTGAAACAACAGACCCATGCGATATATATCTAACTGATACAATTGCATTCCAAATAAAACTTTTTCCTTGTGAATAAGGTTTTGTTTTTAAATCACCTCAGGTTTTCTTTAAGAGTCACTAAACAACAGCATATTTGCCTCTATGAACTAAAGCAGGTTTTATCTAGTTCCTTAAACGCACTAAGGCAGGCTTCCATGCACTTAACAGCCTCGCTCATTTGCTTTCCAGTAGATGGCACCATTGCCCCGCATCGTACCTACACAACAACTACAGCCTCGAGTAAGTCCTGCCACTTTTTAAGATCTGGCTGGTTTTTGTTCCGAGGCTGCAAATCTAACAGATAAGAGAGCCTGCTGACGTGAGGATTTGACTCTGTACTCACTCAGATCAGAAATCTGTCAGAGATGTTTTTGATCATATAAATTCTGCTTCACTTCTTCTTTATACTGTATATAGGCCTCTGTTTCCCTAATCTGGTGTTTAAAAAACACATATAAAAAGCTGGAATTTAAATGTGATTTGATTGCTTCTCATCAAGACGCACCAATCCAACCATGGCACTGTGAACACTAATGCAACCGAATACAACAGCTCTACCATAAAGTCTCCATCTGCGTATTTCTTTTAAATGTACAGTTTTTGTTTATTTGATATCACAGGTGATTATTTTGCAATATTGTTGAAGATGCAGAGGGTGGTGGGGTATAGGCTGGTGAAATGTGTTACACTGAAATGTATTCCTTACTATATTTGTCCACTTCATCAGCAAACGAAGGTAGTTAAATATCAGGAGCACACACTTCAGTGCACCATGAACACCTATACCAAAACTGACATTATTAACTAAAAGAGCAGTAGGGGAGATCAGGGCTTGTTGTCACATGGGTAAGTTGTCATATTGCAGTGATCACACCTACGGGCAATTTGAAAGTGGCCAATTAACCTAACCCCACTTCTGCGTGTTTTTGGGATGTAGGAGGAAACCAGAGTACCCAGAGTAAACCCACGCAGACACAGGGTGAACATGCAAACTCCATACAGAAAAACCCTGACCCAGATTCGAACCAAGGACCTTCTTACTGTGAGGCGACAGTGCTAACCACGACACCACTGTGCCGCCCCTGTCCTTGTTTTATCAACTGCAAAATCAACTGTGACAACTTACCCCATGTAGTGAGACAACTTACCCAATGGTGGGGCAAAATGTCACATGTTCACACTCTGTATTTAATTGCTTATAACTCTGCACTGACACGAGATATGAAAATGACATGAATACAAAATATATACCTGAGACTTTGGTCTTTCATGTCTACACATTTTGTTTATATATGATGTATTGATTCCAAGAAATATAAAAGAGTGTAAAAAGTGTGACAACAAGCCCTGGTTTCCATTAATCACCTGTCTGATCATGTCAATAACAAAAAATAAAAATGTAGAAACTTTATGAAAAAAGTATTAATGAATTGCACAGATCTCTATAATGTGATGGCTGGTCATAAACTCCAGCTCTTTGTTGACACAGGTGGCTGCTTACTGAGTAGCTCTCCAAGGTCCTGAACTAACACTGTGCAGCTGCTGAGGGAAGCGACAGACAGCTGAACAATAAGCCATAAACAACGCCTGTGGCACTTTTTTTTTTAATGTTTCCTCTACTATATACTACCAGATGTAGTAATAGGCCTATCTCTGTTATATAAGCTGGCACGAGTGTGTACTTAACCCCAAATCCTTCTTGCATGTGAGAGTATAAAGTCTCGTGGAGGGGGCGTCCATCCAGTTTTCAGCAGTTTGTCATAATCTATCAAAGCGAGAACCAGTAAACTGGGTTTAAATGTCAGAAAATGTCAAATAAGCCTCACTGTATTGTCAACACAACGTGGATTCAACTCACACTCGAGTCTTGTCACGTTTTCAACTACACACCTTCTTCTCACTCTCTCTATCCCTCCCTCCTCCGGATGCCTCTTTCTTCTTTATCTCACCCTCACTTTCTCCCTCTCCCTCATCTCTTTTTATCCTCCTTCCGTCTCCCTCGTCCTTTTATCCCCGACAATAACAACATTTGGCCACGAGTCACCAAGCCCATTCGTTCCCATACATTCACATGAATGGCTTTTCCTCGCCCCCCCTCTCGTGTTGCGGGAATGGTTTAACCCGTTATCCACAGCAGCTACAGAGAGACAGGCAGCACAAAGGGAGCGCACACACTGGTCGTTTAGTGGGGATATAATAGGACAGCATGATGTAAACATGGAATAAAAACCGCAAGGCTGTATTTCCATTTCCCGTTTTGCTGGTCCATTAACGGCGTTCAATATTACATGAGGTGCTGACTAACAACAGCGTCTCTGTCTGGACTCGAAAAGGCAACCAGTGAGTGAAAAATAGACGCAAGAGTGGAGGAGTTGAGCTTTGTTTCATATCTCCGCTCCGGGGTTCTCCTGGAGTTGCTGACAGTTTTTGGACCGAGTCTGGTTCAGTTCGAGAAGAATGGTGTGTTTTTCGAGCTGACTGAACAGACGAGTGGATATTTTTCTTGTTTTCTAACATCAGTTTTCAGTATTTTGGACTCCAGGGGGACAAAAGAAGACGAGCTCATAAGATGAATCTTTGAAGGTAAGTGAGTTTTCTTTGTTCACCTCGTATTAATTAGCCTTTTTGATGTTCGAATGTGTGTTTTTAAGCGTCTGCTGCCACGAATCTCTTTTTCTGGTTTTGTCCCAAGCCGTCCAGAAATGAATGGGGAGAAGGTTCTCATGTTGCCAGTAGGCTTATGCCCGTCACTGTAATTGCCTTTGAGAACGAGACACATGGAGGAGTAGCCCAGCTCTTCCATTGTTTTCCCTCTATTGTTTTCAAACCGTTGTTATACGGACCATTTGGAGGTCCAAACACTTCCAGACCCTTCATCGGTCACATATCAGTGGACGCTGGATGAATCCTTCATGATGTGTGGGAGTGAATAATTTACAAGACTAAACTCTGAATTTGATCCCCGTGTACATAATTGGGTTGGACTGCGTGTAAACACTGGGAGGCAAATTGATTTTCAGTCACGTGCGCCCATGTTCTGTCCACATCTGTCTTTCTGTCAGACACTTTCAAACAACAAACATCTGGACCACATCCAAAACCCAATCCAAAACACCGTGAAATCAAAATAAAAAAAAAAGCAAAAATCATTAATATTTCTTGGAATTTTTCCTCATCTGCTCTCCTCTTCGGGGCACAGTAACAGCACATGAAACATCACCATAATTAGTACTTTGCCTGAGCAAAGCACAAGTAATTACAGGCAGCAATAAGCCTGCAGAGCTAAGTGTGCAGGCATTTTTCTTTTTATTGCCTTTGTTAAACATGCAAATTTTGTCTCTCTACCACATGCTGCCCCAGTTCTGCCGCTAACATTATTCATAGAGAAGTGCAATTATCTGCTTCACTCCACATGTTTTCAGTGCTAATAATGTGTTCACATGTTTGGAAATGTAGCTAGGGTGTGTATATGTGACCATGGCTGTCTATGTAATCCTAAAAGTGATGTAAACATAGCCTACTGTAAATATCTCTTTTGATGCTGCAGAAAGGAGGAGAGGAAACAACATCACAAAAGAGGGAGAAGCCGAGTAGATAAGACCACTGTGATTAAACTACGATGTGCCTCTCATGAGCTCTGCAAATTCCTCACAATTTTAGCATATATAAAACATCTTCACCACCTGAAAGAATGGAAAATGAGCAGACACAGTGAATAATAAAAAAAGTGAAATTACACCTCTGAGCTAGAGATCTCTCCAGAAATAATGATGGCTTCAAGTGTCTTGCAGTATTTGAACGGAGGACACAGAGTAAAACGACTAAGTGTATTTGAAACCACAGTTTAGCCAGAGTGCACCAGTGTCAATCCACAGACTGTCTTACTTTAAAGCGCTGTAATAAGTTTTAATAGGACTGCCCCACAGTTTGTGATTAATCCCTGGGACAAACTTTGAAGCTGTGGTTTTGGTCGTGGGAAATGACAAGCATGATAAACCTTTGTTAAACTTACACACACACAGACTTTACTGAAAGAATTAAGTCAGATCACACAGGGAAACCTCACCGGTGGTATTGAGGGAAAGAAAAAAAAGTCAAAGATTTATTTCTCAGTTCCAGTGATGTCTCAAAAACAAAACAGAAATTTTCTTGTCAAACCCTATTTTTCTTGGATGCCAAATGGCACCAACTCTACTCTTTCTGCAATATTTCCACAACGTTCAAACTTGGACAGCTCTTGACATCACACCTCAGTCTTATTGCCATGTTATAATTTGTGAGGTCTATGTTTAGATATGATAACAAGGAGGATGTGAACAGACCGTCTGTGGATGGGAATGTGACAACTTTCTGGGACTCAGTCCCACACCTCCAACAAATCAATTAAAAACTGTTTGAATGATATCCCCATATGGGCTTTCTGATGGTTATGTAACCATAACTGAGAGCCAAGCAGTCCTCAGACTTAGGACAACAGCCAGAGGAACAGGTTTGGAGCTGATGAGATGAGAAGTCTGGACAGAAATCAGAAATTTCATCTTTCAATGTCATTCAGCTTCCTTCGTCACTGACTCAAGTGTGTAAAAAATCTGGTGCTATAAAATCATTGTCTTTAGTTTTGATCTGAACTTCTTCAAATGGCCGTTTCATGAAATTCATGGAGAAAAAAAAATATCCCATTAAAACAAACCAAAATTTAATTCTATGTTACTTCAAACTGTAAAAAATAAAGTCACCATCCAATGTTTAGATTCACACTAAGATAGATCAAACCAAGAGATTCTAAAATAGACCTCAGTGTGGAGGTAAGCAATAGATGGATGAGGATTACAGACTTTCATTCACACATTTGTACTATTCAAGGATTGTTACTGTTGCTACGCACTCACTGTGCAGCACATTGATGATGGGTTACATAAGTCCAGTGAACATCAGCCAAAAAGACTTTAGACTGAGCACAAAATGTCTACAGGGGTTTCTCTTTTTGACAGAGCTCGTGTGCAACTGGCCTCAGTGTTTTTGTTCTGTGTAAAAGAGAAAGATGAATGAGAGGTGAAGGAAAGCGACCTGAACCAGAGAGTGGAAGGAGTGCAAAAACAAAGAAATAACAGAAATGAGGAAAAATGGCCAAAGAATAGTCAAGAAAGAGGGAAAGCGTGTGAGAAAGAGGGGAAGAAAAAAGAGACAGGGTGAAAGAAAAACAAGGAGGAAAGGGTAACGTCAATCCTAATCCCATTTATCCACACCAGCGCTGTCCTTTCACACCACACCACACACACACACACACATACTGGTTTATGCTGGTGAAATACTGTATATCCCTGTTTGGTATGCAGCTCACTCTTATGCTGTCCATATGTCCATAAAATTATGCGATTTCTCTAAACACTAAATGCACTGTAGCAAAGGCGCTGTTATGACTCACACTCTCTGACCATGTGTGTGTTTGGCCTCCATAATGTCTGAGCAGACACATCTGCTGCATCTGCAGACCGTCATGCAGAGATAACAACAATATCTGGGCAAAGATGTGGCTGCAGCTGTGCAGCTCTCTTCAACAGCAAGTATGAGTGCTGCGTGTTTGTTTTCTTGATATGACTTTTTTGGATTATTTGATCATCCTGATAAGGACTGCGGCTAATATTTAATTTAAAACCTAGTCAATTGAACATCCATCATTTGTGATGTAAGCTAATACTGTGTGTTTGTGTATGAGTGTGCTAAAATTGGCAAATATCAACAAAGAGTGAACAGAGCTAACAGAGCTTCAATTGAAAGCAGTAATACAGGACGGGTCTACAGAGAGATACAGAGCTGTGAGCAACACGGTTAATAGAAACAGTGAGGAGTAGACAGAGAGCTTTTTTATACAGGCTCTGTGCACTTTTATGGGATTTCTGTATCTGGGTAAGTGCCTGTATTGTCCTGTTTTTACACCATTAGCAAACCTGTCGGAAAAAAAAACAGCTTATGTGCTCATTTTTTACCCTCTTTTAGATTTTGTAGGTATTTGTGAAATACTGCAATTTGCTATCTTGCAACTCCACCTTAACCTTAATATTTGAAAAGCAGATAACAGGTTCAAACCTCAGTTGGTTAACAGCTTTGGTTGAGCGCTGGTTTTAAATGAAGGATTTCTATAGCAAACAGCGAGCATGTAAGATGAAATTGAGTTTGAATATCTCATCTCAGGGTAAGAGTAAACAAGGATAAATGCGGTGTCAGGAAGTCTGTGGGTAAACAATGTTACTTTGGCTTGCTGATTGTGGCTAATGTTAGAAGTGCTGACACCACCAATCTTGGGTCCTTCTTTTCGGTTAATGCCAACATGCCTGTTCCAACCAGACACAGCCCACATATAATCATAATAATAATGCATCAGATTTCATATAGCGCTTTATCAGAGACCCTCAAAGCGCTTTACATTGGATACATCATTCATTCACTCACACAGTCACACCCTCGGTGGTGGTAAACTACCTTTGTAGTCACTGCTGCCCTGGGGCAGACTGAAGGAAACGTGGCTGCCAGTTTGCGCCTACGGCCTCTCCGACCACCACCACCACACAACAGTCACATTCATACACCAGTGGAGGACACACACTGGGAGCAAGGTGGGTTAAGTGTCTTGCCCAAGGACACAACGGACAGACTAGGGACAGGACGAGGCTCGAACCGCCAACCTTTCAGTTATCGGCCGACCGCTCTACCTCCTGAGCTACTGCCGCCACACATATAACTTGAAGACCCACTATGATGAAAGTCATGTATTTTTTTTTATGTCATTTTTCTGATGCTACAGAACATATTATGAGTAAACTCCTCTCTCTTCGCTGCAGGACAGAAAGATTTAGAAGATCTTTTGTACCAACAGCCATCAGACTTTATAACTCTTGTGTAAATAGTAGATAACTGTTAAGAGACATATTTTGTGCGACAACAGACAACTAAATTTTCCTTTGGGAATTATTAAAATTATTCTTATTCTTAACTAAGTGCGAAATTGCATTTCTAAATATTACTGCATTATAAGACAAGCCCTTGAAAATAGCACAGATAATGTGATTTTGGCTAAAAACTTTATAATCACAATTTAAAAACCACTGAGTTGGACTTTAATCTCTATTTTCAAGAACGAAATTTGGTTGAACTGTGTCACACTACAAGATGCCATCCTTCATCTTGTTTATACCCCTGATAATGGAGCCTTTTCCTTGTTATGATAGCAGCTACAGCCCATATAACCAGGCAGGAATTGTGGTGCTGATTGAACCTTGCCACCAGAGAGGATGGCAAGGTTCAATCATTCGGTGGAATAAAGCTGCATATTGGCAGTAAGGACCCAAATACTTCCATCACTTCAGGTTTTTAGGTTACTTTCAAGACTTGGTGCAATGTTGGTCAGAAAATTTGAGAGGAAAAAAGCTGAATAAAAATGATTATATGGGAAATTGAGACATTATACTTTCAAGGAAATGGCAATTTCTTTTTCCACTGTCAGAATCTCTCTGAGTGTGTCTGATAGATCAACCTTCATACATGAACGGAAATGATTAAAAACAAAAATGCCGGTAAAAGACATTGCTTGGTGAGTTGTTCATGTATTTTGAAGGAGTTTTGAGGAGCACTCGTGAAGTTGTGAGGTCATGGAGGATATTCTGACAGAGACGAATGTGTCTATGACAGGTTGAGGACGAAACTCACACTGCTGCTCTTGGTAGATACAGAGTTTGAAGAGCGATAAAGACAGAAAAAAAGAGCAAAGCGGTGAGATAAATGATACTGGCGAGGGACGATGAAAGACAGCAAATGAGCTGTAATCTGATAAAAGCCTCTTTACTCCTATGTCACCTCACCTTCAAGCCACAAGCAATGACCAGAGATTACAGATGGATCAATGCTGAGGCCACCGACATACAGCACACACTTACACAGACACACACACAAACAAACTCTGAACTCACTTCAGGAGCTCTGTTACTGCCAATACATGTAAAACCTGATGGTTTGCTGCTCCGTCACTACACAACCACCTCCATGCTTTGCTGTTACACTTTTAAGTAGAGTGCTAAATCATGTCTGGACATATTTCTCCCTTTGTGTGTGTTTGTATGCATGTCTGTTTGTGTGGGTGTGAAGGGTCTGTAGGTCACTCAGACATCTCAATAAACTCTGTGCTCAAAAGGAGAGAGGGTGAGTGTGAGGAGGAAGTTTAGAGCTCCCATACTAATCAGTCTTCTGCATTTAAACCTAATGACCCAGCCAACCAAACGACCCAGGGAGAGGCTGTTCTATTGTGGGTGTCCTCGACTCAGAGTTACATCTTACAGACACACAAAAGGCGCATGAAAATGGTGTTATCAAGAAAAAGAGTGCAGAGATTTAAAAGATTTTTCTTCAAGCAGATAAGAAAAGGGTGATCTGAAGACATTTAACAGTTAAGGGAATTAAAAACTTGTTAAATAAGAGATGGTCTCGGACAATTTTTTACTTCAGTACCCAGATGCTGCTTCCAGAAAGTGCAAATTTGCAGATAGCCTTTATAGCCTCATGCAATTCTTATTGTTACTATGCTGCCTGACTCTGCAGTTCTTAGTTTCAGACCAAAAATCGAGCTATGCACTCAAAACATCAGGGTTACGTTAGCAGCAACTTGGCTGACTCCTCTTAATGGAAGCATATAAAGCATGGGCATATGTGAAGTGAAGCGTCACCATATTCAAAACGCTGACTACAAGAAGTAACTACAACAGCTATTCTAGAAACCAGAATGAGGAAAGGTTGAGGCTGCAGTTTCACGACAACAATCCACCAGTCCAAACAGTCTAATCATGCATGACTGTCTAACTCAATACAATCAAACCAAAAAGTGATTTGGAAATCTACCCACCCTGCAGCATGCTGCTTATGAGTTTCATATGTCTTTTTTTGGCTTATGGTGCCACTCTAAAGTGGATGTTTGAAGAACTGCAGGTTTCTACTCTGGCTTTACTTTTCATTGATGGCTGTTTGTGTGCCAAAAGGTCAGAGTAAAAAGGATTTCTGACTTTATTTGGATTTACTCAAACAACAGTGAACCTCACATTTAGTGGTAGCACAGTTCGGTTGTTGTTTGCTTTCATTATACAAAAAAAAAAAAAAAAAAAACTCCTGAAATCTGTCACCTCTAAAAATAAGAGTAATATTTTACCATTCATGTTTTGTTTTTTTCACTTGTAAAATATTCAAGTTTGCAAATGTTTCTCAGCCAGGCACTGCACAGTGTAAGATGTGATCAAAACATGATTAAAACTTGAGGAGAGGAAATTGGCAGGATGGAAATTGGACGGAAAAAGAAAGAAGAAAAGCAATCAAGAGAAGTGGGGACAAATCTCACCTCAGACTTCTCAAGTGTGTGGAACGAAATTATTGGAAGCACGTAATGAACACTTTGAAACTTTGCCCAGTCAAAATGTGTTATTATCTACTATTACCTGGCTTTCTTTGACCAATCAGTATCAAATATCAAATACTTGATACTGATTGGTCAAAACCCCTTAACTATGGCTATGAATGCTTAATAGCAAAGGCCACACTTAGGACGACCTGATCATGTATGTCACACATCATAACAATCAGCAGCAAGTAGTTCAGACACATCAAGCTGACTGTTAATGGTTTTACCTCTTCATACCGACAGTATGACACAAACATTACTTTCCGATAGCAGCAGTAAACAACATGGTGGACATTTTTTAATGATGCACTGCGCTTATTTGCAGAGTACAAACCTTCAGCATGGTGTTTGACCATCGAACTTTAGAGAAAATAAGACAAGACGGAAAATTAAGTGGGAATACCTTAGTGGAGTCAGAGAGATGTCAACATAGACTGTATATAGAATGGACGCCATCTGCCTCCTTGCTGGGTGAAGCCACCACGAGAACAGCACCCTCTGGTGATGGGCTGCAGTATAGGTCATAATTCCCGCCTCCTCCAGCAATCCCTATGGTGTTGTGGACAGACTTAAGAAATTAATTACACAGAATATAAAATTTTCTCCCCCCCTGGTACCGATGTTGACATATAGTTACTGTAAGACTGGTTTGTGCTCAAGTCCTCTTTTTTCTGTGCAGCTCCATTTTTAAAAGTTATCAGGGGGCTCATGTTTTCTATGATTGACACTTGATACAGCCTATTGACGAAGATTGGGTAGCTCACTCAGGGGGATATGCTGGTAAAACTGAGCATCTGAGTGATTCTGTTTCAAATTTGTGAAACTATGTAAGGTGGAACCAATTTTTCCATAGTATATACATTTAATGGACATCAACCAAATTGAAGAAAGCAGACAAAGCAGCCACAAACTGCAACACAAATGAGTACAGGCTTTGGCAGTATTAGAGGGCTGGGTAAGTTATGTAGAAATGCTGTAAGAAAAATGACAGGGGATCTTAAAAAAGGTTCTGCTGTTATCTTCAGCTCCTGTTAAAAATGTAAGCTGAAAACTTTTATGTTTTTACTTTACCATGAATGAGAATACCATTGCCACGAAGCACCACAAACTAGTGCTGGGCGATAGGACGATAGATATCGTGGGCACGATAGAAAATGTCTATCGTGCCATTTTTATTTTTATCGTTTCGGGCGATAGGCTGTATTTTATCCATAGGGCTTGTGCCATCAGATGATTCATAGTAGCAACAACAATAATTACACATTCAGTAAGTGTATTTGGTGTCGAACGGGAAAGAAAACAATATTTTCTTACGAAGAAAAGGATGCGTTGACATGTAGGCTTGCATTTCTCTTTCGATTTTGCGACATGACGCCGCTTTACGTGCCCTCTTTGTGTCCAGCGTCTCCCGCCGTTGCGGGTTACCTGAGTTACACACGTGAGGGGATCATTGTAAGCAGTGCTTAATTTGTGCCGGAGCAAGTCGGAGCGCGATCCGGGACCTCTTTTGATCGGATCCGGGACCTATTTCAGCCGTTCCGGCACCTGTTTCATCTGCTCCGGGACCTTCCCTGTAGAGGATGACATTTTTCGGGAATTCCCGTGGGTCACGTGATTCCCGCGGGAATCCCACGGGATGGGAGTCGTTTTTTAATTAATCCCTTGATCGGGACGGGACGGGAAAAAAGCAACGGGAGTGGGCAGGAGCGGGAACAACATTAAAAGATGATCATTTTCGGCCGTGTTTAACAACCAGATGAACAGGTGCGTCCATTTTTGTAGTCATCTCTCAGTGAGAGCCAACACTCTTGACCGCGCTAGCAACACAAAAGAACTACAACAGTGGTTTGACTTCCTGTCAGCTGGGAGCGCGCCTGCGCATTTCTACCCTTCAAGCCAGCAGCGAGGAAACGTAATTTTGTGACATTCTGTAGTTTTTCAATCATTTCTGGAGTCGTGGCGAATCAAATCACCTTACCTGTCTGCCCCTGATAGGCGAATAAAGCGTTCGGATTCATGCTCGGGTCTTCCTACGTGCTTCAAGAGTAAAGTAAACAATGATGGAGGCAGAGAGCAGCTTTGGAGGAGAAACATCTAGCAGTGTGAACAACCTCTTCAAAAGAGCCCTAAAGACCTACCTTTTTAATAAAGCCTTTGGTTAGTTTTCCTCTATGCTTTATGATTTTACTACCTGGCCTCTTACATTGCAACTCTATATTTTTTATTTTTTTTAAATTCTTTTTTTATGCCAATCTGTGACTGTCATTCTATTGCTTTTTTTATTGTTGCTGCTCTTTTTTTACTGTGTACTGTAGCACTTAACATTTACAAAAAATCTCAAAGTGCATTACAAATTAAATTTATTATTATTATTATTATTATTATTATTATTATTATTATTACTATTATTATTATAGAGTGCTTTGGCTCACACTATCGGCGTTTTCTGTGAGTGTTGCATAACTTTGGGTGAGCACAGACATGAACGCACTTCAGCCACGTATTTATTTATTCATTTTTCTAGTTTTAAGTGCTCGTCTTGTACTGGTACTGTACTAGTGCAGCTGTATACACTTAAATTTTTCATAGAACTGAAAGCATACCATAGCTATATCGTGATATATATCGTTATCGTGATATAAAATGATCCATATCGTGATATACATTTTTTTCCATATCGCCCAGCACTACCACAAACCATCCAAAATCAATAAAATCATGTTTGGATCAATGCTCACAATCAACTTGTTTGTATGTTTGTTAGTCTGGTAGTCAGTGTGGTAATGTAGAGTTAGTACTGCCCAAAAGAATCCCTTTAAGATGGGTTTCTAAGGGAGACAAGACCAGACCTATAGTTGTGGATATTCTATTTGGCACAACCACCGGCTAACTATTCAAATTTCATGTAATGCTAAAGTACTAAGTTATACTGTTCCTTATGTGTGTCTACTGTTGTAAAGCAGCGTTTGTTCAGTAAGTACAGTAGTTTTAACTCATCAGTCTATTAATCCAAGATGCAACAGCCGCCTCATTTCCCATACAGTAAAACAAGCCCTTTGTGCTTTTCTTGTTACCATGCCAACTGACCAGGGATCTGGTCCAGTGATTATGTAGTGCACATAAGCCTTTCAGTGAACGAATGAATAACTCTTTAGTTCATTAAGTTTCACAAGATAAAATAGTGTTCATGCTTCAAACTTCCTGCGCACTCAAACAGCAACTTGATGAAGAAAATCAAAGGATTGCAGCTTTTTTAACATTGATCAGAAAGATTGAGAAATAGAAGGACAAGCTCCTGAACTTTGTCAGGTTTACTAAGACGTCACATGTAGCAGTGTTAGCATCTAAAACAGCATATTTCACCTAACATTGGAGGGATAAGCAAACCATTGTCTTTTTCAATGTAATGGTGACAACTTCAGTGCAGTTGCTATAATTACACTGTAAATTCATCCCCCGGTTTCTTCATTCTTTGGTCGATTTCATGAGAACAGATGCTTTATGGGACTCTTTTGAAGTCTTTGTTTGTATACAGCTAACTCGAATCCTAAGTAGATTCTATTCTTAATTCTCTGAAACAGCCTCCTCTCACACATACATACACACACACACACACACACACACACACACACACACTCACACTCACTCACTCACTCACTCAGTAGTAGTCTTCCCAGTGACAGATGGGCTAGATGGAAACACAGTCATCCTGTTAGTAACCATGACATCAGCAACACTGTTACTCAGTGTCACATGCACATGAATGCTTTCAAAAACAGGACAAAGGACTAACATTGTGGAGTTACTGTCATTTTTCTGAATCCAGAGCCACACATCATTAGTACATGAGGCTGGATAAAATGGCACAGAAAAGAAGCCCATGATTGGCCAAACAGAGATGTGAATAAAGCCAAAAAACAACAAGGAAGTCTGATACAAATCTTTTCATTCATGAGTCACACAATACAAGGACAGTTCGAGGAAATCATTCCAGTCCTTTAATTATTCATCAGACACAGACACACTGGCCATTTGCACATATTAGATAAAACGGTTGCTCAATAATCTTCAATTCTTGGGGAGGTGGGCTGCATCAGACTACTCGTGGCTCCTTTAGGATATACGGTGGTGGTTATTTTCAGCAACAGCTAGAAAAACATATTCAAAGTAACTGGCATGTTGATTTGAACAGGTCTAAGTGAGCATGAGACAAGAAGTCCATGGATGAGGCTAGCTGGAGTCAAATAATGATGTTTGGTGTAAGCTCATGCAAAACACAGAAATTGTACGCCCCTGCTGTGAACAGATGGCTTCTGATTGAATAATTGTTTCTGATTTCTCACAACAAAACAATCCATTAACTCTCATTTTTTCCTCTAACTGATCCTGGCTAACCCAGTGCTGCCCACACTCTGCTGCTCTGCTGCTGGTAAAGCCCACCCCGGCCTCCTCCTTCCTAGTCTGAATGCCCTGTTTTTACCCTTATGAGGGGTTTTGAGGAGTACTTCCTGGAAAGCTCTAGCATGCTGCTTGGCTAAACATGGAGCACTTTATAAAAATAGGGCCTTTGGCGCTGTAACTGTATGGTGACAAAACGGCAATTAATTAAATATCTTAAAGGAGAGTGTTCCTGACTGAAATATTTGCAAATATGAAATTACAAAAGCCAGTATTGAGGATTCACCCTCTAGAGACCATGCAAAAAAAAAAAAAAAACATTGAAGTTGATGTCCAAACAGAGACATTTCTTAAGGAGGAAATGTGATTACAGTCTCTGGTTGGCTTGACAGAAGAAGAAGGCTTGATATCTCAGTAACAGCTTTAGTGGACTTAAAGAGGTTTAACTCTCAAACATTTCACCTCAGACTAACCACGCTAATTCTCTATCCCGTTTTAGCCTACTGACCTCTTTAACCCATTGAACTCTTCATTCTGAAGGTTGTTCTGTATTCTGTGGGATCCACAAACAACTTTAGGCCTGATCTACTAAAGGTTTCCGTGTGCACAAATACGTGCAACCTTGATAGCGCACGCAATGTTGATCTACTAACCGAGTGCACCGAGGATTTCATCTGTCAAATGAGCAAAACAGCGCACGCAATCGATTTAGTGTGTTTGCCTTCATGAATATCCAGATTGTATGTAGATCATCAGACCGCGCAAAATACTGGGAGGAGTAGATGCAAATAAAATCATTAAACACCCGCAATGTGATTTATCGAACCCGGAAACCGATTGCGGTCACTGTTTTGCATCTATATTAAGCACATTTGAAAGGCACGTGCAAACTGGTACAGTATTATGCACGGTCATTGTGGGGAGAAGGAGGCAGAAGTGCAATGATAGACGACGGAGAGAGAGAGTCTGGACTGTCAGAAATTAAAAATAGTAGAGTAATAGTCATAGTAATCCTGGGTGACCTATAGGCTGATTTGGAGCCAGTCACAAAAATGATCTGTGCCCTATCTCCTAATGAAAAACTCTTTGTATGAATAATAAGGTCAAACACAGACCACATAAAAAAATATATCTGTTTGTCTTATTGATTTGAAATTGTTTAGTTTGTTGTTTGCACATAAAATTTAGCATTCGCTATTTGGGATCTTAATAGATCAGGCCCAATATATAGAAAGATTCATACTTTATTTACATCCAAGATCTAATATCCTCTGTGGCCTGATGGGCTTAGTACACTTGAATACATTTAAAAATCAATATCACCACTTCAAACCAGAGCTGTGAGAGACAGTAGTCTACCTAATACCTGACAGAGAAAGCTAAAGACAACAAGAACCAATTTGCATTTCTGGCTTTGGTTTTCAACGGTTTCTTCCTCAAGCTCCATCAACATGTGCAAATCAATTATCTGGATCGTGATTTTCTGAATGGACTGTGTTCATGGTATCAGAAAACTACATTTTCAAACACAGTAGCATTTTCAGAAAGAAACCGTTTCTATTACTCAGGACGATCCACATAACACCCTGTCACGAGACAAGTGGAGACTTTATCTTAAGTGGAAAGTACTTCCAGTGAAACCATTCGGAGCGAGGTCTGTTTATTATCCAGAGCAGTGACAACAGCATTGCTGTGAAAGCACACAGCTGCTGAGAATTCAATTTACAGTCACTGTGTCTGAGCTGAGGCAAAAATCTCTGGGACAAATATCCCAGTCCTGAACAAATGAACCCAAACCCTGCTACATGATGGATTTTACCAGAACTCCTCTGTTTTGGGAGGTGCTTTGTATGAATCAAAGTCAGATTTTCCACTCTCACAAAAACAAGCAAGAGGAGCCCACAAAATGCTGCAGTATTGATTTTGTGATGCTGAAAGGAATGATGTGAGGAAGACTTTCAAAGAGTCTTGTTTTGCTCAGTACTGTATACACTTTTACTAAAAAAAAAGGTGCTCTTCCTCTGAGTGAACTGCAGCTTTGCCTCTGGAAGTCTAACGTACAACCACTTTAGTTTCCTTTTCACAGAAACTAGAATTTACTGGAGGTTTCTTTTTACTGAGGATACCAGCGTGACTTGCACACATTAAAGCTGACCTCAGACTGTGAGGACCAAAAATACAACTTTCTTTTGATTGTTTTTCAGGTCAGGCATATTTACTCTTACTCTAGTTTTTCCTGCAAACCCTCTCAAAAAGAAGCAGAAGTTCACACTTGTACTATCATGTAAAACTTCTCTGATTCTGTTGAACAGCATGTCGTTGTTTTCAGTTTTCCCATATTTCCTGTAGTCCGCCTTCTTTTTGCATGTTTCTTTGCTCTTTTCCAAACCCGTCCGATCCTCACCCTGGAGAGCAGAGTGTCCTCGTTCTGGTGATGCTCTGTCGCCATCACTCAGCGTGGGGCCTCTGAAATATTTATGCTGACACACATACACACACACCTAGAGAAACACTGGCACAAACCTGTCATATTTCCGTGCCTCAGTTTTCCCATATCAATAGAAGATTAGAAAATATAATTTATCTCACAGCAGGTTTGGAGAGGGAAAGCGTCGCACGTTTGCAAATATGTACACAGAGACAGAGGAGACCCTCCACACTCCTCTGAATTATACAGAGACAGCTCGATGTTTACTTCATATTTTCAGCTTGAATCTGAAATTAATATGTTAATGTAGTTATCAGTGCTGAATGTTGCATTAATACACACTGACGTTCGTTCAGGGAGAGCAGCGTGTTTCATGCCAGCTATTTCAGTCTAAAGGGCACCGTCCTCTTCAATAGAGAAAGATCAAAGATGTTATCATCATAGATCTGTAGAAGGCAGCACACTCATAGAGGTGGAGGTGAAGTCAGACTGCACTGTAGCAAACACAGCTCCAAGACCTGCGATACAAGCTGGCATACAGCAGAACAAATCATAAAAGCCTTATTACTGTGCCAGCAGAGCTGCGATTTGATCTGTGACCCCAGACTGTCGACTCATCTGGAAGAGAGAAGAACAGAAGCAAAAACTCCAACAGAGAGCACATCAACACGCCGAAAGGTTATTACGCTGCCTGTGGGTTTGATATGTAACCCTACATTATTTGCCTGTTGAGCTGACAGAAGCATGTAAGCAAGGATAGGGCTGTGATTTGTGTCAGAGGTGCTGTGCTGTGATTTGGTGCGCCCCGTTTGTCAGCAGGGAGGAGAAGCGAGCTTGTGAAACAGCATTTGGATGTTGGTTCATGTAACATATGAAAGCCTTTAAAGTCGAGCTGAAAATGAAATCTTTCTGGGTGTGGAGTGCAGTAAAAAAAAAAAAAAACAGCGTAACCTGTGTTTGAACATTTTGATCTCCTGTAGCACAAGTGAACCAGAAAAACAATGTGAAGGCACAGAGGTAACCACAAACCCCTGCTTTAACTCAGTCCTATGAGCGTGCAGAACTATGCACTGTAGTAATTAGATAGTGATTTATTGTTTTCTCTCTATGGGAGCTTAGTGTCACAGAGTAATGTTTAGCGCCTAACAGAAGCCTTTAGGTGTATTTATCTCAGAGAAACCAACAGTAACAGAGCTGTTCTCCTGCGCTGGTGTTAATTTGCAGTGCGATGTCTTCCCCCGCATGTTTTGGAGGCAGAGCACACTTTTATAATCCCAGGATGATTCTGGCTGCTTTTGAATCGCACGAGCAGAAGTGAGCGCACAGCACATCTGCGACAAAATCTCACCTTCGGAGGAGGCTGCAGATAATCTTCTACCCTACATTCACTATGACTGTAAAATCTCACTCATGATGACTTCAGGTTTTATTTTATGGATAATTCCGGACAAGTTAAACGGTTTCTGTTGAAATTGTTTACAGATCTTAGATTAGCCACAAGCCCCTTTATTGTCTGTGTCATCATTCTATCACGGTTGTGAAAACTGCACCAAAGATTGGGCTGTTTTTGGCCAAAATAAGATCAGCACACTCACTTCAGAGGATTCTCTGATTTGTTGGGGAATTACAAAGGAGCAATGGCTTAATGGGGTCAGAGGTCAGGACCATCTTCTGCCACTGGCCTCAAACAAACCATCAGGGATTGGTTCTTAACACGCAGATTCCCATAGAGACAAGCGCCCCTCCCCATCTGCAGGGTCCTTGTGCCGCTGCTTGTTGTTATAGCAACAGACAGGACGTGACATTGTTGCATAATACCCCTGTATTTTTCATCTTTGTTGTTCTGATGTTATTTGTGGGCTATTTTCTAACAATGTCATCTCTCTGTGGAAGTGACTGCATAACAGAGGTAGTGATAGTTTGCTGCAGGGTGTGAGTCAGACAAACAAAAGCCACTGTCAGTTTGAGTTCCTGAGGTGATATCTGAAATCAAAATGTTGGTTTTTGAGACTTTTGTTTTCCATCTACCGTGTTGTAGTTTGTCCCACTTTGAGCACCTATCACACTCATGGCTTTTACTGGCTCTTGGGGTTTGATAGATTTACAAATTTGGTAAATGTGGCTTGCTTCATAACAAACACCAACAATTCATGTGACGTTGTCATGCAAATCAAATTTCATAAAACTGCAGTAATGCCTCGTATTTCCCTTGAGTTTGAAATCCTCCAATCCTTTTAAAGTTTTTCTGTAACTGAGTTTTGGCAAATCGTCACAAAGCCAACATTTAACGCTAAATATTTGAAAGATGCAGAGAAGTCCCTCATGAATGGACGTTTTGATTGACAAAAAACAAAGGCAAAAATGAAAATAAAGGCAGCTTCAAAGACTGAATCCTTTTAGTGCATTTTCACTTCGGCATTATTCTTGTTGGCAGTGCGCTGGAGTCCCTTGTCATAAATTCTCAGTTGGATCTTTCTCTCCTGCGTCAGGAGCCTGTGGTGTAACTAAGCTACAGCCTTCAAGACATGTTGTACCTCCTCTCTCTGAAACATGAAGTGGCGAATTGGAAATTTTCCAGCTGCTTTTCAGAGATTTCATTTGACGTGTACAGACCACAAACCAAAGCAGATCTCCCATTTGATATTTTATATGAAAGTTGTGTTAACTGAATCTGAATCCCTCTTCAAGTACTCTGATTGTCAATCGATTATTTATTTGATGACTGATCCAGGAGCAGATAAAGCATTTCTCAGCATTTTCTTTCCCTGAAAAGAAACAAACAAACAAAAAACAAACAAAAAAAACAAATCCAAGGTTACTCTTAGCCTCCAAGTGTCTGATATATTAAGTATTTTACTTCATCCACAGCTTCAAATGAGAGAACCTGGCCTTCAGGGCAGCAGGATGCTGTGATGTGTAGGTGGATCGTTCAGTGAAGCAGACAGGCCGAGTTCCTCCTGTCAATAAGTACTTAGCTGAAGTTTCCGGCTTCTCTGCACTTTAGTCTGAGGAAAACTTCTGAAATCAATAAAGCATCACATAGTTTCCTCAAAGTGTCAACATTGTTGTCGACTTGGCTGCTGAGACCGTGTTATGTAGCAAGCGTGATGACCACAGAGGAATATCTGATTATTCAAACACCTACAGAACAATTAATCATCTTCAATTTTCTCTGAATCATGTGCGTCTTGTTTCACCCACAGGGAGCATCATTTACAGCATATCATTGAAAAGCTTAATCTGACTTTATTGTTCATCTGGATCTATAGGAAGGCTTTTAATTCACAGTTAGTGATGAAAGGGGGCTCAGAGGCACAGACTCAGGCTGCTGTTGAAGGCATATATCCAATAAAAGCTTCTGTGGCTCGGACCTCCAAGTAATTAACCACAGCGACTGACATTTAGATGTCTTAATGATACCTGGGACTTTAAAGCGATTAATTATTGAGACACTGGCTATTACTTACTGGCAGTTGTCCATATGACAGCATACTGGTTTTTAATCCCGCCACAAGGCTTTTTCATCATACTGTGGACTGCTGCGTTTCACTTCACTCATCCTTGTCCACAGGCCTCCAAGTCAAATTGAAATCTGTGAGCTATCGAACTGATCAATATTCACATTCGGCTGGTCTTTATCCTGACTATTTAATATGTCAGATTTAGACTGACACACTTTATACTTTAAATGTGACTGCACAGTAAAGCAGAGGAGTTATATTGATAAAACACGCCAAGGCTGCCCATGTGCGCAGGTGTGAGCATGAGTGTGTGTCATTATCTCTCTGTGTGCAATCAGGCAAGAGTGTATGTGTGTGTATTCAAGGATAAATGCTGGAGTGTGAGACTGAGAGGTTCAGGGAGTCTGCAGGGCTATAATATAGGTATCTGATGGCATTAAAGTTGCAGCAACCTGAAGGACGAAAAACAAAAGGAAATGGATTCAGAGTAACAGAACTTAAACTTTATAAGACAGGGTAAAACTCAAAGAGACTATAAAAAAAAATTGTTTAGTGCCTTCCTTAACTTGAGCAGGAGAAATGAATACTGCTCCACCTCAGTCCTCAGAGGAGTTTTTAACTGATCATGAAATATACTGAAATTATAACTTCTTCCTCTTTATGACTCACAACAAAAAGGCAAGGACAGCTTTGAGTAAAAACTTTATGGTGTGTCGGTTAGCGTGAAAGTGCACTTTTGCTTGGATGACTTAATGAGAGATGTCATGTTTGAGACTGAGAGCAACCCTGACAACAACATAAAAGTTGTAGTTTGGCGCTCGATTCGTGAAATAATCATGATGTGGAGTCAAACACTTCAGTTTATTCTGCTTAAGATGCCACTCCATTCAACGGTATCCACACGAGTGAGGCTGTATGTAAGTGGCCTTTAATTTGTGCTGTTACTGAGCTGTGTGTGGGTGGGCTGTTAAGAGCATATCTCTTTAATCCTTGATTCATACATACGGTCATAAGCTTTATAATCTTCACTCTAAAGTTGTTTATTTTTACCAAATCTTAGTGGTGACTGACGCAGTGACTTAGTGTGCCTTCAGCCACCTTCACACAAATGATACAGCATTAACACAACTGACTTTGATCTCTTTTATTAGCCTGTGCCGCAGATGCTCCCAAAAGAGGACAAAGTTTAAGCCCCGGGCGCATTTGATCCGTTAGAAGTCCTCAACTGAAAAGCTAGAGAGTGGAGCTGACACCACTTTCCTAACTGCTCTCTTTGTGTCTCATTGTGACACAGAGAGATCAATTAAGAGTAGAGCTGTCAATACAGGGCTATATCATGTAACAGATCAGCTCCACATTACATACCATTAGAGGAAAGGTTGGAAGGCTGCCTGTGCGACAAACGCAGTACCAAAATGAACTATGAAAAGAGTAATCGCTCATAACTGGAAAATTGTTCTAACAAAAGCCTCATTTACCCTCTGGCAACATTTACAATTAGAATCAGTGGATTAATAATTTACATGAGGTAATCACAGTGAAATGCTGCTGCAATCAAATCATCCTTTTCATTAATATTGTAATCTGTATTAAAGTTAGTAAACAAAATGTTTTCCCTTTTGTTTTGAAGGAGGAAATATGTGAATTGTCTTCATGGAAAATTAACAAACTGAAGCGCAGATTGGTTTTTGTTCCTCGTCTAATAATGCATGTGTTTTTGGTGCAGCTGCTCTTGTCTCAGAAGTTTTGCCCTCTGTATCCCAAAAATGAAGAATTGATTCTTTTGTACTTCCAGCCCAATGTAAGCTCTCGCCGGCGTATTGCACTCATAGATCTGTGTCTCAAGAGTTTTTGTTCCTGACTTTCAGAAACACTAAAGAGGAAAAAATAGACTGTTCAACTGCTCATGTTTTTAACATCTTTTTACACTTTAAATTCGGGCTTTCTTCTCTCTGTTTCTTTCTGAGAGCCACATTTAATCAATCAGTCTTTATTAGTATAGCCCCAGCTAACAAAAACTGTGGTATATCAAGACTTAAAATAAAGCATGTCTAGACTAGAATCTATCATATTATTTACAAAAACTCAGCAACAAGAAAAGATCAAATTCGATCTCTTCCTGTCCTGTCTTTTTTCATGAGTCATATTTGGGGATAATTTTGCCTTTTTTTTTTTTAGATGAAAGCTGAAGAGAAACAGGAAATGTAGGGAGGGGAGAACAAGGGCAGACATGAAGCAAAGGGTCATGGTATTGAACCAGCAGTAGGGATGGGTGATATGGGCTAAAAAATGTATCATGATAAGATTTGCCATTCTGGCGAGAATGATAAATAATATTATAATTCCAATCTATATTTTTGACTTGTTTTGTCTTGAGAACATCAGCTGGAATAGTCAAATAAGATACTCAACCACAAGTTTGAGAGGTAGGTTATGGAGAAAACTATTGACATCAAACAAGTCTCAAATGTGAAAATACTTTCAACATTTACTGAAACTCTTGTTGCATAGAGTGAACAGCAGCAGATCCACTGCCCAATGTCAGGCATACCTGATTGTACTCATCTAAATCCCAATCTTGAGGGAAATCCCTCATGTGGAGCCTCATTCAGCAACAAGCTGCCCAGAAACGTCTTCTTCATTACCTTCAGCCATGTTTGTTTGTTATTCTGCTCCGTGTAGGCTATGGCTGCGAGTCCATTACTTGCACTTACATCATCAACTTGCATTTATCATATGAGATGGTAAATATTTATCATGGAGGATTTTTCTGATGATATATCATGAACGATAATTTAGCGCCCATCGCTAACCAGCAGCTTCTGCAATAAAGACTGTAGCCTCTATACATGGGGCGCTGGACCACAGGGCCATTAGCTCCCAAATCATGTCAATACAAATCCACCATGAGCAGCATTTAGGAAGTTACAGCAAGTACATTTACACCTTGTTCAAAAAAATACATTAATTGTATTAGGTCAACTGACACTGGACTTTTAAAATATATCAGAAAACAATAATTCCAATAAAAGACGGTGTAAAATACAGAGATAATGCAGTTGAGTAAAGTTTTCTCATCCATCCTATTAATGGCAAAGAAAAACTGTCTCTTAACAGGCAGAGACCTCGAGCAGAACTGGACTGATGTTGCTCATCAATCTGCTTTGACTGTACTGAGACTGGAAATAGGGACAGAGGAAATGCAGAAAGACAGAAAAGGCAGACATTGACGGCAGCAATAACAACAACACACAACAACAGCTTATACAGGCTTATAGTTACAGTCCTAACAATGATGGTAAAAGTATGCACACTCTTCACAAGAACAGCAAATGAATCTCAATAGATCGATCTAAATATTTGTGACAGTTAAAGTCAGCTGGTCTCTCATTAGTGCTTCTCAAAATGATGTTGATTATAGGGGTTTGATAATATTAATCAAAGCATTCAGAGTCAAGCTAACCTAGAATTAATGTTACAGAAATAATAATGCTGAGACTTATACATGGTAGCATTAAGAGTGGCAGGTCCACAGTGGCAGGCTGTCTGTAACAATGATCCAGAGGAACGCACAAGACAAGGGAGCTCAGGGACCCTGAGAAAGATCTGTGGTTAGCAACTTAAAAAGGCTGTGGAGTTTTAAAGTTAGTACCATGCACGCAGATAGAGGAGGGAGAGGGAATGACAGAGAGTAACAGGAAATTTCTCTCTAAGGTGTTTGGGGCCAAGAACAATAACTTCAGTTTTTTATTTTCCAAATGTAGGGCAGCAAAAAAGTTCTGATCATGCAGGTCATCATGTTTCTAAGGCAAACAGTACTCCCAGTTTAGTTAGCTGATTGGTTTCTCCTGGCTGAAGTGTTGAGTATAACTGAGTGTCATCTGCATCACTGTGAACATTTACTGACCTGTTATATCTGATATTACCCAGGGCAAACATATATAAACTAAGTACTGAACCTTATGGTACTCCATGGCTAACTTTGCTGTGCGCAAAAGAGGCTGATCTGATAAATATGATTTAAACCAAGCCAAATCTGTCCCTGTATAATCCCAATTAGCTGCTCTTGTCTCTGTAAGACAATGTGAAGGGCAATTAAATTACATGCAGTACTAAGATCTAACAGAAGAAGTACAGAGAAAAACCTAACTGTCTGGGGCCATAAGTTGGTCATTTCAAAGTTTCACCAGTCCAGTCTCTGTATTATGGTGGACTCTAAGCTCCACTGAAAAACTCAAATGAACTGTTTATGATGAAAAAGTCACTGAGACAGTTAGCCACTACTTACTCAAATGGTATTTAAATAAAGGAGGTTTGATACAGGCCTGAAGTTAGCTATCAGACATCTCTGAAATCTGCAAAAAAAACTAATCAGTTATTTTAAGAACTCTGTCATTTTTTGCTTTTTTATTTACCTATTTCTTTTCTATATCAAAATATGTTACAGGGTTAACACTTTATTTGACGCCTTTCTCTATAATGCATTATAAATATATGTATAATGCGTTATAATCACGTTATAGCACTGTATAACTATAGTCATAGTCACTCATAAATGATCATAGTGCTTTATCATAATAATCATAACACATTATAAAGCATTTTTTCATGACTTACAAGAGCAGGTATTATAATGTGTTATAACTTTTAACAACTCACTGACAATGCCCACATAGATAATGCAATGCAACTGTTGTTAACAGTTGTAACACATCATATTACCTGACCTTGTAAGTCATGATGAAATACTTACAATGTGTTGTGATTTATGCCATAAAGCATTATGATCATTTATGAGTGTTTATAACTATAGTTATACAGTGCTATAACTGGATTATATCGCATTATACATATATTTATGATGCGTCATAGAGATAGGCATCAAATAAAGTGTCACCGTTATAGGTTACCCTAAATGCTACAATAGAGAATACAAAGTCTTGGACCTGATAACGGTTTTATTAATGACTGGTAAACACCCTACATGGTCAACACTTCAGTATGTGCTCTGCCCAAGCAGTCCGGCACATTTAAGAGGATTTTGTTGCTTTCCTCCTAAAAATAAGAATAAGTTACATGTTGTAAAGAGGACTTGCAGTCATTTTCTTTTGCCACAACTTCCCACCACATGCAAATATATGCAAATGCTTCTGTTGATCTTACCATGGCAACATGTACGTATGTGCAGCAGTACTTCAGCTACAAGTCAAGCATTTAGAAAGTGTTGGCAACAATTTGTTGCAGCCTCTAACAGCAAACCCAAGTGAGTGATAGTGACTGAATCACAGTTTTTCTCAGTGCAGTCGATTCTTCTGCAGCAGAGGTCGTTACAGCTACAGCACAGAGCTCAGATATATCTTATTTTTTTTCAGTTCTGAAGTGCATGTTTACTGCTCACTCAGCACTAACAGCTAAGGGTTTAAAATGAGTAATCAATAATCACTCCTTCCCATGTCTTCTCTCGTTCACTATCACTTCTGCCCTCATAACTCTTGCTTTCCATCCCTCTTTCACAGGTATACTTGTCTCAATGGGTGAGGCCCACTGATCCAGTAATCCCTCCACTTCCCCTCCACTTCCCTGCCCTCCTCTTTTCTTCACAACGGTGACCCTCCCTGTAAGTTAACATGGCATCCACCAGTAAACTATTGGGTCTGGCTGAAATGGGGCTGAAGTGTGACCAGGAGATCGAGAGGCGATACGAGATTGTGCCGTCGGTGGTCTGCTCCATGTGCTGCCTCTTTGGGATCATCTATTGCTTCTTTGGTAAGTGATGATACAGTCAAAGTTTTACCCATTAGGTTTAAACAGCTACTCTCTGAAATATGTCTAAAAAGTGTTCATGCATTAAATGAAAGCGCTGAAAAGTATGATTTAATTAAAAGCTTGAAATTGCTCATGTATAATTTCAGTATCTGGTGTCTATGTGTTGAAATACAGTTTGCACTCCTGCCTCATTATTTGCTGTGTACAGCACCATCACGACAGGCTAATGTAGCTGTCACTGTGGTAAAACCAGATATCTGTCAACTGAAATGGTTTCCAGTTTGGCTTATCTTTAAAGGAGCAGTCTGACATTTTGTGAAACAAGCTTGTTTATTTTATTATTTTCTTTAAGCAGCTCTTCTTGTCTTCAACCTGCACATTACTCTGCTGTCCATATCCCACCACTATCATCCTGATGCTCCTTGCCTCAAATTAAAAACCCTGCTATTTGTTTACAAAACTCAGCTCACAACTCTCTGCCAATGAAAGGCACCAGGTGCTCCAGTGTTTTAACAGATTTTGAGATCTTTATTGGATTTGATAAGTGAGACTGATTTCCAAACTCTTTGACCTTGAAAATTATTTGGGGGGCTTTCAACTGGACTGATTCATGCATCAAATGAAGGGTGTGCAGTGTTGAGTGCACTGGCAGGCCATGGCAGCAGCTTACAGCAGGGTGGAAGCTCCAACTGCGGACAGAGATTCATTATCAAGATTACAGTCTTGTGTTTTTTTCACTTAATACCCTTTGTTCACTGAATGACTACAGTGGAAAGTGTTTTGACTGTCTTTTTCAAGAAGAAAACACTTCAGGAACTCTTCCCCTGAAACTGATGAGGCACTTTGTGCCCATATTATAACAGGACCAAAGGTCTCCAGCCAGACTCTTCTCCTTTATAGTCCACAGTTGATGGGATGAAAAGCCGGATCAGGGACACCTGCATATAGGGCTGGGTGATAAAACAATAATGATATACATCGAAAATTGATTTCCCTCAATATCAATATAAAACATGGTCAAAATCCTTTTTGATAGTCGGCATTCTGTCATGTTTTGGTAGACTATACAAATAGCCAATGAAAAGGGGAGTTGCTCCGGGTCCATTTCACGCTGAACCAATCATGTGCTGAATTAGAACCAAGTAGTAGACAACTGTGTAGTAGCAGGCTGCAGCTACACTCAACCATAGCACTTTAACACGTGAAGCCGACAGCACTGTTGGTGAGAAAAAAAAGAAAACGAGTGCTACCCCCGGCAGAAATGCACATTGAGGGCTCTATTTTCGTGCCTCGCTGGAGACGTGCCGCAGGCGCGGCTTAAGTCAGGTCCGCCGCGCCGACAAGGCGTTCCCAAGCACAATTTGGTATTTTGGTGAGCAGCGCAGCCCGGCGTAAGGTTCCCCCCTCCCTAACTCAGCTCCTCCCAGTGGCGTAAGTCGCAGCGAGGGAGGAGAAAGGGCGTGGAGTGGGTTTAACACAGCCGAGACCTGTTTTCACCAATCACATCAGCTCCTCTCCTTGCCTTTAAATCCGCCACATGCGAGGCGTATTACAATTTTCATGAAGTAGTCGAAGAGATCAAGAGATGTCTGAAGACAGTAATGCCACACGATGGCGACAGAGGGCAGCTCCTCAACAAGTGTCACTGTAAGCACTGCATTGGGCGTCCTCCACACTCTCTCATCTGAGCACAGATGGATTTGATGTGTGTAATGTTGGACCCACTGGTAAGACAAACACCCTTTTCCACAAATAAAGACACGCACATAAAGTTGCCTATATTCAAACCTCACATGACAAAGGTGGGTTGTGTGCACAGATCACATCATAAACTCCAAAAATGGCATTAAAATCTGAACCATCTGTGCGTAAATGACATAGATGTCATAGATGTTGGCATATAAAATAAATTTGGCCGACAAAACTGAATATTATAATATCCGTTTGTCGGCTTAAAGTAAATAACTCATCTGAGCACTGAAACAAATCATCTGTTCAGCCGCTGCAGGACGGAGAGAGGACACGGAGACATGTCCAGGTCGAGCTGTGCGAGTGACAAAGGCCCTCAAGATGATGATATTGAGGTCAACTAAGTCAATTACATGTGAATTCAACAACTCTCACCGTCAGCCACCTGGATCCATGAATTTTTGTCATCATAACATTTTAACCAGCCAGCATTCAGGGGGTTTTGTATACTTACTCATCAGAGTTGTGCAGCTAAGTCCTTTTCCCTTTACTAGAATGATTAAAATTTCTCCTCTTATGCTGTCTCCAAACCTCAAAGTTAACATGCAGCCCATAAAGTGTGCTTCATAGGTCATTTCATCTGTGTAAGGAAATTAAATGAAGTGCCTTAAAATGATGTCTTTGCATAGACACAGTTTCATCAAAATCTAAAAAAAACAATTTGGAGAGATGCCGTCAGAGTAATCATTGGAAATCATCAGAGCTGTGTAATCCTTCAAAAAACAAATTAGCATATTGAACATGAGGTTGAACTGCATATTTACAGTTTATCTCATCAGGAAAATGCGTAATTTCCTAACAGCTACCTTGAGTTATCTTAACCTACTGTGCTTTACACATTTAAAAGCTGCTCAGGTGTGTTTTACAATGTAAACATCCTTTTTACCAAAGAAAAAAAAAGTATTCAGGCACTGGTCTTATAATCAAAAGGGAAAAAAAAGGACGTCGGCCAGGAGCATAAATGACAGCCTTGATGGAAACACCAAAGGAGGCACATGTAGCTGTGATATATTTCCTGGACGTGTTAGTGCCAGGAAATAATTGGAAGTGCTGAAACATGCAGCCAAAGAGCCCTGAAATCTCCACTGTTTATCATTTTTCTGTCATTTCTATTTCACTCGGCTCAGCTGCTGTATGATTTTATTGATTCAAGAGGAGTACAGGAGAGGTTGCTTTCTTTCAGGCTGGGTGAATCAATTTTAAAATCCCAGTCCAACAGACAAGGCTACACTGTGATAGTACTTTAGCATTCAGTATTAACTTTTCTTCAATATAAAGATCAGACTACACCACGGTGAACTCACAGAGTTACACCAAATCCTTAAATCTACATCACACTTACACACTCTCCCTAACAGATGTCAGACTTATTAGACCCCTGGACTCCCTGCTGGTGTTTAAAGAGAAAAGACATCTTACTGTCTGCTGCTTATTTAAAGACATCCTGTTTCTGTCATTGTAATGCTGCAGCAGTAACAGGCAGAGAAAAGGGAGCACAGAGTTTAATGATGTGAATCCCCTGTTGTTCTGGTTTTGATTCCTCCGTGCAAACACATTGACTCATACTGTATGCAAAGGTCATTTCACTTATTAAGACATTTGTCCTTTGCATGAGGCTTGATTTCTTGACCTGTGAGTGACCGTTTTTATTGCATCAAACTCATCAAAGCCTCATCCTAATACATTTAGAAGTTAAGCCATTACAGGAATGTGTAATCAATGAATAATTAGAGAGAAAGAGATCTGTTATAATGGTTGACATGAGAGTTTATCATCAAGGAATATTTAAATCCCCATGAAAACGGCAAATAATGACATTTAAATCAGAATATTCGATGCAGCTTTTCTACACTGGTACAATTGATTTTAGTGAATTACTTAGAGATGTCGAACAGCAATGTTTATTTATTTTACTGAAGCCTCTCCAGTCGGTGTTGCAGTGAATTTGTTTGGGTTGAGGCTTTGTAAATTGATAGATTTGGGAGAACTTCAGAGACAGACCCAAGCAGCAAAGATCAAACTGCATGCAAATTAAAAAGTAGTTCTTCAGTATACAAAGTAGAAAGACTTGAATGCTCTCCTGCTGCATGCAGGTGAATGCCTTGCAGTCCTCATTAAGTTCTGTGTTACAATTCTCATTTTGACAGCAGAAATAAACATGTTTGAAGCCTGTTACAAAAGATAGCCCTGCTCACAGTAACACATTTCCTGCCCATGGAAACTGTGGGGGGTGAATAATTTATAACTCATCCATTTCGATTACAGCAAGGCCCAGAGTTATGCATTAAACTAAATAATAAGGGGCACAGTGGCATGAGTGACAGTCAGGCCAGGAGGCTTAAAGGTGGGGTAGGCAGGATTCCATTAAAGAAGCAACTTTTTTGTGGTGTATGTACAAAAAAGCTTTTAATATCAGTCAATAGGTATTAGTTATTGATGACATTTGGTAATATAACGAATCATTGCATTTTGTCATATCTGTGTAGTCAACATTTTAAATTTTTTGAGAGGCCCGATCTGTCTGACTGTAAACGAAGCCATTCTCCGCCTCCCCCAACCTGACTGGTTGTAAGGTGGACGCTGCTCCCCCGTGTCGTTCACGAGCCCAAACAAAGTTAGCGTGTTACAATATCGGACAGTAGAAACTAACCAGAAAGTACAGAAAATTGTCTGAATCATCCTTTGGCCACAACTGCCAACACAAGCAATAAAACAAAGTAAATACCGGAGACTGGCAGGATGACGGGCGCTTAAAAAGGAGGTAGACCAGACAAGAGCTAAAAAGCCAGGTCAACCTCAATGAAACATAGGCGCTTCAGGATCTTACAGACCCTATAACCTTTTCTGCTGGACAGGTAAACCGCTTGAACAAAGTAAGTCCAGTGTCTGTAACTGAAGTGTTTCTTGTGAAACAAGACCTGCTGCGTGTTGTAGCGCCACTAAACTGTTGACCTCGGGTCCTGGACTATGTCACTTTATCCTTGTTTTGGAAGTCCTGCAAACATTATGTTTGCTGGTAGTCTGTTGGCATCTACAGTAGCACCAATGCTTTTTACTTTCATGTTGGCTGGGCCCCATTTGTAATCATCTGAAGTATTTATCTGGATTATATCAGAATTTAATTGAAACGATACGAGCGAGCAGGAGCCTGTTTGTGGGCGGGGCTTTCTGGAGCAGAGAGGGAGGGGAGAGGAGGAGCTGAGGGGAAAACTGGTTTGGAGGGATAGTGTTTACATTCAAGATTTCTCCCAAAAACCGGCACTTCCTCAGATCCTGACTACCCCACTTTCAAGGCCTGCCTTAGCTCCATCTCTCTGCCTGACATTTAAAATTAGGTTGAGTCTTAATTTCAAATATTTTGACCGTAATCTTTGGGTTTTATAATTCCTCTATTCTAGAAATTGCTGGATGATTTTACTGAGACCACACAGTCTGTGGTTTTAGCAATTTTGGCTGCCTGTGGACAAAGGGTTATCTCTGTTGATCCTCTCTGGTCCATGTGGGAGTTTATGTCTGTTTTTTTATTTAATCTTTTTTTCAACAGTAAACTTCATCAGCCAATGTAAGTCTTTGCTGTAGATAATGTCAACAAAGTCTGTTCCTACATTACACTGTAACTCACTTTATTTGACACCTATCTGGTGGCAAATAACTGTGGAGATAATAGGTTTTATCCCAAATCACCTTGTTTTGTTGCATTTGGAGGTTACAGAAAAGCACCAGCTTTAATATCAGTCTGTTACATAACCAGTTAAAATATTCCCACAGGAGCTGTAAAGTAAAGCAAACAGAAGCTCAACATTCAGATTGTTTGTGTTTTGTGCTAATTGGCCAAACCATAACCTTTAATACATCCCATAAAAATCACATTCATCAAAACTCTAAATATGCTGTTTACCCTGCAGACGTGAATATTTGTTAGTATCTGTTCCACCAGGGGACACTGACATCAACATAGCAAAAAAAACATCTGTTAAGGGAAATGTAATGTTACAAAACTGGGAATAGTGCTGTCAAGATTACATGTAAACTGTAAATTTTGGGGGGCTGTTTTTGGATGAATATTTATGTAAGTTGTAGCTCTGAGCAGATTTGTTGCATACAAATATGCAGACCCTGACTCATTGGAGCATACAAGTGCCATTAACATTCATTGTATATGTCCTGGTAAAGCATCAGCAGCGTCAGCTCCTGCATCACAAACAAGTTTCCCAACAAGTTTATTGTACAAGGTTGACAGCATGCAGTAAGAGTCTGAACAAATAGCTGGGTGGATAAAAATGTGGAAAACATTGCTTTTGTTCATCCTCACTGCAGGGATGGAAGAAAATGGCAAGTTGCCCTTGACAACGGTGTTGTATCAGCCTTAAGATCTCTCTTCTTTTTATAGCATGCTAACGGTACAATCGTGTCAGTTAGCAAGTTAATTATCATGCAAGCTAATTAATGTTATCTCTAAATGCCCAATTAACACCAGCTCTGAGAGCCTCCAGTCAGTCAGCTCATCAAAAGGTTGTTTGGTATGTTTCCAAAGTAAAATCTCAGCAAAGTGTCAAAAAACAAGGAGAAATGGCACCATTATACTTCGAAAGCATGATCTCTTCAGTTCTTTACCATCTGTTATCCGTTTGTCCGTTTGTTATCAGCAAACTTTGACAAAAAAGGAAGACAAAGAGGCTCATTTTCACCTTCAGCACCACACTTTGCTCTATAACCCTACAAGATCACTTTTCTGCAAATAAGACACAGTGCATTCTGTTGACATTTCACAGACACCCCACAGTCACACTTGAGAAACCCTGGAGGAAAAGCTCCTTCCTGTTGGTTTCTTACGGGTTAGATTGAGTCCCCCTGCTGATAGATGCCTCGAGCTATTGGATTTTTAGATGAAAGGTTAGCCGCCATTTGTTTTCATCAGGAAGGATATAGGAAGTTGCAGCAGATATGATGAGTGATGTTACATTGAGAAGATGGATGAGGCCAAATAAAAGAGAGGGGAATAAAGGGGGGTGGGGGCTGGATCAGTCAGAGTGAACAGATGGGATGGAAGGTTTGAGGGCTGGGGGAAAGTAGGGGAGGCAATGAGGAACAAAAGAGTTGAGTATCAGGGTAAGCAGAAGAGTGGAGCAGTAGTGGGTTAGAGTAAGGAAATAAGGGAAGTGCACAAGGAGAGAGGATGAGGAGCAGCTGAGGAAGAGCAGAATGTTTCAGGCGGTAGTTTTTGATGGCTGGAGACTATCCAATGTGGAAAGACAATCTTTGTAATTTGTGGTAGCTGTTGACAAAATTAATTTTCTGTCCTCAATGTCAGATTTGTGTTCTCTTGTGTTCGGCTGAAAGAGATCTAGAAAGAGCTTCATTCATGAGGGAGGTGCATGGACAGAGGGTTGGATGAGAAGAAGAGTATTGTGTGGCTCGGCTGTGCAACGCCTGATTACACAAAGATAACAATCTGATGTTGGTTCCCCTCGAGACGCAGTCCAGTCAGACGGAGACAGAAGAAAACAGAGCGAGAAATAAGAGAAGACACAGGCATTAATAAACACAGAGGCAAGCTCATGAGATCTGAACTGTTGATAAGTTGAAATTCTTTGGCGGTCAGAGTAAAGCGCATAAAAATGGAAATAAAGTGATGAGAGAGGAAAACCAAGGACAAGGGGGGACAATGCAAAGAGGGGAGAGAAAGGTGGAGGGAGAGCAGCTGTTCTGTTCAGAGAGGCTGTTGACAAATGAATGTGAATGACCTTTTGTAAAACAATGATTATGCACTTTAAAAAAGCTTCATAAAGGCTCATGGAGACTATTTATCCCCTCTTAGCTGGACTTGCAATGAGGTTATATCTCTGCATGTGCGGATAAAGAGCTCCTTGACAGTTAGGGCAAATTAAAACTATTAATTGTTCGGCTGTGCTTCATTATCCCTTCATATAAAACGTAATCCTCTTTGTTTAGATGTAATTACACTCATTAGTTTTCAGTGACTTATGTTTGACTCAAAGCAACCTTTATTGTTTCATGAAGTATATGTGCTTTATTTTTCATTCTGATGCCAGCAAAAGAACTCGGGACAAGAACAACAAAACACTGACAAAGCTGTGAAATGTTTAAAAAACTATCCCCTTACTATCTGGGTTGATTTCCAACAGGTTAGTAACATGACTAGGTATTAAAAAGGGGATTCCTAGAGAGGCTGATAATGTTCCTTGGTGTAAAATTGCAACACGATGACATCTTGGCTGCTGTGGGACCTTTTTGTATATGTTGACATTGGCGCCCCCTGTATACACAGTTTATACCTGTAATATATTGTCCTGTTTTTGTGGAAGTTGGAGGTTATGGCCACAATTGAACCAGCAATTGCGCAGTACGTTTACATGAGACTTGAGAAAACCGAGTTATTGCCTTACTCTGATTCAGACTGGACACCTGCAGTGCATGTAAACACCTTAATCCGACTATAATCGGAGTTTGAACACTTAGATTGGAGTCGGTGAACTCCAATTAAGACACCAAGATAATGCGATTGGAATTCAGTTTTCTCAACCTTGTAACCAGCGTAGTCGGAGTATGCTTGAACAATGCATGTGCACGTGACCCCGGAACACAAACACCAGATAAGAAGTGATGAAAAAAGTAGCGCGTACATTATGTACAACAAAAACAACGCAGTACATTGATCCATCTTTTTGCTTGAAAATGCCCAGCAGCAGTTGTAGCCACTTCTGACGTCTGGCACGGACCTGCTGTTGTTGCTGACAGTTGTATGGGGTCAACTGGAAAGAGCGCCGCTGAAAAGACCCATATCGCCCCCTAGTTTTGGGGAGGAGGACATGTTCCCGTCAATAATTCGATTTTCTCAGCTGCATGTATACGCAGACAAGGAGAGAAGTCTGATTCGGCAAAGTAAACAAACTATGAGCTTAGTCCGATTAAGCTGTGCATGTAGACGCACTGATCATGACGGGGACTTTAGCCTTTGTACATGGGGCATAACTGCTAACCACTAAGCTAGCTAGAGGTTGCAGCTAGATTTAAAAGTAGAGTCCAGGGGCCTCATGTATCAATGCTGGCGGCGCCAGAAAACCTTGCATTCGCCAAGATCGGCGCAAACGTCCAGATTTATCATCGCGACACGAGCGTCGGTTCCAGCGCAAATCCACGCAAAGTGAGGAGGTGGTGAAGAAGTTGGCGTTGAGCCGATACTTGCGTTAACGGCACTTTGGCGACACTGTGTGGCGGTGTTTGGTGACTCACTATGTGACAAGCGAGCACCACATCCCCGTGGCCGAGCAGAACATCGCCCCACATGACGAACCAGCAGCAGACGGAGGGATGCGAGCTGATCCCTGCCGGGCCGCCGTCCTCGCGCGGGAGAATCTCATCACCACAATGTGAATGGGTAAGAAGTGAATACACAGTTCAATGAGCCAAATTAATTTATTTTCGCCACCAGACGCTCGAGGACATTAACGAGCTGGTCCAGCCGCTCGTTGATCCCCGCAATCCCCCTGATGATTTCTTCCTGCGATTGCAGGACCGCCTCCGTGAGGACCCTTCCACTGCGTCCGGGTGGTCCAGCGGAACTGCGCGGCTGGTGGACGCTCCACCGCTTGTTGGCGCGCTGGTGCTGGTGCTGGTGCTGGTGCTGGTGCTGGTGCTGGAGCCGGGGGCCGGGGTGGCCCGAATGCCGCTGGTCCTGGCCGACGACTCCGAGCCGGCGGACGGGCTGCCGCGGGCCGGGGTTCCGCAAGCCGGCGACACGGCCGACACATTGATTTCTGTGACACAATAAAAATATTGGTTCATTTCAATTCCTGCTTCTGTGTATCTATTGCGTTTACATCTATGGCAAAGCATGTGGACATTTGTGTGACACGCCACTCACCCTCTGGCAGGCTGTCTGAGTCGCCGCGGGTAGCGGCGACAATCCCCCCCACAGAGGCGCCCCCCATAATCGCCACCACCCGCTGCTCAAACGGCGTGAGGGTCTCCTCCCCCGGACCCCCACCTGTCTGGCCGGTACTCCTCTGGAGGGCAGCTGTACACCGCTTGACCTCCACCTTGAGGTCCGACCACTTTTTTTTAATCTCCGCGGGGGTGTGTGTCTCGGAACCCACCACGTTCACCCTCTCGCAAACTTTCTCCCACTCCAAGCGTTTTCGTTTTGCACTGACACCACTGGACAGGCTGCCAAACAATACACACTGTCGCTCCTCCACCTCGCACGCCGTAAATTTCGTTTTTCTTGTCATTTTGTCTGCGTACGAGGACAGGAAGACCCTATTTAAATAAATCTGCACATTTATAGGTGGGCGTAACGGGGGCGGGCCCGGTCACTCTGACATCTGCGCTCAATTCCAAGCTGATTGGGATTTATCAAGGAAACACACGTGGCTTTCGGCGCCCGCACACCTTGATACATACGAATTTTTTTCAGCGTGACGGACCTTGCGTGCGCTCGTTTCCGGTATGAGTCCCACGCAAGTGTTGATACATGAGGCCCCAGGACTCCAGGATATAAGGAAACTGGTCAAATTTACAAACGGGGACAAAAAAGATGTTTGAATTCTCTCAACAGCTTGTTTCTATTTTTCAGTCGCTTATAAGTGCACAGTACAGTCCGGATGTTTTATTAAAATGGGGATCATTAGTTACAAGGAGCCCAGCTGCACAGCATGGAGCAGCATTTGTATGCTTGTGACAGCCTCACAGTGGTCTGTTCCTCTTTTCTCCTGCAGGCTATCGATGCTTCAAGGCCGTGTTGTTCCTCACAGGCCTCATGTTCGGCTCCGTGGTCATCTTCATGCTTTGCTACAAAGAGAGGGTGATGGACACTCAGCTCAGTGTCGAGGCATCAGTGGGCATTGGCTTGGGCATCGGAACCCTGTGTGGGCTTGTGACCATGTTGGTGCGCAGTGTGGGACTGTTTATGGTGGGCCTGCTGTTGGGCCTGCTGGTCGGAGTGGCTTCACTGGTGGTGAGGAGACATATTTGATGTACTTTCATTTGCAATTTTGTCCTTTCCTCTTTTTTATTAAAGCACATATTTTCCCTCATACAGCTGTTGATTTTTATTCATCAGCTGACCTTTTATAAATCTGGCAAACTCTGCAGAAGGTGTTCAGATATATTCATTTAAACAGACTTTTCATGAGGCACTTGAAACATGAACTGAAAATACCACACTGCCAAATAAAAACTAACCCCTGTCTCTATTTGGAAGGTAATGGAGGAGTTCTACCATCCACGGACAGTGTGGGTTCCCCTGGGTATCCTCCTAGGCTCTGGGACTTTGTTTGCTGTCCTCACCCTTCAGTGGCAGCGCTGCTTTGTCACCTTCTCCACTGCCACATTCGGCTCTGCCATTATTACCGTCACCGTGGATTACTTTATAGAGCTGTTTGCCTTGGTACACTACGTCTACGAGAGACTCAGGGTAGGCCTGTTTGTGTGTTTGGGTGTGAGTGTTTTTTTTTTTTCTTTTGGTGCTTTTTTCTGTATTTTTGACAGGTCATGTATACAGCACCAGTGGGATTCAATATCAAGTTGTTTGCCTCGGTCAGCAGCTTGCTTTTGTGTATGTTTGCAATTGAGCAGGAGTCCAGCCGCCAGTTTGAAGGCTTACAAATGAGATCTGTGAAATGGAGTTCAGTTTACAAAAGCTGTCTTTCCTGAGTCTGCAGGTTGGAATTATGAGGAGGTTAAAGGGATATTCCAGCGTAAATTTAAGTTATGGTCAAACACACCGTAACACCAAGTTAGACACCCCCTCGAGAGATGAATGTTGCTGACCGCTTGATTCTCTAGTTCCAACAACTTCAGCAACGACCGCACAATAGCAATGCACAGTGGTCTACGTCTCCACATGCAAACCTCAACCAAAAAGCCACTCTATAGATACAAGTAATGCTCAGAACAGCACCTAACTTCATCAACAGTATATATAGGGTCCCAGCCATAGCACTAGCCATCAAACATCTTTTTAACTTTGCCTGACTTCTTTAGCAAAGGGACTAAACACAACTCACCCATTCTCCTCCAGCAGCCGCTTGTTTGTGGAGGAGCCCTGACGAGTCGATCACCGCAGCGGATCATTTCTTTGAATAATCATCATAATAATCATTTTGCACTGCAGACACGGTAGTTCTTCTGCCTTAGTGTCTTGTTCTGATTGCATTTCCATGAAGTAATGATCATAAATGTTCTTCCTTGAGCTGCGAAACTCTGCTGTTCGATGGCTAGTACTATGGACCTTGAAAGATGTTGTAACTTAAATTTACGCCGGAATATCCCTTTAAATGAATACTTCATTAATACTTGATTCTGACAGGGAGGTCTGTGCATTTATAGGCAATGTGGATAAAACTTCAGCTTGAGCATATTTTGACAAGTGACAGAAAGTAAGACAGTCATTTTATGGATTCAGTTTAAAAGCAGTTAAAACTATCCAGAGGTATTTAACTCATGGAATAAAATTGCTCAAAAGTCAAAGCACGTCATCGCACTCAGTTAATGCAGTATGATCATAAAACAGTCCTGCACAAACTACAGTCACTGTGGAGGAAGACAGAGCTACCCCTGTCTTCAAAGTTTATGCTATTGGAATCTCTTTTGCTAAAATATCAGCCCATCTGTCTCTGGATGATGACTCATATCACCCAAATGCTGGCATGAACATCAGAAGTTTCATAAAGTACCTCACGATCACTCAGAAATGGTGGCCAGACAGACGGTGAGCAATCAGCTCCGCTCCTGATTTCACTGCTGAAGTCCTTCTGTCAAAGTCAAAAAGGTAATCAGTCAGTTTGAGGAGGAAAAACTTCCAGAGAGTGTATGTTTTTTACTTGGACATGAGTTTTACTCCTTTGAGTCTGATTTATATAGATGGGTGCATTTAAGTTTGTCCATTTGCTGCTCTTAGTCAATCAAGTCAATCTTTTTGTCAACCATTATCACACCCATGACACTTTACAGGTACTTGTTTCCATGTGACTGATATAACAGAGGTAATCTTTGCAGGTGGCACCCAAGCGGCCTGTGTGCTGGTTTACCTGGGTCATCTTGGGGGTGTGGCCTGTCCTGGCTTTACTGGGAGTGCTGATCCAGTGGAAGGTCACAGCAGAGGGATTTTCTCACACAGAAGGTGAGTGATGCTGCTTCACACGCACAGGCAGACTTTTAATAATAGGTTTAAAGTCTGACTTTCCACACAGGTGTTGTAGGAAAAGCAATTTTACTGCTTTACAGCAGGATGTATTTAGATTTTATAGAGATGTAAAGGGCTGTATAATCAAGATACAGTGGCTCATTGTGTAATTAAACCTGAAAGACAGAGAATTAAAATGATTTACATGCTCTTTGAAGTTCGAACATGATAAAACACCAAAGCACAACGCTGTTTTTCTAAAAAAGAGACTTCATTCTGAGATATTGAGCTATTTATATTACCTCTGAGTTAATCATGATCTCTAAAAAAAGAAAATATAAGCAGTGAAATAAAAATTTAACAACCAGCCTCAAACTGAACTCTGCAGTCTTTGCAGGTGAGTGTTGAGGTCAGGTGATGTGGAGAGGCAGGTCTCCAGCAAGTTTAGACAATCCATAAAAATTCAGGACCCTTTGTGATGGAGAAATGTCTGAGCGAAGGGACGGAGATGAAAAGTGTGTCCTTGTGATATGTCAAACACACACGCGCACACACAAAGAGGAAAAAACTTTGATCGTTTCTCAAAGATTTTCATCAAATCTAAACGAATAAACATCTCATGTATAAACAGTTACCTGCACCGAGGCTGTCCACTTTGTGCTGAATAGAGCTAAAGCCAGACACAGCCGCTGCTCCTACCTGTAAGTGTGAGTGATGGATGAGCTCTGAAACAGCTGAATCAAGTGAGAGTGCGCTCTCCTCACCGTGTCTGCTCAAACTTTATGGTAATAAGAGCCACAGCCCCACAGCCACAGGCTGTAGTCAAGGCCAGTGCAGACTTGTTAGAAAATGTTTAAAAATATGTTTGATCAAGCTAAAATCACACATTTGTTCAGGCAGGGAGGAATAATCTGCAGGGTCTGTTTTTCAGCCTTAATATTGGAGTGTGGATCACAGATAAGAATCAGCTTATGTCATGCACCTCGAAGCCATGTAACAGAATTTATCACAAATATCACCCATCTCCATGGCAGCGGCTGTGCACTGAAGGAGGGCTGTTGCTGTTATATTCACACTATAGAAGGTGTTTAAGTCGCACATGCTGGAAGTGTGCTGTACAGCTGCACTGAACCCAGATTAGGCTTTTAAATGTGCAGCTTTTCAGCAAAATCACATGTTAGTTTTTATTCAGTTTAATCACTTTTGTCAGTATGTCATGATGAGGCTGTCAGTATCAGTCTGACAAAGGTAACTACAGGCTGGTCCTATTTAATGAGGAATAACAAATTGATGATTGCAGTGTATGTGCTGTGCATGTGCGTGTGTGTATGTCTGTGTCTTTCTGTGTGTGTCTGTGGGTGTGTGGGAGGTTCTGAGACAGCAACATGAGTGTAGTCAGCAGAATGTGATATTGATGGAAACAGCCTTTTCTGAGCGCAGGCACAACACAGATGGCTAGAACACGCAAACACACACACACACACACACACACACACACACTGGGGGCACACAGTTTAAATGCAGTACACAAACACCATCACAACCCCACAAACACAGACAGCCATACACCAGGGTAGAGTTTCTCTCCTACATCCTAACTACAGGCGGACTAAAACACCCACACTCATTCATTTGCACAAGCATACACACATTAAGTCTTACATTTGATCTTTGCTGGCGTGTGATGTGCAGAGTTATACTGTCTTAGAAGAAGTCACACATGGCCTCAAATAATGGGATTAAACAGCCAGCTGCCGTGGCTTCCAGTCAGAGGGTGTAGGCAAAGAGATAGAGGAAGCTTTTCAGCACTATTTTAAAAAATGTACAATTGCTTGTGTGGGAGAGAGACCTAGAAATGGATAGACATGAAGGAGGAACAGGCGAGCAGAAAACTGCTTTAAGTGGAAGAGTCAGTCCCCCAAAATTCTGGAGACTTTACTGTCTTTACAAAAAAGAAGACCTGTTTAAAAACCTTAAGCTGTCACAGTGTAGCCACAAGATTAGAAAATAATATATTTATACTATATATGCGTTATAGTACCAGAAAGGACATTGATCTCCCCACTGAGTTATGGATGCTATAACATAACACATACAGGAAATGCACAAACAAGGATTTTTATTTTTATGGCACTGATGGAGGGATATCAGGCTGGGTAGCAAAGATCCCTGAGGATGAGACAGTCCAAAAAAGAACAGCTCCTTGTGACAGTTCAAAGACGTGTGTTTGCAATATATATTTTTTTCTAACAGTTCCTCTTCTATTCTGCTAAAATGGTGAAGAATTCTGCTGGAATTGCAATAAACCATCTTTCCAGGATCAGGCAAAACCACATAGACATAAATCAGCATGATAAGAATGAACTATAATGTTTATTATTTTCCTGGTTTGACGGTTGATGTATTTGTGAAAGTGGAGGCGGCAGTCTATAAGATCTATACTGCAGTCAAACAACAGAGGGAGCTCTAGTTCTTTGGCTTCACAGTCAATGAGTACTTATAGCATTAATTTTAACTTTACAGTCTATGACAGACACATAGTGTAAACAAGCCTAGCTTTGTGGCCATTAAGTCTTTTCTCTGGCTTCCCTCTGTTTGATGGCCGGCTGCAATCACAGATTGTATTGTTCATAGATGTAGTCTCAGTCACTCATTTCCTTCTGAAGCAAAGCATGGCGCCTGTAAGTAGCAGGCGCCATATTGGAAATTCTGGCTCAACCGAACTTTCAGCCAGCCTATCATGAGGCAGTTGGTGTGCCCCCCTCGCCAGTCTCTGATGTCTTCAAAATTGATGTTTAATAAAAAAGAAATTCACACCCTGTGCATGTGCACCATTTTTTTCTTAACCATGCAGCAAAAGGTTTATCTTTGCTCTAAAGATGTGCTTTTTTGAATGAGTGTGTATGCAGTTTCTGGAGCTTTTGCTGTCAGCCTCAAGTGGACTCCCAGGGAAGTGCAGTTTTTAGCACTTAAATGTCATCCTTCATGTCAAAAATGTAACGTTACAGAGAGCAAAAGAAAAAAAAAAAACAGGGAAAAATGATTTTATTCTGTATCAACATCTGTGTTGCATTCACCGCTCCTTACCACAGACACAGCCTGTGATCAGGAGTATAGATTGGGGAAAGAAGTCAGAATGTTAATATGCTTCCTGCAGCTTTGAGATAAGAGTCAGGCCAGCTCGGGTCATCACTGCACTGGTCAGAAACCTATTTTATTGTACTAAGACTGCATGGAATCATAAATGAAGTTTTAATAACCTTGTTCCTTGCTGTCAGAGTTTGTCTGTGGTCTTTATGCTGCTAAATACAATCTTTGTGGCTACAGGCCCTGAACTGGCAGAGAACAGCGAATGGGGAAAGAAAAAAGGCAAACAGAGGGAGCAGGGGAACTGGGGGAAGGGTGATTAACTGGGGCACACTGGGAAAGAGGGGCAGCCAAGTGGAGCAGTGAGGAAAACCATCCGTCTGTCAGCTGATTGAATGGCATGAATGAATTAGCTTGCATGTGTTTGCTTTGTATTTTTTTGAAGCATTTGAGGACGAAGATTAAACGTATACAAACACAGATGTTTCTGTTCCTTCTGCACCATCAAAATCGTTATTTTTCACCAGAATTCATCAGCCTTACATGAACTGAACTGTAGTTTTGAAAAAAAAAAAAAGAAAAAAAGCGTCCTCACTTCCAAGGTCTTAATCCCACCAATGTCCTCATAAAGATAGATATTTAAGTATTCATACACACACACACAGAGTAGCATGTCGCCAAAGAGGCCTGCAGTGGGGTGAGCTGAGGAAAAGAAAAGGGGGGTATCATTAAGCAGTTTCCCTGGCAGATGGTGCCTCGTTAGCTGTCCGCCTGCACAAAGAAACAACAATAGACCTCATAACACTTCCACACCCACCCACACACACATACATCCACACAGGAGCTGTGACGCATGCAGTACATCATGTGTTGGTGGAGTTCAGCAGGGTCCTCGTGCTTGCTGATATAGTTTGACCTGACACACTGAACATGAAACACCATCCAATCAAAGCGCTGACAAACTAAAATAACACATGTAATTAATGGACAGCAGGACAGGATAGGTTTTGGACCTCCTTTGCTGGGGTGGGTGTGAAAATAACACAAACACAGTCAACCCACTCACAATATGTTTGGAGACTAGGCAGCTCTGTCTGAGTACTGCTATCCAACTGAGTAAAATGAGGAAACTCAGGACATAGACATGTGGATTTTGCTTCCTTTGCTTTCTTTTAAAGCCTGTCCTTACAATAAACTCAACAAGGATAGCTTCACATCAGCCTTTAGGTGCTAATTAAAATATTTCCAAAAATCTGATCGAAGGTTTCTCTTGTTCTTGTCAGTTTGAATGACTCTCAAAGTTTCCTTTCCTGCTCACAAGCCATTAACCTGACAGCTGTATTTTTCTTAATCCTCGTTATTATCCTTTCCCTTCACTTTCTTTCGTCTTTTTCACACTATTACATCTCCGGTCTCTTCCCTCCAGTGGTTCTAAGCCGTCAGCAACGGAGGGTCCAGCTCATGCGAATCAAACAGCGAGAAGAGAGGCTGAAAAAAGAGAAAGAGAACAAGAAGAAGAAAAAAGGGCAAAACCAGAAGAGCAGCCACAAGCCGAAATCCCACACCCATCATCACCACCACCACCAGCAGTACCACCACCCAGTGGCATCCCACCCTCACCACCAAGCCCAAAGCTCTCAGCCTCCCAAAGTCCCTCCTCCCCAGACTGAGCCTGGGTACCACCGGAAGTCCAACCCCAAGAGGCGCTTTGATGGAGACGTACTGTCACCGGTAAGAAGAAGGATCATATTGTAACTTGTATTTTTATGTAGTTTTTACAATCGATAGAGAAAAAAAATCTTTTCTATTATTTGCAACAGGCTAATTTCCTAAAAGAAAAAAAATTTCCCAATATGAAAGAATATACTGTACAAACTGTATACAACTCTTCATAATACACAGGGATTTAATACAACAGAATATGGTACAGTTTTAATTACCAGGGATGTATTGCAATGCCATCCGGTACATGTAGGGGTATGAGTATGGTTTTTTATGACAGGGTTTTGATCCCCGCAACACAATACAATAGGATGCGAAATGATATGATAGGATATGATATGAAACGATACGATACAATGGATAATGAAACTAATCAATATACTCGATACAAAACAATATGATACAGAGCAATACGATATGGTGCGATACGGTACATATGAAATGATACAATACAAAACACTACAATAAGGTACAATTGGATATGATACAATACGACAAGTTATGAAGCAAAATGATACAGTACGGTAATATGATACGATTGGATATGATATGAAATGATACAAGACAATACTTTGTGATATACTATAAAAGGATGCTTTACATGTGATGAGATTTGAAACAATATGATAAGACATGATTCAAAATGCTATGATACAATGTGATATGATTTGCTATGGTCAGATACAAGACAAATAGATATGATCAGGAACAATCTAATACAATCTGCTATAATAAAATACAGAATCATGCAATATGATATGACACAATACCGTGCTTGATGACATATAATATGATTCACCTCACTGTCTCAACAGGAAGATTCATTTTCAACTCAAGTGTTTTTAACTTTGATATCAAACTGCCTCCTGTAGATTCTCATATCAGCAAATAAAATATAAGTTAAAACAACAAACCCATGTGTAAAAAGAGAAGCACATACACCATATATTGCACTTTGTACATATAACACAACATAAAAAGTAAAAGGGAACAATAAAACACTGTAAGTGTTGCTGCACAAAACCTACAGCCTCAAGACATGATATGTCAGTCAGAGGCCAGAGATTTGATAACAAACTAGCTTAGCTCTCCAGGTAGACTTGTAGCAATTAGCCCAGAACATAGACTTGGACATAACTGTTGATTTCTCTGAATGAGGATGTGTAGTAAATCAGCGCTCCCAGCCAGCAAAGAGCCCCCGAAAACCTGAAGCATAACTAACAAACTGTTGTTATTCATTTATTCTTTAGCTTTAAAGTATTAACTTTCCAGGTCTTACCTGCTGAGTTCTGGGAGGTTGATGTTGTGTGCTCTGGACAAAGCCAGGCTAGTATACTTTCAAGTATCAATCAGTTACCAATCTCTGTGCTAAGCTATGCTCGTAATCTGCTTACTTGTTTGGAAACTGGTGTTGTTCTTATTCTGGATTCAGAAAAAGCAAATAAGTACAGCCAAGCACATGGTTTAGCTATGTCTTTTACATCGCTGTAAGAGTGAGTCATGAGGTCACATCTGTCACATATTCTGAACTGAACCCTTTATTATCTGTCCATTCACAGAGCTACATCAGGAGCTTCAGGGACAGACAAACCGATAGACGAGCGTACTCCCACAGTCAAATGATGAGCCGCTCCCGGATGGGTGAACTTGACTATGACTGCGGCTCTCAAGTGCCCCTTACAGCTCCCAGTGGGCCCCCAGTCCGTATCTGAGGCAGCAAAATGCACACATGCCAACTGAACGACACACAAAATCACACAAGGATACTGAAACCTTTTTTGACTCTGTTAAGAGTTTGGAAAGTTGACTTTGACTGTGCCATTGTCCAACTGCCTGGCAACCAACTGAAACTCACTATGCCTCCAAGGTGGTTCCTCCTGGTCCTGAACTGATTTGTGTTCATTCCACTTCTGTTCAGTATGAATGTCAAGACTCAAGAGAAGATCTTTTCCTTGCTGCTAGAGCGAGAAGTAGCTACTGTTGAAGAGGATGTAGTTGGATCTTAGACACCATGAGTCATCTCAGACTGTATTTGACGTCAAGGCGCCTGTGTAATTACTCACAGGGCTATCCAGTCAGGGGTTCATTGAAATGTCTCTTTTGAACATTTAAATTAAATAAATTCTGGTCGCTTCGAGCCATAAGAAGCAATTTCCCAAGAAACTGCAGTGAGGAAGGATCAAAACACTCCACACCATTTCAAAATGCAACTTACATGGTGTCAAGGTAGCACTGCCTTCAAATAAAGCTGGAAAACACCTTTACTACCTAATCTGAACAATTTTCCTCAAGGATTTTATTAAGAGAGGAGAACTGGCAAAAACACAGCTGACACTGCAACAGAAAGGCAGCTCTGCACCATCATCTCCTCAGCCCGAAAGTCAGTGCATGAAGTCAGGTGTTCAGAAAGTCATCATCTTCAGAGAAGTCTGACATTACTCCAGGATATATGACAGGGACTTTTTCCACGGTTGAAGTGAATCAAACGGTTTTCACTGAAGACAGTTTAAACATTTCTCCACAGCAAACTCTCCACACGTCATTGCCTACAGTCTCCACTTACCTCTCATCACTGTCCTCCGCCCTCAGGTGGCGTTTGTCTTAACCATGGACCTGGGCTGAAGAAGACACATCTTCGCCTCCCCTCTCCTTATTTTCTTGAATTTCAATCATTACAAACTCCTGTTGGTCATCCAGTCCGCTGACATGTCCTTCTTCCCCTTCCTTGTTATCCTAAAGCCAATTTTTAATTTCTTTGATCAAAAAAAGATAAACTGCTCTCCGCTCCTGCTTACTGTGGACTTTGATGGATGAGCTTTTTTTATTGGTTTGGAGGGGACCACACATGGCAGAAAAAAAAGTCAAATATAGTGTGTTTGCACGTGCCAGTGGACACACTGGCCCTCTGGCAAGTGATGGATCGTACCAAATGTTGGCTAAGGAGAGGGGGGTTTATTTTAATGTGTGCAGAACCTGCTGTATCCCTCTTCTCTGCCAGTATGGTGGCCTGGTAAAAAATGTGAATCCTAGTCTGAATGAAACAAAACATGATGAAAAGAAAGAGGAGTGATGTTAAGAAAGTGATGTGTAAATGTTAAGACATGGTGAGAAGCTGAAAGCATTTGCAAATGGCACCCTCTAATGTTTACTACTGGACCTTGTTTTTCTAGACTTCCTGTTGACGTGTGCATATGTTTGTGTGTACATGCATTTGCCTGTGATTTGCTTTCCAGTTCAAACATTTCAATTGTTACACTCAGCATCCAGAGAGATGAAGGGGTTAAATTTGTTCAGTACAAGTGAATTTTTTTGTTGTTTTGTTTTATTTGAGCCTCTTTATACTGTAGTTCCTCACCATTACCACTACCAATATTACAGTAACCGCTCACGTAAAATGTCACAAATCAATGATCTATTGACTTGGTTTAATACGATCTATCTGATTATTAGATCTTTTTTATTTGAATAAATCAAAAGTACCACATTCCTGTACTTCCACACCTGATGGGATGTGATCAACTTGCCTCTGAAGGACCAATCATTGCTTACACAACCCATTATTGCATGAGAATCCTTGTGTAATTGTTTCCAGTGTGTCAGTGTTTCAGTGTTTCATAGTTGTCATGTAAAAAAAACTCAGATCTGCTGGTTTATTCTGTTGGTCCCAGGGTGCAGAAAACACAATCAAAACTGTGAGAGTACACGATTCTGAAGAAAGACATGTTTCCATTTCACTGTATGTGGCAGAGGAACATGAAAATCTCATTGTTAACAGTGGCCTCAGTGCAGTTTGTAACATTTCTCGTACAACATTGTGTGAATCTTGTAAGGACTAACTCTGATCTGTTCTGCCACAGGGAACTGATCCAACTCTCTGTTTTCTTGTTTTTCTCTTTTCTCTCTCTGTTTACATCATCCAGGTAAAGGGCTTTGAAAAAGCATTTGAATCATTACCCCACTTGTTAAAATGCATCAAGCTGAGGCACCCTCTGTTTTTCTGTCAATGTTATTGCAGTTTACTTCTCAGCAGCAAGTGTTATTAGGGGTTTTCTTCACTCTTCAGTCCTGTTTTTGTTCTGTTTTTTTGTGGGTTTGCTGCACTAACAATGATACACTTTGTTTATCTAGTGGACACTGAATCAAACCCATCAGGACTGAAGGAATAAAATCGCGCAGCTATGAAATTAAACAGATAAATCAAATGAAACACTCTGAAATGAAATGTATTTTGTTGAATTAGGCGATAAATGTATGCAATAACAGTGTGTGATAGAATTTAGCTGTGATTAACAGATGTCAAAGATTCAGCACAGGTTTTATTCTAGTTGTTTCAATTTGCAAACACAAAATTCAACAAAGTAGAGATATGAAACCCCAGCCATCCTTGTTTGTGAGTTTGGGACCAAATACACGAGTCGTATGAGTTTTATTCCTATTTTTTCTAAGAGCATCGTCTCTGCTGAGTATATGTTGGGTTAGAGTTGTAAATACTGGACTGTAAATACTTTTGAAATGTACAAATGCTTTGTTTCATGTTTACACCATGATCGCTCATGTACTTTGTCCAGCTGATTGTTTTCTAATGATTTAGAGCTGTTTTATATTCGGTTACCCTTGTATGTTAACGTAATTTAATTTTGTCTGGGTGGTGGAAGCACTTTTATTCTTCTTAACCTTCAACATGTGATGTTGAACAAACTGAGCCTTCATTTCTCTTCACTAATTTAAGAACTTACACTTTTAACTGGCATTTAATTTCCCAACCACCCTGTTTAAATGTCTGCAAATAATTTTATTATTATTATTATCATTATTATTATTATTATTGAGCATGAATTTATATGGACCTAAAATATGATAAACATTGTGATTCTACCTGGTGTTCTTGTTGTCTTTTCACTTTTCTTGTCATGTGCATATCAGGACTTCTTCATTTACTATAGAAATCACCTTTTTCTCAGGAACACAGGACGGCTATCTAACAACCCTTATGAGTGATATAAGCATTTACAACATATTATAGCTTGTAGTTTATACAGTGTTAGAGCAGTGAGCATAAAATATTTTATTAATACCTAAAACATTCTCTAACATGACTTTGAAGACTTAAAGTACAGATAATACGGTAAAGAACCCAGCATGGTATTTTTATAACAGAGGCGCTGAGTGTATGAAATAACTAATTCACTCAAAGCTGTGTTGATGTGCTATAGAAAAGTATAGCTGTAAATAAACTACACTTTGTATTTGTCATAGTGTATTGTATATTTAATGTATTGTTTCTATGTTTTTAAATATCTGCCTTAGGGCAACGGATTAAAATTAGCATTTATGCGAACTCCAGCATATTTACATTGATGCTTTTGCTGACATGTCAATAAATGTGCATTGTCCTAATCAAATAGATTATAGTGATAAAAAATAAAATTAAAAGTAATGCTAGTTTTACATTTAAAGCTGTCTTAAGGCTGTGTTTCGTCAAGATGAAACCAGTTTCTCAACCAGATGAAGTTTAGGAGGCTATAATGTGTCACAAAAGCCAAAAATTGAAGCTATTGTTAGTTTTGCATTAAAAAAGTAACACATCATAAATCATAATTTTATAAGACATAATGCTCACTGCCTATAACATCATGGACATTGATAAAATCTGCCGTGAGAAGGCTTAATACCACTCATGAGGACTTTCATAAAGCCTCATAAATGCATCCATAAAGCTTCATAAATGTGCCCTGGTTACTTTCCTATAGCACTGGTTGAAAACATGGAGGAAATCTGTGATCTTATTTGGAGAGCACAAAACTTTAGATTGATGATTTATGCCAGACGAGTCACTTACATAGTAAAGTAGACAAAAATGGAAAAGCAGCACGAAAATTAGCAGAGATGTGAGGAAATACAGAAAGCTGAGGCAAAGAGACTGTATCATGGTATACCAACCCAAGAACTGTTTTAGTGAGAATATTTAGACTTTAACATGAATTAAATTATCAAGTTTAATGGTGATAAAACACATAAGAACGTAACATAGACTACAATTTATTTAATTTGATTTGATTTATGTGCTGTTACTCTTACTGCTCAACTGAGGACTTCTAAAATGAATAATTCAGGAGCTTCACACATAACAAACAGAAAACAAAGCATCCGGCTCATCTGCATGCTGTTTCTCTTCCTCTCATATCATGATGTGGTCTGACAGAAGGTTTCAGGCTAATTTTGCAGTTACATAACAACAAAAGGATGGCTTTATTTACTCTGAGTCTGTCAAATACAAAGTCAAATCATGAGATATGATATGTTTCTGATAGAAAACGATTTTAACACTGACTCCGTGACCAGCTGCAGAAGGAGTGAGGACATACAGGAACATAATGTTTTATAATGATTGGCAGTGGTCACAGAGACAGAAAAACAGAGGCAGACAGCTTTGACTAATGTTGAAACACTTCTTCAAGGAAAAGCAATGAAATTAATTTCTCTGGCTTCCTCTCGGTTTAGAATAATCTCTCTGAATCTTCCTCATTTCCTATTCTCTGGGCCTCTGAATATCATTTCACTTGTACCCTCGCTCTTTTTTGTTTTCTCCTTTTACCATGCTCCCTACTTATTGTCTTCTTTCACTGCATTTCTTTTCTCCACCCCCACTCTTTATCGCCCCTGACATTTTCAGTCCAGCGACTTCAGACACAAACTGCACGTTGACTTTATTATTCTTGTTGCTTTGCGCTAATCTGCTTTTTGCTGGAAACAAAGCGTCTCCCGAGTCAGCTCATTAACAAGCCATTGTTCACTTTCCCCTGCACCAATACCAGCTCTGTTACTGATAAAATAAACGCTCACTTTCTTTATAAAAGCAAATTAAATGTTAACAGAAGACGGTCACACATGGCTGGGAAAGAGAGTATCCTTTCAGAGAGCTAGCACAGCCCACATCAGATGATGAATGCAGCATTTTTAAAGGACCAAGAGAAAGCACATGCTGAGGAATGATAATGGTTCAGACTGGAAACAGTCTTATACATGGCCTTTTCTATGAAGTAAAAGTCAGAGTAAAGCCTTAAAAAACTGCCACTTTGGTAACAAATGTCTTTATTTGGAGGTTCCTTGGCACTTTGAAGCAACAAGACATGACACCAATACACATACAATCAGAACCTGTACATGCTATTGAGCCCAAATTTCAAACATGACTCCAGTCCTTATTTCATGTCTGTGTCTCTAACCATAACAAGCCTTAGATCAACACTGCCTTTTCCTTATATCTGTTACATTACTAGGAGTGCCTCCTCGTCAAGTTAAATGTCCACTTCTGCTCAAAGGAATAATGGTGTAAAATTCACTGTTACTCTTTTAAATGGACAATGGTGTTTCAGGCCCATTTCCTGCACCATGCTAACTTCCCTGTGCATGCTGGGTCATTGTCTTCAATTTGAACTTCTTGCCATTTTGTGTAGACAGGATACCAAAAAATATGTCATCTTGAGGGAGGAAAAACGTAAAACAAGCTTAATTCCTGGAATGACCTTTATTTAAAACCAGGGTAGGGGCAACAGTACGCCTTAATGCTGCATCTATGCAGTTTATCAAGTATACATTATCATGTGTAAAGATGTATACTGGTGTTTCCTTTGAGTTAACTGAAATGGTCAACATTTGGTTTCTAAAAACAGGCACGGCTAATGACTTATCATAGTAGTGGTAGGAATCTGTCATTTTTTCTTCATTTTTTTATGAGTTTTATTGTATTTAGTGTTTCTCATGTTGCCTCTTCTGGTTTACATGATGTCCTGCTGGTGCTGTGTGGACTCGCTGACAACCTGAGGAGCAAATGAGAGGCATCATTAGAGGATTAGTTGGCAGTTTTTGATATTCACTTGAATCAAAAGGCATCACACTGAGGGTGCTCAAATTGTGTTATACAGCTGTGCCCTAGGTTGTGAGTCTGATCAATGCTGGTTTACATATGAACTGTTGTTGTTTCATTGTTATAGTTATTATCATACTGGTTGTAAACAATTGATCCTACCATTAATCGGTTTATATCATCCCCTATTTTCTCTCTCCATATTTCATGTCTTTTTCCTTCTGTCCTGTCACATAAAAGCAAAAACCCCCAAAAGCTAATCCTAAAAAAATAAGACCTATTAGCCAAGATAAGAGCTGCCATTAGAAAACAGCAAAAGTTCAGTCTTACTATCTAATATTACTGTCAGCTAAGAAGCTGCTGAAGGCTAATACTACTTCAGAATAGTGTCCCAAAACAATACAGTTGTAAACTCCAACATAACTGCATGTATACTATAAATAAGGAAGTGGTTAATTTGCCTGAGTTAGCTGTTGTCTGAAGATAACTGAAATCTAACAATGTTTTGCTTTTGAATAAAACTCAAAATCTGGTCAGAATATCTCTAGATACTTTCTTCCAGTTACTTTTTAACAGATATGTTTTTAACCAATCAAAATGTGAGATTTCCTGCATTTCCAAAATGTACAACCTTGACTTGAGTACTACATTCTTGAGCACTACATTTCACCAGCAGTTGAGCTTCCCGCTTTGAGCATGGTGGCAATTGTCAGAGAGTGTTTGGAGTGAAGTGCTGTGTAGGGGGGAACAGTGGCCACATACAGTGGAGCCTGAGTGCTTTTTGTGTAGTGTCACAGCTCACAAGTGAGTGTCTATACAGCAGTGACTGAAAGATGTCAGGCATCACCGCAGAGACAGCTTTACAGGGTCTGCGCTTTTATGACCACATGCAGGATTCAGTCTGTGTCAGTGGAGAAGAAGCTTTGGTGGTGGATAGATTAAACCAATGGTTCTCAATCCAATCCTCGAGCCCCCATAGTCCTGCATGTTTTTGGGTTTCCCTGCTCCAACACACCTGATTCAAATGATCAGCTCATTATCAAGCTCTGTCATGGCTTAATAACGAGCTGATCATTTGAATCAGGTGTGTTGGACCAGGGAAACATCCAAAACAAGCAGGACAGAGAGGGCTTGAGGACTGGATTGAGAACAACTGGATTAAATTGACACTAATTAATGGGAGGAGCGGTTATAAAAAAAGTGGAGGAGATTTTGTCATGAGACTTACAGCATGGGCACCCTGGCTCAGAGAGTATTTTATCTGGGTAAAAATGTGACAAATCATGAATCTCTAAATTGTTAAAATTATATATATGCATTGGCTTTCTCACAGCATCTTGGTCTATGTATGTGTTTTGTTTTGTGTACTTATCTAAACTAACTGTGTATTTGTGTGCGTGTGTTTGCATACCTCGCCATCGCGGGTCTCGATGGTCTTGATGAGCACCGTCTTCTTGGAGTGAACCTCTGAGGAGCGCTGATGCTGTGACTCAGGACTGGTCTCTGTGAGGAAACATGAACTCAGCTCTTACTCTTTTTTTCTACCCAATTATCTTTGCTGGAGTTACACCAACTTCATTTAGCTCTGAGACTTTGTTTAACCAAAGTTTAGCTCTAAGAGGAATTTTCAGCCTGGAACAAACTGATGGAACAATAAACAGTCTGTGGAGCTCCTGTGACGGCCACTTAAAAATATAATTAAAGCCTCAATCAGCGGCTGTAATGAATCATGTCCACGCCTAATACATCATCTTTAATTGCTGCTCATTGTTACATTGAAGCAGTGTGAGGGGAGCTGCTGGCAGAGATTAACTGCACATTTACACTGTTATTACTTCAAGTGAATGGGCCAAGTTGTGCGATTACTGATGTGTGCCCAGTGGCTGATTGACCCTGTGAATCATTGCATGCCAAATGTCGCCACACAGTGGTCACTATGTGTCACTATGGCAGTGCAACATGTAATAACCTTTAAATAGTACAGACCATATACAGGCACAGGCTATATTTAGTTTTTTTTATCATCCCTGTTTTGACTCATCAGGAATGTAAAATGGATTGTGTGAAGGGGAGATGTGTATATTTTATTTTATCTTACCTCTGAATCCAATGGAAGAGTAGGCAGACTGCATAGGCACATTAGTGGTGATCCTACGGGACAGAAAAACAGAGTTCAAACTCACACACAAGGAAATCGAGGGATAGGCATATGAAATGTACCTTAATTCCTTATGAGGATTATGAAAAAGACTGTCATTCATATTGATGCTTTCTTATGTTATCCAAAAGCAAACAAGGCCACCAGAGACAAGATTGGTTATTGGATTCCTGTCATTTGTAATGCATGAAACTGGTACAAGGAGGTTTCTAATTTTTCTCAGTACAGTAACACACAGTAAATACACACACCTGCTCTCCTCTCCCTCCAGCAGCTTGCGGTAGGTGGCGATCTCAATATCAAGAGCCATCTTCACATTAAGGAGGTCCTGGTACTCCCTCAGGTGACGAGCCATATCATCCTATAAACCAAGACAGAAAGCACATTATTGTTTGATGTTTTAAACTTTCAATAAAACTGAAAATCTACAGGGAAAACTGCAAAAGGCAGGACTATAATGATGGGTGATAATCCCGGTGATATACTGGCTCTTGGTGCCCATCTGTACACATTTATCACCATATCTGGGGCCATGTAGTTGGCTATATAACTTACCAATTGAGCACAAATATTTGCGCGAGGATGTAATAGGCTTATCCTTTTAATTAGAGTTAAAGTACCTTGTTTTTATTACAAATTGAATTTATTTTTCCACAACAAACGCTTGAGCGAACCTCCAAATTTGATGCCAAACACATCAGAGGCGATTTAAATTTCCCTGCAAAGTACTCACCATGTTATTTTGTTTTTCTAATGAAATTGTAGCGTCATAATTAATCTCCCTGGTGTAGCTCACTAGCCGCTGTTAGCAAAATTATTTCTCACTGTGTTTTAGGAGTTTCTGAGGCAAATTACTGCGACAAAGGTGGCTGTCAGAGACCCAATACACTTCGTAAAAGAAGAGCCTGTTGGAGTCAAAAGAGGACGTTTATGGCTGGTTCATCACATGAAGCAAGAGAGACAGAGCAACTGCTAAACAAACAAGAGGCCAATTATCCTGTGGGTATAAGATAAGATGCCCTTACAAGACAAAAATGACCAAGGGCTCCATAAAAAGAGGACATTTCAATGAAAACTCATGTTTCATGAAATGGCAAAGATACAGCACGAAGAGTAGAAATGGGACTTCTTTTGGAAATCATTCTTTTTTGGTTGTCATGAGTGGACCTTACCGCAGTTATATTACATATAAAAATTTTTTAGATAGAAGCTAAACCCAGTAAACAGCAGCCAGGAGGGCACTGATCCACTCTGAGAGCCAAAAAGTAGGTACTCCAGATGTATGTATGATCCACCTCACCACTGCACCAGCTAGAAAAAGTAATTACCTTCATCTTAGCAATGTCCTCCTCCAGTTTTGTAATAGTGTCCTGGTAACCAGAAGCCTCACGGCCCATACGTTCCTCCATGTCTCTCATCTGGCGCAGCAGAGACTCGTTCTACAGACAACAGAGACTCGATGTTATAGGTGGAACAGTGGGCTAAATATTAATGACGGGAGCTGCATGTTTTCACAGAAATATAGAGTGAGAACTCACGGTGCCTTTAAGTGAGTCGATCTCACAGGTGTAGGACTGGATCTGGTGTCTGTACTCCATGGTCTCCTGCTTGGCCTGACGCAGAGCATCATTGTTCTTATTCACAGCCTGGTTCAGGTCGGACACCTGAGGACAGACAGGACGAGGTTTTAGCTATCAATCAGCTTCAGAAGACTTTCCTTTATTGTGTTTGTATAAGCGTGTCTACCTTAGACTTGTACCAGTCCTCAGCCTCTGCAATGTTTTTGGCTGCGATGCCTTCATACTGGATGCGGATGTCCCTCAGAGCAGCAGTCAGGTCAGGTTTGGACATGTCCATCTGGACCTGCACCTGAGTGTCCTGCATCTGACTCTGCAGCTCACGGATCTCCTGCAGGGTGACAGAGGGATTATGGAAATCTTTTTAAAACAGAAAAATAGGGTTGAAAATTTGTAAGTTCTCAACACTGTAATAATCATATAAATGATAAAAAAGTTGTATGGGGTAACATATTGAGGGTATCTTCTTTCCTTGTTTAAAAGAAGAGTAAATTAAGTGTGGGCTAAATTAGTTTTCCCAGTGAAGCAACCTAATAAAGAAGTGACCCCAAAGCAAATGCAGCATGAGGACTAAACAGGTTAGCTTAAAACTAGTCAGCCCTTCTCCCACTCAGCTGTCTCCTGGTCTAACCAAGAAGTTATAAATATCTTTTGCATCTGTTCATATCCTGACATGCACACACATCCAGCCACACATCCAGCAGCTGACATGCTCTCTTCAACCAATCTGCAGCTCTGCATTTCTGAGAGGTCAAACTTGTGTGAGAGTGGGTAAAAATGACAAGAGGGGGCCTCTACTGTGCTGCCATGTGTCTGAGTGTGTAACTTTGTGTGTCCTTTGATGTCTGAGGGTGACTGTGCACACAGGGGGGCGAGTTGCATGTGCATATACAGTATATACAGTTAGATATGTGACCAGAAAAAGAGCATAAATGTGGATATAAATATGTTTTAGCACCAGTGGGCGTGTTAAAGTGTGAACTATTCGATACCTCATTAAGTTGGATGCCTTTAGATGTCCAAATATAACTATTGGTGCATTATAGCTTCACTTAAGAGTTATGTGATACAGTACACACACTCACACTAACATTCATAGCGCAGAGAACTTGCTGTAGGTGTGGTGGGTGGAAATAATTCATAGACAGATCAACAAACCTCTTCATGTATCTTCTTCAAGAAGGCGATCTCCTCCTGCAAACTCTCAATGCGCCTCTCCAGGTCCAGCCTGGCCAGAGTGGCACTGTCTACATCCTGGAAACAAAAACACAAACAGATCAAAACCTGAAGAACAGAGAAGCTACAAAGTTGCTGGGAATCAAGAGAAAGAAAAAATAAGTGGGATGAAAGGTAAGAAGGAGAAAGCACTAGATGAAACTAAGAGGAAGATAAGCTGTGCAAGGGTAGAGTGTTTCATTTTTGCTTGTGGGTCTGAGAATAAAGTGACAAAGGATTGAAATCTAACGGCAGGGTTTCTTTGAATGGAAAAAAGAGACATACGGCTCTAAAAGCAGAAAGGTTGTTCTCTGCCTCTTCCTTCAGGTGAACCTCCTCCTGCAATCTGTCGAGAGGGAGACAAACAAAGAGGACAAAATAAGGAAAGGAAAGGAAAAGTCAGACAACAGCTGTGTTTGAGACTGCGACTTCTTCTCCGGGGACCAATTATTACACAGATAAACCAGTTACCACCTCTCACTCCTGCTTACTTTTTTAGGCTGCCGGTAAAGTTACAAGAATAGGACTGACTCAACAATGACACATCAGAGTTGAGCTTTGATTCGTAGCCCTGTTCACTCATACACACACTTGTGCTCTTGTTCTTTGAGTCCTAAAGCTGTAGTGCAGCTGCTGTCAGAGAGGTTACAGTGAGTAAGGAACAAAGATCTGCCTATGGCTGCTGCTGTTTCCAGAATTAGGTTTTACAATGCACACTAGGCAACATGAGAATATAACAGACATGCATGTATACAATGAAGTCTGATCTATATTCACACATTTTAACGGCATCTGTTATTAATGTATGCAGCAGAGATGCAGCAAAATGTTAATCAGAAAGAAAAAGCTATGCAAGGTAGATTTCTGTAGAAAACACAGTTGAACTGTTTTCTCTCTAAATTCTGCACTAAATGTGTGTGTTTGTGTGTGTTGAGTGTATGTATGTGTGTTGAGTGCATGCGTGTCTGTGTTGTAACTCTTGGCAGGGCAGAAGGTCTCGCTGTGCTTTTTGATCTCAGTAGGAGCAGCAGGTGCTTTGGCAAGCTTCACTCACTGCTGCAGGCAACAATTTAAAGATGGTGGCAGAGAGTGAAGGGTGAATGGCTGTGTGCGTGCTGTGTATGTGCTGTGCATGTGTGTGTGTGTGTGTGTGTGCGTGTGTGTGTGTGTGTGTGTGTGTGTGTGTGTGTGTGTGTGTGTGTGTGTGTGTGTGCGTGTGTGTGTGTGGAGATTGGCAGGTCTAGCTGAGGTTTTTCATAAAGCTAATTTTAAGTGATGTTACTTGCTGTTGCAGCGACACAAATTCTAAATTCAAAGAGCCAGCCAGGGAGCTACAAATAGACTATTGAGAGATACACCCACATCACAGATCTCTCTCTCTCCCTGTTTCTCTCTACCTCTCTGTCTCTGTCTGTCTGTCTGTCTGTCACTCCCTCTGCCTGCTTTACCTACAAACATAAACACACACACACACACACATACGTGAAGATTTGTGCTCTGCTTATTTAAAAAGTTTGTTCTCTTACTTTGTGTAACTCTCATTTTAATGTCATAAAAATAACAGACTGTGAGTGAGCTCATCTGTTCATTCCTGTGTCTACTTCTCTGTCTTCCTGAAACTTTATCTCTGCCTCTTTCTTCATCTTTATTTTCCTTTTTTCTCTCGTCTCTTGTGGATGAATTATCAAACACCTTTGTAAAAAGCTGTCGGACTGTAACACTCGCTGAAGCGTAGCCGTACTCAAACCTGTCCCCTGTTGTTTTTGTCTTTCTTCATAAAAAAACAAAGGCCCTCATGTATCTTTTACTTCTTTAAAGATCACTTAATCATTCTTCTGCTTTACATTATTTCACCGTTTTCCTTTGTTACTTCCTGAAATGCATCATCCTGTTTTTCTAATGTGGACACGTACTCACAAACATCACTTACTCACTTATGCTGACCTTATTAGCATGTAAAACCTTGAACAGAGAAGTTGCATTATTTTTAAGGGATGCAGGCCTAAAGTATGTGTGACTTCAGTGTAGACAGTTGCACAATCCTACAACACAAGTCTCATGTAGCAGAGATCTAGTTTAAACTATTCAGTTGGTGCTTGTCTCTCTGAAACAGTTGCTCATCCCTGCCAAAGTCCATCTGTTTCTCTCTTGGTATATCAGTGTCATGTGAAGTCCACCTGTTTTCATCATTCATCCACTCTCTTTTCCATTTAAGACACTGGAATCCATCTGTCTAGGTCTGTCCATCCTCCCTCTAAACCATCATGTAACTTACCTGAGTTTGAGTTTCTGCAGGTCATCATTCAGGTTGTCCCTCTCAATCTCCACTCGAGCGCGCTGGTTGGACAGAGCCTCGATTTGCCTCCTCAGCTCCCTCATCTCCTCCTCAAACATTTCAGCGACACGCCCAGGCCCCTCACGGCCCCTCAGCTTCTCAATTTCTACCGACAATGCTGCGTTCTGCTGCTCCAGGAAACGCACCTTCTCGATGTAGCTGGCGAAGCGGTCATTGAGGTGCTGGAGCTCAGCCTTCTCGTTGGTCCTTGTGTTGAGGAAGTCCTGGTTCATGGCGTCAGCCAGGTTGAAGTCAAGTTTCTCACCAGAGTAGGTGCGCATGGCTGTAGAGGAGCCGTACCCTGCCCCTCCAGCACCAGAGGATACCCTGTAGCTGGAATAGGAGGGAACACCAGTACTCTTGACTTCATAGACTCTTGAAGACATGTGGCTTGAAGAGGAGCTGCGGCCACCTCCAGCACCTCCAATAGAGGAGTAGAGCGTGGACATCGGGGATGAGCCGACACCAGAGCCAAAGGTGCGGCGGTAGGAGGAGGCGGACTGGGCCGAGGAGGAGTAGGACTTGCTCATGGCTGGTATTCTGTTTCGGCTGTCTTGTGGTCTTGATGGAGCTGTATGAGGTGCTGAGACCCAACTGTCCCACTGGGCAACTGGGGAGATACGAAGTGAGGAAATACCAGACACTGAGCACAGCTATTTGTAGATCCACCACACCCACTCCTACCAGGACCCCTCCTCTTCGTTCACCCCCTCTGGACTGCCAACACCTCCCACTCCACCCCCTCCACTATACAGCAACCCCATTTTTATTGGATTGATCACTTCTTTGCGATATATCTAAATTTGAATCAGTTTCCAAGACTGGCCCTTGAGTTGAGAAATGGATGCTGTACAAACGTTGGTTCTACCAAAGCTATGTTTACCCATTCACCCTTAAACTGTATATGAACACAAAACTGATACTGTCAAACCTTCCAGAAAACATAGTTACTGTTTAAAGCATGTGTTAAATAATTGTGTCTCCTTGTTTTGGAGGGCTCTTAAATAAGTGAGGGAAATTCTCTTCTTCTTTTGAGAAAAATTGGAATTATTCCCATGATATCTTAGTAAAGTCGTCCATTCATTGTCTTCTGATGCCCTCAATTATCACCCTGTCTTTCCCTCCATGACGCCTCCCCCTTTCCGACCACTCATCTTTCCCCCAACCCCTCTTCTGTTCTCGTTCCTCTCCCCACGTCGCGCCTGTTGCCAGCCCCCAATTCAGCTGTCGGAGGGTCTGATTTCAGCTGCTTGGGAGGGGGGTCTGGGTATGAGTGTGTGTGCCTTTGGTCAGGTCCATGAGTGATTGGGTTGGTCAGTGAGTAAGTCTGTCTCTGCAGTTGTTGCACAGAAAGCTCTCTGTCGTACACAGTCTCATCAGCACACACTGAGAGAAAATATCCACTGGGGAGCTTCAGTCTATATGTCAAGAGACTAAAATAGATCTGGTTTTATTTAAAGACATCCTCATTTAAAATAGCGCCACGTTTGAAATAACTAGGAAGATCTTACTTCTTAAGTGAAAGTATGCAAGTTTAATGTCCTAGATTGTAGAAGCACTTGTTTTAGGCTAGAGATGTTTTGTCTTTTTGAGTTTGATTCACTATCCTGCCAGCAGCCGCAGATACACAGCACAGTATTTACCCTTGGTTACATAAGGAGTGGTACAGCATGACTGATAATGCTGCTGCTGGGAAAGTCACTCATACTCTTCAGATTGTCTGAGTGGCTCTCAACTGGTCACACACACTCAGAAGCACACACACACACACACCATCAGAGAGTGTGCAAATCTGGGCAGACCGTTTAATACTAATAAAATATTTCATTAGTTTGTGTTTATTCTGTTTAAGTTCTTCATAAGTTTTATAAGGAACAAAAACAGCTTACAGCGATACTCTTTCTCACTTCAACTCCAAAATGTCAAACCTGACAAACTATCCGGCTAATCTAATCATTCTTACATATTGCCATTTAAATAATTATAATAATGCGTCAGATTTTATATAGCGTTTTTATCAGAGACCCTCAAAGCGCTTTATATTGGATACATCATTCATTTGCTCACACAGTCACAACCTGGTGGTGGTAAACTACTTTAGTAGTCACGGCTGCCCTGGGGCAGACTGATGAAAAGATGGCTGCCAATTTCCACACATCACTCACAATCATACACTAGTTGAGGACACACACTAGGAGCAAGGTGGGTTAAGTGTCTTGCCCAAAGACACAACAGACAGACTAGGGATAGGGGGAAATCAAACCACCAACCTTCCAGTTGTTGGACAACCACTCTACCTCCTAAGCTGCTGGATCAAGAGTTATAACGGCGATGGGAAGTCTACCAATGTGGGCTGAATGATATTGTGGTTGTCAAAGCAACAGGCTGAAAGTCCCTAGTTTACAGGGTCACATATTTAACTGTAACTTAACATGCACAATATCATATTTTTGGCTCGCTAACATAATGTCAGATCAGATACAGACAAAAACATGAACAATTCCCACCCTGAGCATGGCGTCACAAGAAGGTAGACGCCATGGAAATATGGTTAGTTGGCAGTTTTCTTGCTGATTTCATTCCTCTACGAGATCTTACTGACTAATTTGGACAAATGTTTGATAAACTATGCATTAATATGTTGTAGAAGTGGAGGTGTGTTTTTCTTGAAGGTTTTTTACATAGTGTCAGACTTATTTTGATGGATCCAAAGTAAGTCTCCAGGATGTTTACAAGTGTAAGATCTTTAGCTGCAGACTGGTAATATGTGACTGCATGTGTGAGTGTGTGAGGGGACATTTCAATGACTGCTGGGGGTCTATAACAGACTGAAATTACTCATGTCAGACATCCCAGGCTGCAGCTCAAAGCCAGCTCAGACTTGTGAGGCATCTCTGCACAGCTCTGTGTCACGGGAACTCCTGTGAATAAACGTGTCACTTACAATAATGACAGAAGTGTTTGTAAATCTCAGAGGCAGGTACAAAGTGGGTTATTTGTTTGAAGTTACCACAAAGATATATCTGGATGAGCCTCAAGTGATGAATGTCCAATAGATTTATACATGAGTTTACAGCTGAGTAAACTTAATGTGTTCATGATTGTTCAGTAGTGTGTGCATTCTGTCTGGGTAAAACTGTGAGGGGATGTCGTGTGTGGTCGTGCATGCATGCATTTAACAGAGCAGTGAGTGTGTCAGCTGCTTGTGGAGTCAGTTCTATATTAAGCCTTCCCATTTGAACTGTTGTCCAGCCACTTTCCCAAAGGATCATGGGACTGAGGCCAAGACAAAGCCTGACAGGTCATAAAACTAAGAATTATGATGCTGTTATTACTGAAATGGCATAGGGTTATATATCTAGATACAATCTAAGTGATGTTACACATGAAGTGTAAAACAATTTTACCTTAGTTGACACCTCAAGATCAAATTCAGAACATTAACAAAGAAATTAGAAATATAGAATAATAGCAATAAAAAAATCTTTCTAATCAAGTTGTTGTGGAGCAAGCAGGGTATGACACAAATACAGATCCAACAAATAATATACTTATATTTGCCTCAACCTCACAAATCTGTTCAACTCTGCTAATCCAGGACTTGCTAGGCTCCTTATAATGACTGCTTTATCCATTGGGAAAAGCCCTTGTATATGTGATGCATACAGCAAACAAAGAGTGGTGACCCAGCTGATGCAGGAAACAGATGAATACATAGAAGACTCAACAGTTGTGTGGCCTAACCTTTGCATGCTGCACTAGCTGTCCAGTACTGCACTGGTCTGGTATTGTAGGCGACATCAGGAGCCTCAATCCGGGTTACTACATCTGCTTTGGTGTGGGAGTCTCCTCTTGAAATGCTGACATGGCACCAGCCAGATAAGGGCATGATCATAGTTGCACCATTTTAGAGATATTGGTGTTTTCCATGAACATGCTAGAGAAATCAGTAAAAAAGTGTCTAAGCAGATTTTTCAAAATGGGTGTCAGACGGGCATTCATGAAGGGTGTGACACCTACAGCAACCCCAGTACTATGACAGATCCTCATTGACCTCGAGCAACTCAATTACTTGAACAGTGTCAAGTCCAGATCCTTGGTTGAGAGAGTAAAGAAACCATAATGTTGCATTTCCCTTTGTGGTGTCTGCATCTTATCTGTCTCTAAGAAGTTAGAGCTCTGAGTCCCTCTTGAATGTACTGCAGGATAGGATTGTTTGCAGTGTACAAGTGAAGTTTCCTTCGTAATTGGAAAAATAATAATAAATGATAATGCATCAGATTTCAGATAGCGCTTTATCAGAGACCCTCAAAGCGCTTTAAATTGGATTGATCATTCATTCGCTCAGACAGTCACACCCTGGTGGTGGTAAACTACCTTAGTAGTCACAGCTGCCTTGGGGCAGACTGATGGAAACGTGCCTGCCAGTTTGCGCCTACGTCCCCTCCGACCATCACCACACAACACTTACAATCATACACCAATGGAGGACACACACTGGGAGCAAGGTGGGTAAAGTGTCTTGCCCAAGGACACAATGGACAGACTGGGGATAGAGGGGAATTGAAATGCCAACCCTCCAGTTATTGGACAACCACTCTACCTCCTGAGCTACTGCCACCAAAATCCAACAAGTTTGTCAACAATGTACTGTGGCGACCCTCTAGTCATGAACAGAGTATGTGGTCCCACTGACTGCTGTCAAGAACTTCTGGAGGAAAGTAGGCCACTGCCTATGTAGTCAGTTGGGAATCTTTAAACCTTAACAGTATAACTTTGTACAGACTTTTTTTTTTCATTAGCCTGATAACAGAGTTCATCTTAACATGATCAAGAGAATGCACATGCACTGGGACACCAATGACACCAAAGCTTTGGCATCAAATCAAGGACTGGAAGAAAGTGGTGACAGGACAGGCAGGACAGGGAGCAACTCCAAGACCTTCCAATAACATTGTTCTCAGGGGTGAGAGGATGTCAGCAAGTGCAGGAAGTCTGAAAAGGGGTGGGGGCATTTTGGTCACAGCAGCATCGTCCAGTTGCAGTAACAAAAGACATGAACTCAACAGTAGCAGGCAATGGACCAGAGGATCGTGTGTACAGCGCTTTGGTAGGCCAGGCCAATCCTGATCAAGTGTCTTATCCAGTTGGTCTTTGATGCTTTTCCCAGTCTATCCAACCTGTTGAGGTTTGGGTGGTGTGTCAAAAGGAGGAGATGATTACTGTAGTTTAGGCTGTTGCCCAAAGCTGTACAGAAGGAGAGCCCCAGTGGCCAGGTACTTGGGTTCACTACAGATGCCATCAGAGATTGCTCAAAGCAACCAGTGAAGTAAATCTATTGCCTTTATCGACCTTTGATTAAGACCGCTGCAAGTTCAGCAGGGGCAAACTTTAGGCAACACAGGAATGGCAGCTGAAGGCTAATCTAATGGATAGCTGAAATCCCCCAAGATCACATTTCTGCTATCTGATGCAAGAGAGCAAAGAACCCAAGGTAAAAGGGGGACAAAAGGGGAGTGCTAAAGCAGGGGGTTTGGGAGCCTAGTTTGAACCTGTTGACGCCCTGCTGTAGAGGTTTCACTGTGTCCTTATCGTCAAGCTATTCATACACATAAATGCAGGTTGTGATGGTGAAATATCTGTCAGGCCTGATGACCTTAGTAGACATATTTAATGATGTGTCCACAGGCGTGTCGACACCTGCATATTCAACCAAATAAATGTGATGACACAAAATATTCTAAATATGACTCCCGGGATGTTTTTTAATACAATGACTCAGTTCTGCATGGAGTCAAGTGGGTTGCTGACATTCAACCAACAAATGATGAAAGGAAGAGATGTGCTGTCTAACTTTAAAACAACTCCAGAAAATGTCCCCTTCTGACTGAACTCATGTACCAGAATTAATAGGGGCCTTTCCCGATACGACTTGATCTGAGCATGATGTGTTTCAACTCTGCTGGGACTGTTGCAGCCATCCTGGAGTTTCCCTGCTGAAGACCTCATCTCCAGCACAGGGCAGAAAATGAGCCTCTTACAGGTTGCCTAACTACCACAAACACAGAAGCAACACCTGACCTGTAGCCTAGTAAACGCTCTTAAATAGCACCAGGGTCGCAGGGCGGCTGGGAAAACAGTTATCACATACACACACATACATGCACATACGCACACACACACACACACACACACACACACACACACACACACACACACACACACACACACACACACACACGCACCATGTCTGAAAATATCAACAGCGCATAGCAGCCAAACCCCACTCAGCCATGTCATGATTTTATTTTGGGAACAGGATGCAATAATGTAACGTAAAAATAACAACAGTAATCCTCAACTCTAGCATGATCAATGTGTTCTGGTTTTTTCTGGTTTCCTAAATGAAAATTCACCTCAGTTTTTTTTCAGGCACATACTACAAAGCCACAAGTACGGTTCTTTACAAAGTAATGTAACCAAAAATAATGACAGAGGACTATTTAATTTACATATGGGTAAAAAAATAAGGAGAAACACTTAACATTTTCAACACATCCCAAGAGTGCTGTGATTTGGAGTTAGGTGGGGGCCCTGACTTGTGAAATGGGGTGCTGTTCAGAGCCAAGCAGTGTGGATGACATGATGGGAAATTGTATGACTACCCCCCTTTAAACTGCTGGACGTAATACATAAAAATAGGGTATGTGTTTTTATGACATTGCTAACTTTATAGAAAGCTCTACATGAATTTATATGAAGATAGACCAACAGTAAGTTATCAGTCATTAGCTGGAAAACTAGAAAGCAGCTGCAGTATATGTTTATAGGGGCAAAAAGATAACTGAGAAAGCCAAGCTCATGGCAAGTGACAATCCTGAGATGCTTTAATGTGACTTAAAGAGAGTGTTTAGGTAAAGACTGTTCAGCTGGTTGTATCCGTCATGAACACTGAAAGCAAGTTGCCAGGCAACCACCCAAACATTTGTACACACATGCCACAGAGCCGGGCTGTCACGCAAGAGTGACATGTGGGCGAAGAGGCGAACAAACTAAAGGAGAGGGATACACACAGACTGTGTATGAAAGTACATATGTGCAGTATTCGTGATTGCATGAGTCTGTGTAAGACTGAACCCAGATCATCTTTATAGGCAGCGTTTACCAGGAAATTTGTTCCAGATCTATTTAAGGCTAATCTTAGAAGTGATGCGATATCAAAAGCCGGCGACGACACAATGTGCCTGAAATAGCAATTAAATCAAACCACGTGACTCATGAGTCAAACTAAACACCGCAGTCACTTACTGCTTTATTATAGGCCCACACTGCTGCATAATGAGAGAGTAAACACATCAGTGCTGTAACTGAGGATGACAGGAAACTGAGGTTTCAGTGATATTTATCTTGTTACATTACACGATAGGCCTATTCAATAAATGCTGCCTTTGGTAGGCTATGCCAAGGATCAGATCAGTGTGTGAATACCAGGGCTGATGCCAAGTATCTGGTTCTTCAGTGAGCTGTCTGAGTATGTGTTAGTCGACCCAAATTAAAACCCCAGCACTTAGTACTCTAGGAAAGGGGTCAGACACAACACAAACTTTCTCTTAAGAAATCCCCCTACACTGTTGGTGCAACTCAGAAATTAAAATCTGGGTTTTAATTGAATTATTAGGATAAAAAGACTGAAAACAAACGGTTGAGACTGGTGAGACCATGTAATGTTTGTGTCATAATTCACTCTGCTTGTCCTTTTATTTAATGAGACTGTTCATCTAAATTGGGTGTTTTGAATCATTTCACATAGAGGTGTTATTCCTTCTTGTTCAAATAAAGCATTAACATATTTTGGGCACAAGGGGGAGCTAGAGTCCAACTGCTGTGACACCACTTCACGATCAGTGTTGCTGCAGTCTAAGGGGATCCTTAAAGTTTGAAGTACTGCACCCTTGAACAGTGCATACTTAATATTCACTATTAAAATTACAGTTTTAAGCGCTCTATGGTCTTACCTTGGCTGAGGTGACTTGAACACTGTTTTTATATGCTTGTTGGGGCTAAGGCATGGACCTTTGACTTAACTCTGCTTCCCTTCCTTGTAGGGGAGAGTGGGGTAAGATGAGCCATTTTTCATATTTCGGATCACTACATCAAGTCAATCATAGTTTTGTCTCTAACTAGTGTATCTGCATATATTTCAAGATGTTGTGTATCCCTGCAAACCAACAGAACAATAGTAAACATAACTGTCTGGATAATATAGCATGCCAAAAAAAGTGGTCTCCTATGGTCAACTTACCCCGTGTGTGGGGTCAGTTGACCACAGGAGCGGGGTAAGTTGAACATATCCCTACTAATCTAATTAGTCTAACTAGTCTAATATTACGTTATTAGTCCTCAAAGCTGAAATTGTGGACTTTTATGCTAGGTTTTTGACCTCATGTTGTACTTCTTAGCCCCAGTTTTCGGTTTAGAGGCTGAAACTCTTGTTTTGGACATGATGAGCCTTCATCCAGAGCAAAAACGATAGCCTACGCTTGTTTAGAACTTTAGACCCAGATTTACATACCTGTAGCCTTCAAAACCTGTGAGCTGTCTGATTGGACGGCCCGCTACATTCGTCACGTTTCGTGTGCATGCTCGCGCCTTAATGACAAAGATGTGACGTCGGTGGATAGGTGAAATCCAACCTTGGCTTTTTAATTGGCTTACACCCCCCAGCCCCCACATGTGTTTGAACGCCGAGATGACGTCACAGCAGGTCGACCACTTGCCCCTGTTTCTCCACATTGATCGACTCTACGTTATTTCCTGCAGATCCGCTGTCGTGGGTCGATACTACGCTGCGTGTTCACAGCCAAACCCTCCCCTCCTCTCCTCTCCATCCCCACGCCCCGTCTCGTCCCAGTGAATGAGGATTTAGTTTTTCTCCCTGTTTTTAACCTCTTATTTCTGGTTTCCCGTCACTGTGGCTCACAGCAGCGCTTTGGCTGCGGTGTGAGCTGAAAACACACACGTTATGGAGATGTTTTGAAGAAGAGGGGGGAAAGAAGGACCACAGCAAAGCATCTGCCTTCCTGCATCTCCTCCGCCACTGGGATCATGATCCACCCCACACCATGGCGAGTCCTGCTGCTTTTAACCGTGCTGTACCAGCCAGGGAAAACAGAAAAATACGGTAAGATGATGATGGTGATGATGATGTTGAAGGATACTGATGATGGCATGGGCTTTATCAGAAGTCATGTTATATCCCTGACAGCCTTGTGCTCTCGCAGCAGGTACATGATGTTTCCAAGTAATGACTCCGCAGTGATCTCATCCGGATACTTTATCCCCTGTAGCATCGCTCTTATGTGGCTGTGTTTATCCTAAACTCGGTGGTATATATTTGTGTATCGCCTGTGTGAGTGTGTGATTTCTTCATATAAATTGGGGTCTAAATTATCTGACATACAGAGATGGCTGCAAGGATAGATAAGGAGGGTTTGGGAAATGAAGCTGATGTGAGGGAGAGATAGAGGATGAAAATGAAAGGATAGATAAAAACTAGTAAGCAGCTCATAGTTTATTTTGCTGAGAGCATAGGAGTAAAAACAACAGACTAATGACAAACATTAAATATGAGACTGCTGTCACTGCTAAAGATGTATTCCTGTAAATTAAAGAAAATAATAATAAAGATATAATAGCTGTAAAAGCTGCAGAATAATTTACAGCAGCTTGCATAAATTCAATATAAGCCATAAGTTGTGAAATATTTTCATTTATTTGAGATGGCGGCACAGAAACATAATTAAGCATCAGTGACATTTGACGTTTGGTTAAGATTGAAAATGGCAGCAGTGATGGTTTCAGCTGAACTCTTTAACGCTGACTTTAGCACAGCAGAGCAAAATTAAATTACTTTTCAAAATGCAGATTGAAGCATTGACATGGTATAATTAGAAATCAATACAAGGATGCAACAAGTGTATTATTTCCCTCATCTTCTCTAGACTTACACTTAAAGATAGAGTTTTTTAGTAGTATTCATTCCAAACAGATCAATATGAATAAGTCTCTCTGACATGTGTAGGTGGAGGATTGTCAAGCTTAGAGTGTGTTTATTCATTCAGAGAAAGGCCAAATGTTTTTGTCTTTGCCTCGATAAACACAAGTTAGCTGGATTTTTCACCACTGTCAGTTCCCCTCAAAACTGTATATACTGAGTCATTTGAATATTTCACTGAAAACAGAAAATACTGATTTAATTCTGTTGTTTCTGCATTGACTTTAAGTAGAAATTAAACACTAATCAGAAATCAATATCAAATTATAATAAAAAGCAATAACACTGAACAGTTGCCTGCTCAGTGTGATGCCTTTCTGCAAAAATTCAGCACCATGGAGAGAAACCAGTAACCAGTGATGCTTCCTTCTGTCCATTCATCCATTAACATCTCTTTGCTTCCAGCTCTGCTCTTTTATACAAACATCCATCACAATCTTTGAGCAGCTATTCACTCACACATCAGACTATCAGTGTGATGTCCATGTCAAAGCTGTCATCTCAGGAGCCGGTCTATCTTAAGTGATTGATGTCCTGTTGCTATGACAAATACGATGTGATAGTTCAGGTTTCCCCTTAATTTGTCCATCATGTTTCTGAGACTCCAACAAGCCTTAAAGCAATAATCCACACCAAAATAAACACAACACCATTTTAAGTTTAGACATCTGGACTATAATATGTTTAATTCTTTGTTTAAGCTCTATGTTGTTTGTTGACTAACTCTACCAGCTGTCTTTTCCTGGACAATCACTCTGTGTTTCATGACTAGGACTGACATTTCCACTCAGTACCTTCTCAGATAATGTTAATGTCAGTGCCTTTGTGAGTCCCTGTGAGCTACAGTTAGACAGATGCCTCTTGACTCAGCGTCGATGCAGCTGTATCCATTTATGTTTTTGCTGTTTTTTTAAGTCAAATATTTAAATATGGTAGAAATGCACTGAAACAGTCAAACACTTTTTAAGCAGTCATCAAGTTTATCCTCAGAAGTCAGGGTTACATTTAGTGCAGGTTACTTAACATAAAGTAAAACGAGAGAACAATTTACCTCTCCTGTTCAGAATGTATTCTCAGGTTTAAAAGGTTTAAAAGGTTAAAGGCAACAAAGTACGTTTGTGAAAAAAAAAAAGTGTTTTTCCACAAAGAAAGTAGACGTGAGTCACTCAGACCTCCTTCAGGATCTGCGTCACTTCACTAAGCAGCAGGGAAAATAGCTGTCAGTCTTTTTTTGTACCAGTTTATCAGGAACACATTCTGCCAGCAACACATGCACTTTTTTTTATTTTTTTTTTTATATGATTAATTACTGAGATGGTATATCTGTCATAGCCATCCCCAAATTGATTTTGTGAATGGTTTACTGTTATTTGGCAAAGACAAACAAACAAGCAAACAATTTAATTGCAATATCAGAGAAAGACCTTCAGAGTTATCTTTGTAATTTGTGCTGTTTTATAGTTTTATCGATCTGATCTACCTTCTGCCATGAAACCCTTCCCGTACTGTTGGACACCCTAAGGCCTCTGCTCACCACTAAGAACTTCGGTCACAAATGGAAATCAAGTACAAACCAATGGCCGAAAATAATTAAGAAAAATTATATTCCTGAATTAACTAGTCATTAACTGGAACATTGTTCACAGAACAATAACATTTCTAAAACTAGCCTATGTGTAAGTTGACAGAGTTCCAAGTACTACATTTTACAAAATTTTACAAAATTTAGTTATTTCTTTTATATTTCAAAGGTGCGTATTTTCAACACTTGCTTGCAAAATCCTTGTGCACTTCGTATTCTAATCATTATCAATGATGTTGGTGTATAGCTGCTTAGATGTCTCTGCAGTGGGAAAAATCCCAAAATTCACTTTTATGATTTTTTGGATCAAGGCTTTCAGAAATTCAGAAAAGGTTTAAATGCAGATGACTGTCCTCAACTAGAGGGACTGTAAAAGTGTCCTTGGACTATTATATAAAAGTGTTATAAATGGTAATTGCAGTGAAGGTGGGCTTAGACAATAGCTGCAATTTAATATGACAGATTTTTGTGTTTTTGTAACCACTGTTCAGAACATTTGAAGCAAATTGCAATGAGTAATCCAGGGTGAGACTCATTTTGTTGTGCTCTCATTACAACCTCTTCAAATGTGGATTCAATCAGTGGTTGCTATGGAAATGGCTGTGGAAGTCTTTACTCTGAGTACCTGTTGGCCTTGTGTCTTTCCACATCAGGTTGCCTGTTTGAGAGAAAGCTGTGCACGAGGGATCAGTTCTGCTCTGATGGTGAGTGAAGCACACAAAAAACACACACAGATGCATGTTCATAAACTTTCAAAACAGACTGTCCTGCATCCTTTCTAACCTCTACAGCATTAAAAATGATTAACCCTGCAGCACACACATACACACAATCGCATGCAAACATGCTGACACAAACAGTATCGACAAAAATGTACAAAAACACATCAAAGATTTTCTCCCTCTTAGCCCAATGTATTTGTCTCCCTCTCTTCTATAACCTGCCCCTCTCCCTTTCCCCATCTATATCCAAGCCCCTCCCCCATTCCACAGTCTCCATGGTAACACTGACATCACAGTGAGGTCGACACCCCCACAGTTGTTGTGCTAATACAGCGATGAGTCACTGACACACACTTACGCACTTGTCTGTGGAAATTGCACTTGCGCACACGCACAGTAATTGGGCAGAATAGAGAATGGATAAGCATGCTTGCAGACACTGACGGATTTATTGATGCACACTTGAGGGACTGAGGTCGAAACACCAGAGAGAAATATTTTGCTTCAGGTCAGAGTGACTGAAATCAGCCCTTTCTCTCTTTCATTCTCTCTTTCTGACCCTATGCCTCTTCAATGCAAACTGAGCTGCAAACAATCTCTGTGTTCTTCTGTCACCAACCACAAAAAAATAATAATAACTGGCCTCATTTTCAGTCTAATGTCAAATACAGTGCAACTGCTGCAGTATCTGTACATGCATTCTGTCCTACATATAGAGAAGAAGCAGCCAGAGTGTCGAGTGTAAACAAACTGGTCACAGAGATGTTAGAGTACATGAGGCTACTGGGAGAACAGTGAAATCAGAGTCTTTGGGGTTCTTCATGAACTTCTGCAACCACAATCATATCCAAATGTTATAATTTACAGCCTGTGTTTGGCTAATAAGCAAAATACAGTGCAACACATTGCAATAATATGTCTATAAAAAGGATAGTTGATGACATAATTTAAGAGACCTGTAAGTGGTAAGGAGGGGTGTCTTGAATTTATATAACTACAGCATAATACAACAGCTATTACAGAGCTCATGCATTTTAATAGGCTTGTCATATTATTGAGGATACAGGGTGGGTTTAACATTGACATACTATTGACTCACTGACATTATGAATCATATCTTACACAACTAAGCACGTCATCCACATCCTACCAGCAGACCAGCTCACATGAATATACACTGACCTGTGATGGTCAGGGTGTCTGTCACTGAGGTGCTTGTTGAGGCTTGAAGTGTGACCTCCCTGAATGACACTGTTTTGTAGCATTTTTGGCACACAGGTTTAATTGGTCATGGGTTCACCATTAGGTTCGGCTTCATAGACAAATAATCAAACAGAATACTTAGGCATAGGATACAGAAGAATCACTCTATAAGATAAATCCCTGTTGCCTCAGTAGTGGGCATGTTAAAGTGGAGGTATTGCTTTTCTATTTCTGAGCGCTGTGTAAACAGGAACGACTGCCGAAGTCCCTGAGCACTGACTGTCTGACATGCCTTCCTCACTGGAGGTTCATCTTAGTCCACAATTTTGGTATGCCATGCAAAACTAGCACTGATCAACGCAGACAGGGTAAACCCCTCAGAGTTTGTACTTTTGGTGATGCTTGGACCCAGATCATCACTATTTGGTCCTCAAATCTATACACTAACCCACTTACCCAGGACTGAATTTTCTCTTGCTCTGTGACAAGTAACGTTTAACAGCTCATATACTTTTTTACTCACTTTCTGGAGCAGCCATGTTTGCAGAAAGATTGTAAAAATGAGGTTTATGCTTGTGAATTTCAAGACGCTTTAATTTTTTGGTTGAGATCCTTTGACTTAACAAATATAAAAGACAGTATATTTGCCTCAGAAAAGAGCAGGTAACTGTTTGACAGTGTGCACTCTGGAGTGAAGTTGTACAGGATTATGGGTGCTGATGTGAAAAGGATAGTATAGGGATGTCTCACAGGTTCAGTTGTGCTATGGACCAGACATATAATGACTACGTAGAAGATGCAGAGATGCTGCAGTGTTGCAAAAGTATAAATATCAGTTAAACAGGCCACAAACAGAAGGAAAACATCTATTAGTTTAGATTAATAAGGTTAAGTGCTGGATAATTTGCAGTGATGAATATTTGAAAGTAACTGGCGTAAGATCATGTATTTCACACCTCTGAAACACTGAGGACAGTGATCCCAGCTCATTCGGTAGCATCTTGCAGTACTTTTATGCAGCACACACCACTCTGTGATGCCCTGTGATTTCTGCTCACTGCACAGCACAGCCTTCTCTCCCTGCAGCAAACCCCAGACTGTGACTTTTCTTCGAGTTTAAGTTCTTCTCTTAAGGGCCAGCTGCCTGCCTGCCAGAAGTGATACACAAGATTGATTGTGTCTCATGTGTTTTGCTGTGCAATATGGAACGCACAGCATCTTTTTGGTTGTCTCAGCAGTTGTTTCTTTGCAGTGTTTATGTGTGTGACAGCCACTGTTACAGGCTGGTATTGCTTTGGTTTTGTGCCAGGTAGATAAGGAGTTTTTGCCTTGTTTAACCTCCACTCAGAGACAGTCAGAGGTGGACTTTTTGTGGTTTGTTCTTGTCACGTTTGTGTTGCTGTGAGGGCTCTTTTTCTGTCTTTATCCAGCATCGATTGTGCAATAAATCCTGGGGTCCAGCTGCAATATTTATGCCTGGATCATGGCCATGGCCATGTTTTTCTTAAAGTGTGCATGGAGTCCTTTTGAGTGTGACGCATGAAGCTACTAAGGTCATATATTGACATATTGAGTAGTTGAAACACTCCGGACTTGTTAACAAGCTTGAAGCAGCTGTAAGATGCTGAACAGGTGGATGTTCATCATGCATCCAGATGGTCCACAAAGAAATACACATGCACATGAAAAAGGACATTTAAGATAAGACACAAAAAGCCACCTCTGTTTTGGTGATCAACTCTTTGAAGGGGATAAAAACATAGTTACTTAATGAGGAAAATGTAAAGACTTTAAATTTTTTTAAATGCATTTTACAACCAACATTTAAAGGCATGTGTGAGTTTGAACACCTGATAAATACTAGTTGCTAGTCTACTAGTTGAACGGTAAGAAAGCCTAACCCTAACTGAGCACAGTTTATTTTACATGGCTGAACGAAGGATCACATTGTCTCAGAGTTCACAATGTCAAACTAGTTTTCAAGGAATAGCAAATGTTAGCAGAGTTAGCAATAACAGCGTTGCCGATTAATCTCCACATCTCTGTGCTGGATACATATATTTTTGGATAAGTGCTCAATAAATTAGACACTGCATACATACAACATTTTAATCAAAATAAGGCAAAACCCCACAGTGCTGAGTGACACCTCATATCTTCTATGCATGTTTAAATCAGGGTAGTAAACCTTCGTAGCATGATTGATGTAGCCCTTACCTGGAGTTACAGCCTGGACTAAAGTATAAGGTGCTCTTCCATGGGGTCATGTTTACCCTCTTAGCACAGCATATTCCACTTATCTGATAGAAGTTCAGGACCAGAGGGATCTATGGCAGGTGTTAAGCAAGGCTTTTAACTTCAACAAGGTTTGTCATCTCCAATAAATCACTTCAATTTTGCATTTCCACATTGAGAACCAGACAAACCAGACAAACTGATCTTTTATGTCCTTCTGGCTGATATTAAGTCATTAATTGATTACAAATAAGTTTGGCTATTAATTGGTTTTTGAGTCACTATGAGCCCTTACAGACCCTTAACAACACTAAAGACATATAATGATTCGCCTTTAATTCATGATTACTGAATTTTCTATTTTTTTACAATAACAGTTACAGTGTTAACGATTGAAGTGACACTGTGCAGCTAATAAATCCAGATATCCCCCAATCATGGTTTATTAAGCTATAGATGTTTTAGCATCTCCTGTTTTTGACATTACAACTCAAGGATTGCACACAAAACCAAAAACTTATACCATTTATTAATTATTTTTTAAATAGTGATATGTTTGTTATAATGTAATATACTTTGGCTTCAGGGCTTCCATGAGCTTCACCTACAGAAGAAAAATACTTGGTTTTATGTCACAGTTCATTTGGAGCATTGTTTTTTTTACATTATATTCTTTTAACCAAACAATGCATTTCCTCCATAGAACAGATCCCCCTGTCCAGCACTGAATGCTGCCACACTTCACTGTAGCCTATATCCCCAGTGCAAATATGATATCCACAGAAATAAGCAAAGCTCCAGGAATAGTCCCAATCCAATCAAACCATGCCGTTTGCTGCCTCCTCTCCATTCATCTTTCAATCCTCTTCCTTTCCTCCATGTCCCTCTTCTCCCTGTCATCACTCAGCTCTCCACCAGGAATATGAACCACTCTGCCTCTGCAATTCAATACCACAATACAATATCCTGTGTCACATCAAATCACAGGCAATGCTGGTATGTAATTTGATTTGGGGTTTCTCCGACTGGGATGGAAAATATTTATGGAAAGCTGCTCAGTGGAGGGAAAAACTATAGTTAAGAATTAAAGCTGTCTGTCTTTGTCTTCAACAGACAATTTCTGTCAAATCTTCAAGGAAAGATCAACTCAAATAACAATAAATGACATTTAAATGTTGATGTGCTCACTCTTTTATACACCCGGTGGTGACAGAGAATCGGAGTCACTGTTAACTGGCTTTATAAATACATGAATCCTCTCTAATCTCTACCAGTTTTAGCTGGTACAGAGAGACACAGTGATGACTCATCAGTGCGCTGGATAATGCAAAGTCTGCCCCGCTTTATCTTTATTCCAAACACAACTCACTTATGGAAGCTGAAAGTTTAGGTGCTCATTCCTTACCTGCTTACAAAACTATCATTCCCTTTATGAATAGCTTTCTGCAGTGATATAAGCATCTGTAAGTACTAGCTCTGTGGAGCAGAGATGATGCATCAGCTTCTTCACGCAGATCAGTTGATGCATGAAATTGTGTGGGCAGAGGTTGTCGTATTGTGTAGAAGCAGCACATTTTTTTTTACTGCAGTTGATCCAAACTGATGAATCTGCGAACGTCATATAAAAACAGTTCACAGAATATAATATTCAGGTTGTCTAGAGGTTATGATCAGCTTCTGCCTTATGGAGGCAGAACCTCATCTAAAGGAACTCGACAGGTAGGCGATGTGTGTGGGCTGAACTTCAAAAACTATGACTCACTGCTGCGGGGTAGTGTTGTGTCGGCCAACATAAGAACCACAGCTAACACAAGGCTCTGCGCTGTCCCTGAAGGGCAGCTTGATGTAAGTATTTGTGCTGAACTTTGCACAAAGACGATAAAAACTTTCATCGATGCATTGTTAAGTTCCCTGTCATTGAGCTGCCATTGTAGAAAAGCACTACAAGCACAAACACTGGCTTTGTTATATGTGAGTGTTCCAGTCAGCCCAGACTGCGTGATAGTGAGTCAGCATGTATAACACCAAAGCTCTGACATTAAAGCTGTTAAATTCATCCTTAATTTAAAGTTCAATTTCCACCATGCCTTCACTGCTGTTTCAGGTTAAAATGGGGGAAAAATCAATTTAAAAATGATCTTTGCAGACAAAAAAAAAAAAAAATTGTTGATGTTAAAGTTTTTGTCTGTGTGTTTTTCCAGATGGGCTGTTCGGTCAGTGTCGTAGCTCTAAGCAGGACCAGATCCAGTACCAGGTGACAGTCCCTGTACTCAAGAGGATGCAGGAAGTCCTCAAACAGCTCATGCTACAAGGTAAGACACTACAATCAGGATGTTACCACCAGCTTGATCTTACTGTCTGTAACATGGACAGTATAAAACACTGACACCAAAGCTGGCCATACTGGAAATGCTTGCTCTATAGTACTTCTTGCTTATCTCTACACTGGCTTAGAGCTGGAGTAAGCAAAGCTGTAGTTGGCATAAAGATGGCATTTAACTATAATACAGTTCCCATGGCTGTTGGAGACAGCGTCAAGTAGTTACTTAAAGTATTGCTGTTTTTTGCATCTCTGTACTGGTTTTATTTTTCTTAGCCTGAGGTCATGACTTGGTCTGTATTTTTAAATCATGATCAAAAAAGCAGAGTTAACATGTTGACTGGATAAAAAGTGGACTCGCAACCAGCACTACTAACAATCTGACGCAGGACTGCCACTTTTAAATTCAAACCCCTGGCATGTTTATGTTTTTGGTGTAGTTCAGCTCACAACCAGATGCCAATACTCTTTCCTGTCCTCTACAATTGGTCGTTGTAATTCATACCAGAATCTAAAATAAATTATCCATGTCCCACCATGTGAATCATATGTAATATTATATTTATTAATTTGTTTTTGCTGGAGGGTAAGGTTAAATTTAAAAGGACTCACAAGTCTTCATGGTGTTTGAAAAACACAGAATATCTGTGTAAAAAAAAAAAAGAGGACACCAACTTTTCAACACACAGAACAGCAAGTGGTTATAAGCAGCTGCATATATTTCCACCTAAAGCACTGGCAGGCACTAAATGCAAACTACATTTACATGTGAAAGTGATCAGTTATTCTTGTGTCTTCTTTTTTTTTTATTTTTTTCAAAAAAATCAAATCGTCAAACAAAAGAAAATAGAAATTTGGTCCAAAGGATAAGTACATAGTCCGCCTGTTTGCCAAAAATAAATCCAACCAATACTATCTGATTTATTGCAAGTTTGGAGCACAGTGCTGGGCTCCACAACAGCCTGATACAATCATCGTTATAGATATTAAATTAGTGTAAGCGAAAAGAACAGAGCACCTGTAAATACACTGCAGAGTCTCTTTGGTCATGGTAGCAGTGGTGACCTAGTGTGCACTTTAGGATTCTGGCAAACATACAAAAACTTCAACTCAATGAGAATTGATTTCAGACAATCTCTGGCTTATCTGCCTCTCACTCCCTTCAGTCTCACAGCCTCTGTGGTTGGACTTAATTGCTGTGTGCGTGTGTTTGTGTTTGTGTCTGTGTGTGAAGGTCTTTCCTGGCAAGATGACATCACCCAGTATATTTTGTCAAAGGAGCTGAAAAGAGTCCCCCACACTACCCAGCACTATAAACAGAACTCCTCCTCCTCCTCCTCCTCTTCCTCTCGTTCCTCTCAGTAAGTGCTCTTCAGTTACAGTGATGACATCTTACACAAAACAAATGAGTCAAAAGAAGGAATGAGATCCGTCCATTCATTTCACACTGAGTCTCCATTCATAATCCTGTCCTCCTCCATCCCTCCCTCCTTTCATCCTGGCTGCATCCATCCTAATCCTCTCTTTGTTTCTCCCTGGGTTGCCAGGTCCAAACAGCATATCCCTCAACACCACAGTTCAAAGTCTGGGTCCACCACTCATGGTGGCAACTATCTGGACTACATGATTGTGGAGCCTCCTCAGACCCCGCTACACATGCAGACAGCCTCAATGGACCCGTACACATACCACCAGGTGTGCACACACTCTCACACACACACAGTAACATCTTTATCTTTTGTCAACATGCACATGATAACTACAAAATGCCAATTTAATGTCTTTCTTTTTTCCAGCATCGATTCCAGGATGAAGTGGAGAGATCACTCATTGGAGCAGGAAGCAATTACGCCCGCCCCTCTTCAAGGTCCCAGGCCAATCAGAGAGAGCGAGACCGTGACAGGCAACTGCTACAGGAAGCCTTGTCTCTCTACCTGGCATCTCCACAGCCATCATACCGCCATCGAGGGCCTGCTTCCATGGCTCCTGCAGGTAAACAAGAGTTTTCTTGAAATTGAAACTCATGTGTCAAAAGCTGTTTAGGATTCAGGACACATAAAAACATTCAACTGCTACAGAATCAGATATTGCATTGCAACTAAATATGAAGTACAGCTTATGTTTAGTTTAGAATACGGAAGAAAACAGTTACATACATCTTATCTAACCAGTTGTGTTTATCATTATCATTAACTTTGTTTTGAGCAGGTCTACCTTATTATGAGGAGCTGGACCTGGAGATACCTGTGGACTATGCTGAAGAGTACACCCTAGAGGAGAGACTTGACACTGCCGGCAGACAACAAGCCATGCAGAATAAAAAAGCTCCTCAGGATTTCAGTGCTCTGCCTGGAAACAATGGTGAGGAAATACACTTTGTCTTGTACAAACTAAATCTGTCCAGAAATGTACATCTTTTTCATGTGAAGATTAGAAATCTAAACAGGATATAGCAGAGACAAATCAAACTTTACTATTTTCTGTTAGATGGTCTGCTCCAGAGGATGTCAGGGGTCCTGCAGAGGTATGGGGTCAACCCCAGGGAGCTCAGCCAGGAGCAGCTCTATAAGTTAGCCCTTATTCTGCAGCTGCTGCAGGCCCAGGAAAAACCAGGTACTGTGATTCAATCGTCATGTGTTCTGTAAAAGGTGGACAGATTTTCCTGCAGATGTTACAGAAAATGGATCCACGGAGGTCTTTTGCATGTTTGACACAAAGGGCTCTGCACAAAGTATTCAGTAAAAGTAACATTTATATTTTCTACCTAAAGCTGTTGTCTTTTTCATGCGTGGTTTTCACATTATGTAAAGTAATGAGTGAACTTGCACCTGCGAGTGAGATAGTGAGATAAGAAACAGCACAGAAATCTGCAGCAGGGTCCCCATTAATAATAGAATATCAGTGTTTTTATTGTTACTGTGATATTGTTGTTTTTATAGGGGGAAGGATGGTTGGTACACAAGATTATTTCCCCTCATCTTTATACATCATGATCCTGTTCTGGTTTTAGTCACCAAGCATCAGGCACTCTTTCAAACTTATGCAGAAACAGACTCTGACAAAGACATGCTCACACATGCTGTCAGGGTGACTGAGATGGTGCCCACAAATGTTAATTAGCCTGAACAGTATCCATGACACAAATGGGATCTTACAGCCTTCCTCTCTTTGATTTGAAGCACACTGGACATTTGCCATCAGTGATACTGTCAGCATGTCCTGAGTTACTTTGTTTTGCTTGGTGTGTAAATTTACACATCTGTGTCGATATGATAAATGAGGCTGACACTTGTTTGAGCATTTTTATCTTAGTGTATACTTGAAATCATTACTTTGACTCTCTTTCCAGTAGATCCAATTGAAAAAGACCTCATCTCCCTCAAGGAGGTATGTAAGCATCCTTTTGTCTGCAGTGTTCAATCAGTGCTCATTCATGGTTTTCATTGACGTGGTTTCCCATCATCCCCCTTTAGATGCAGTTGTTAAAAACAGACAGTGTGTCCAATAAGCCAGAGAAGCCAGCCCCTGTCTCTCGCCCCCCTGAGACCCCTCCTGCCCCCTCCTCACTTTCTGTCCCGGCTACACCTCCTGCCAAGAGTGCCAGCCTCCCCCCGTCTGCCTCCCAACCCCCGCAGGCCGCTCCTGTTGGCGCCGGACAGGGCTCCAAGGAGCAGGTGCCACCACTAGTCGAGGGAGCGGGAGGCAAGGAGGAGTATGGGTACATTGTTACAAACCAGAGGTCAGTCAAAAAAATTAAATTAGTCACATTTAAATTCATATAACAGGAATATGAGAATTTTTAGACATGCTAACAAGGATTAATGAGGATGTTTTCCTTTTTAGTCCTCTCAGTTTGTATGACGGTGTGAAGCTGTTGGAGCTCCTAGCTGATAAGATACATCTGACGACCAGCAGCTTCATTAACATCAGGTAGCACCAGTATTTTGTGTGTGTGTGTGTGTGTGTGTGTGTGTGTGTGTGTGTGTGTGTGTGTGTGTGTGTGTCATGATGCTGTAAATGTGACTATTCTAATCAATAAGGTCTGTTGTGGTTTTCAGCAAGTGTCCCTATGGCTTTTTGTTCCCAGTGTGGTTGGTCCTGCGCTGACGTTCCGTATCCGCCAGAATGAGCACAACATGACGGCTGCAGAGGTGGCTGCTAAAGCTGGTGAGGCTCAAAACATCACACACACTAGCACACTAACACCTACCCACCCGCATGTACATACAGGCATGAAGTGAGAAGTATGTGGGCTGTTGTAATGTCACTCCATTTTACAGAACTTGTCTTTTTTCCCACATGGTCTCTTACAATTTTAGCTGTTTTCTGCCCCCCCAACAGTGTCTGAAAAGAACTTCCTGGAGTCTGAGACAGGACTGAAGATTGTACAGACTGGAGTGGGAGAGGTAAATGTCACACAAATACACACTCTGCCGCATTTGTAGCCACAGAAACATGATGCAATTGTCAAGGAAACAGAGATATAATCTCTCCTCTATACTCTTGACATTTTGACTGAAACCTTTTCATTTGTGGACCCTGCTCATTAGCAGTGTAGCTCATGTCCAATGAGGCTGTATAGTTTTCACACAGTAGCTGCCATTAACTTCACATTGAGAAAGCTCACTTTGACCAAAGGTTGTGTAACAGGATGGACAACACGACAGCTCAACCAAAGTGAAACCAAACCAGTTAAAGCTTGCTTCACTGCAGTATATATGCAAATATTTAAACATATGGTACGTTTACAGACACAGTGAAGTTGACCTATGTTTATGGCTCAATTAGGTGATTTAACTGCAATCTCCTAGTCCTGGTTTACAAGCTCTAGGCAGAATCAAATTATTACCTGTCTACTTCTGCTGTGGTAGAAGGCAACATGGCCCCTTTCATTTCATACAGCCTTGCTGATGCAATACGTGCCTGAACAGAAACACAAAAAACATCAGACTAGAGTTGTAAAAAGTTGTTCGTGTTTCACCTTACATGTCTACCTCAGACTAACTCAAGAAACTGTGCTGTGTATTGACCTGTTTGATCTTTGCTGTTTAATAAGTGATGTGTTTGTTCGGGTCAGCATCAGTGACAAGACGTCAATATCACACTCCAACTAGCCCATCTCAACAGCGAAATGCCCCAAAGGCATTACCAGATGCTGGGGTTATTTTAGTTTCTTGTCCAAGTGTTCACATCACATCATGGATCTTTAATTACACTCTATTGTTGCAGTACTCTTAATATTAGTCTATAAATGGGGGTTTATTTGTAGTTAAAGTACATTCTTTGCATGAGTCAGGTGAAACAGGTCAAATGGGAAGCACTTGAAACTTGGAAAATTACTTTATGATTATATTTGAGGTGCTGTATGTGACACACACACATATCATACATTCATCTCAGCTCAAATGCTTGTTTTCCATCTACTGCTATATTTTGTGTTGTGATATGTTGTGTAGCTGTGTGTATCTCTTTGTGTGAGTGGACCACCTGGAGCCCTATCAGCTAGAATAAATCAGCAAGGCGACACATAGTAACAACCAGCATTTTCACTTGTTGCCATGGTGCTTTATCTCCTCTGTCTCCCTCCCCCCTGACTGTGGCTCCTAGGTGCTATGGCAACAGTCACAAGTGTCATTAACCTCATTATTCGCTGTGCTCATACAGCCTGCATCTCTGTTGTGTATATAATGGATGTAGTGCAGTCAAGTGAGAAATGTGCATTAAATGGGAAAAAGGGGTGGAGTTAATTGAAATGGTCAAAACAGAGACACCCTGTCATCAGCATTAGGGATAAATGCTTGTGAGGTTACAGTAGGATTAGGACAGTCTACTGTAATTATCAAAATGTTCGGCTCTAATGTTTGTTCACTTTTTGGAAATGTTAAAAATATTGCTCTGTTTGTCCCTTTTCCCCTCTGATATGTTTTTTCAGACGGTCAGTTGATATTTTTTATGACTGAGGTGCACCAGAGTAGTTAACTACACATACATCAAGTGGATGAGTTTATTTGAATAGAAAAAACTGTTTTGTCAACTGCTACTATTTTTGCACAACATAATTAGAGCAAAGAAGTTGGTGTCAAGGATGGTTCTTCATATCCTTAAGGAGATCATGAAGGAAGCATCATTTCCAGCTCCTGTCCACCTGGCCCTCAGACTATTCAGTTGATTTGTTTCATTAATTTATTCATTCAACTTGGTGATTTTATTAATAAAAACATCAATCATTTTTATGGGTCTCTGCTACATGGGTAGGTATTTGTATCATGGGTCTAATGCAGAGACATAACAGATTATTTTTTTCAGGCCTAATCCCTTTACATTGTCTCTTTTTAGTTTTATTGAATGATGATAAAAGCGAGTCAGTTTTTACAAATGTGCGTGGAAAAATAAGGCACCTGATCAAAACAGACAAGCTGAAAATCAGATTTTTTTGAGTCTGTGAAGGTAAAGAAATAAAAAGAAAGACATGATATAACACACTGTGGATGTGCTCTGTCCTGTACCAGGGTTTATAGATCCCCCTGCTGTCTTTTTAATGGCTTTCTGTATCATACTGCCATGACCTCTTGTTGAAGCTCAGCGTCAGCCTCCCACTGAACAAACCTAACCATCACATTCAGTCATATGGAGACAAATGTGTTGTTGAGATGAAATAAGTGACCTTTAGATATCTGTGGTGGGTGCAAGTTCCCCAGAGTATTGCAGCTCCAGCCAGTGTACTCTTAACAGTGAGCTTAGCATGTCAACAAATGGAGATTGAGCTCTCAGGAGAGACAAACTTGTTTTCATGGTGTTTCCTATCAGTTGCCATCACCTCTCTCACCGCTCTTCATGTCTGTATTCACAGAGGACTGATGCACGGGGTCTCCCTCGGGTAACCAGGGTTTCCCAGGGCTCCAGTGGGACAGTCATCACCCTTGTTTCCATGGCAGTTGTGGGAGGTGTGCTTGTATTGGCCATGGCGGTAGCTTGTTTCAAGCACTATTCTCAGCAAGTAGCCAACGGGAAGCTGGGTTTGGGTCCGGAGGGAGGAGCAGAAACACACTTAGACTATCAGGTATGGCAACATGAAAGGTTTCCTCGATGAGAACAATCATGAATTAAGAATATGTGTGGAGAGGTTGTTGTCTTAATTTTTCTCTTAGTGTCTACTTGTTCATTGTGGGGCATTCAAAAGCTTACCTGTGTTATACCGGGTTATAATTTTATCTGCAGAAGAATGAGAACTGATGACTTCCAGTAGAAAGGCTGAAATGAATGAGAATTAATCAAATAGAGGGACATCATTAAAAGAGTTAGAGTGTTTTTTTTCCTGAATCAAAATAAGTTCTTTTTGGCCGGGTATGCTCGAGGGCATTTCCAAAAGAGTTCCTGGGGTAGCATGGGCAATTATTAATATATAAAAACAGGAATGAACAAAAGTTACAGAAGGTACAGTGTTAGAGTGGAGAGTGCTGAAATAAATAGGGTAATGTTTTACATAGTTGGTAAAGGTTTACCCTGTCATTGATTTATTAACCAATACACTTTTTACCCCCCTGTCTTACCCTCAGGAGCTGTGTCGGCAGCACATGGCCTCCAAATCCTCCCTCTGCCGCCAGGACTGTGTGGGAGGCAGCATGGCCGGGTCCGCCATACCTTCAGGCGCCGGCGGTCGAAGAGGTACAGACACATCCCGTGTCAGTAGTGTCTCCTCCCAGTTTAGCGATGGCCCCCAGCACAGTCCATCCTCCACTCACAGCTCAACACCATCCTGGAGCGAAGAGCCAGCTCAGTCGAACATGGACATTTCTACTGGTCACATGATACTGGTGAGCCAAGATGTAATAGACAGAAACAAAATTCACCTAGATGCAGATGTTCAACTCCCACATTTAACATGTCACCTCTCCGTCAGGCTTACATGGAGGATCACTTGCGCAATAAGGACCGCCTGCAGAAGGAGTGGGAGGCTTTGTGCTCCTACCAGGCTGATCCCAGTTCTGTAGCTGTGGCTCAATCTTCAACCAACATGGATAAAAACCGGCACGCTGAATCCCTCCCTTGTGAGTTCATCCATGTATTACAATCTATGATGATCTGATGTACCTATTAATCATCAAACAACAAATCAGTCGTTAACGCACAAAGCAATGACACTTACTCCTTCAAATATTTAGCACATTCAGTAATTTGGTAAGTATAATCATTTCTGTTTCTTATTTTTTTCTTTTCGTACAGATGATCACAGTCGTGTGAAGCTGAAGTCTGAAGTAAACCCAAATAAACAAGACTACATCAATGCCAGCATCATTGTAAGGACTTTGTAAAACAAACCATAAAATATTGTTTGTAATAAATCATTTTCTCTGACATTTGGTGAATAATACAGAAAACATTCTCATGTGTAAGGCACTAAAATGTCTTCCCGCTATATTATTTTACACTGCAAATGTCATGTTTGCCAGAGCTAACCCTCGTCTTTTAGTATGAATACTAACACCTGATCCAGGTCTGAGCTGTAAATACAATATTTAGGGCCCCAAAAAGCCGACCAGGGATGAACAATACTGGGATATTCTAAATACTTTCTCCTGTAACTAAAAGAAACTCGGCTCTCTCGTTTGGTTTCTCCCAGTTTGATCATGACCCTCGTCAACCAGCTTACATTGCCACACAGGGACCCCTGCCTCACACTGTCGCTGATTTCTGGCAGGTACGGCTTGTCCTCTTATACCTTTATTTTAACTGCTCCATACTTATTTCTTTCCTCTGATTTATGCACTATTTACAACTTTAAACTGATTCCACATTTGCCACAATAAGTAGCCTGTATGCATGTCATGGCACCAATGTAATGCCTGTCTTCCACCCTCCATTCAGATGGTGTGGGAGAATGGCTGCACCGTGATCGTAATGATGTCAGCTTTGGTGGAGGACGGAGAGAAACAATGTGAACGATACTGGCCTGATGAGGGATCATCACTCTACCACATCTATGAGGTTTATCTCCTGTTATAAAAGCTTTTATTTCACATCTAGAAGTGTATATTAATGATGCTTTATTGAGAACAAGCATTCAGCATAATGGAAACAGCCTCAACACTTTATAGACAAGTTGGCATAGTAAGGTTGTGCGTTTGTTAAAAAAGTGAGATATTTGGAAATATTAAAGATATGTCTAAGATTGGTGGAAGAGTTCAGTGATCAAAGTCAGATTTTTGAAACTAATACAGAACAAAAAAAAGATATTTCTAACTCTTGTTAGGCAAAACTGTGGTGTTGAAATGCTTTAATTGTATTTCTAAGCATTTACAGATGCGACCGGTGGTTTTAATTTTGTTGAATAACTTTCAAGTTTCCGTCATTATGTTCTCAGTGCATCTTAAATGTCATTTATCATATTTTCAGCATTATGATGCAAAATGTCACAACCTTTCGCTTCCTGGTTTTGTTTTATTTACAAGAGACACAGAAACTTCTAAAGTGGTCTGCAGTGAAAACCGCACAGCCTATAAATGATTAACATGAAGGGATATAAAAGTGTTGGTCACAGTTTACATGAACCCCCTCTTATGACGAGTCATAAGCCCATTTAAGTGATCATGAGCATTCATAACAGTTTATGTTAATGTTTATGGGGTGTAAGAAGCAGTGGCTCTGTAGGTCAAATATTTGAAATATTCTTCTATTGACATGATTTCAAGAGATATTCCGGCATAAAATTTATTAAGAGTCAAACACGCCGTAACACCGAGTTAGACACCCCCTTGAGAGATGAATGTCGCCGACCGCTTGCTTCTCTAGTTATACCAACTTAAGTAACAACCACATGATAGCAATACACAGGGGTCTGAGGAGCCAAACACAAACATTTATGATCATTACTTTATCATTTCCATGAAGTAATAATCACCATATTAATCATTTTGCACTGCAGACGTGGTAGTTCTCCTGCCTTAGCGTCTTGGGGCTCTATTTTCGTCCGCGCCGGTGAGGCGGCGGAGGGCGGCGAGCCCCGCGCAGTTGTATTTTCGTCTGGCGGAGCCCAGCGTAAGGCCAATTTGGTATTTTCGTGGCATGAGCCGCACGGAGGCGAGCCAAGATGCGCCAAGCTGGGCGTGGTGGTGTGGCAGGGGGAGGTGTCGACAGAATCAGCTGGCGCAGTGACATTTTCGTGCTCGCCAACGGCGTGTAAAGTGCGCTGAAAGCTCGCCGATTCAAACCTGGTCAGCTTTCAGCGCAAGGCGGAACGCAGCTGGTCTAGAAGTATTTTGGTAGACCGGCGGCGTATCGACATACGTCACTGATGCCTCACCGGCAGGTTTCCACAGTGTCAGGCACATTTCAGTGCAATAAATAATCATCATCAACTATTAATCTGAGTCAGCACATACATTTAGATCTATATCGATATATTCTGATCTATATGTGATCTGATGAGCGCGTTTGGCACGCGTTTGGACACACAACCTGACCGAATCAACACAGCAAATTAAATTAAATATCTAGTAAATATACACACATGATGAAGTTAACAAGATATGTAATTCGTCTCCCTCCTTTTCTTTCTTCCTCTTCCTCTTATTTCTCGCACAGCTCGACCTGGACACGTCTCCGTGTCCTCTGTCCGTCTTGCTGCTGCTGCAGCTGAACAGATGATTTGTTTCAGTGCTCAGATGCGTTATCTACTTTAAGCCTACATACGGATATTATAATATTCAGTTTTGTGAGCCAAATTTATTTTATATGCCAACATCTATGAAAGAAAGAGCCAGGCCACGGAGCGCGATGCGTCATTTACGCACAGATGGTTCAGATTTTAATGCCATTTTTGGAGTTTATGTTGTGATCTGTGCGCTCAACCCACCTTTGTCAGGTGAGGTTTGAATATGAGCAACTTTATGTGAGTGTCTTTATTTGTGGAAAAGGGTGTTTGTCTTACCACTGGGTCCAACATTACGCACACTAAATCCATCTGTGCTCATATGAGAGAGTGTGGAGGACACTTGTTGAGGAGCTGCCCTCTGTCGCCATCTTGTGGCATTACTGTCTTAAGACGTCTCTTGATCTCTTTGACTACTTCATGAAAATAGTAATACGCCTCGCCTGTGGCGGATTTAAAGGCAAGGAGAGGAGCCTATGTGATTGGTGAAAACAGGTCTCGGCTGTGTTAAACCCACTTCACGCTTTTCTCCTCCCCGTCTACGACTTATGGTGCTGGGAGGAGCTGAGTTAGGGAGGGGGGATACTTACGCCGGGCTGCGCGGCTCACCAAAATACCAAAATGTGCTTGGGAACGCCTTGTCAGCGCGGCGGATCTGACTGACGCTGCGCTTGCGGCACGTCGCCGGCAAGGCACCAAAATAGAGCCCTTGGTCTGATTGCATTTCCATGAAGAAATGATCATAAATGTTCTTCCTTGAGCTGCGTCACCCCGCTGTAGTCTGTAATGGACTGGCCTGAGGTCTTGCTACAAACAAGCAGCTGCTGGAGGAGAGTGGGTGAGTTGTGTTTAGTCTCTTTGCTAAAGAAATCAGGCAAAGCTAAAAAGATGTTTGGTGGTTAGTACTATGGCTGGGACCCTATATGTACTGTTGATGGAGTTGGGTGCTGTTCTGAGCATTATTTGTGGCTATAGAGTGGTGTTTTGGTTAAAGGTTTGTGTGTGGCTCCTCAGACCGCTGTGTATTGCTATCCTGCGGTCGTTACTAGAGTAGGTATAACTAGAGAAGCAAGTGGTCGACAACATTCATCTCTCAAGTGGGTGTCTAACTCAATGTTATGGTGTGTTTGACCCTAAATTAATTTTACGATCCCTTTAAATTTGGAATTTGGAAATAAAAACCTCAAAGTTTCATCGTCCCCCCTTTTTCCCACTCTCTTCCGGTTCTTCTGCCACCCCACCCTGTTTCTGCGTCCATCAGGTGAACCTGGTCTCTGAGCATATCTGGTGTAAGGACTTCCTGGTGCGTAGCTTCTACCTTAAGAACGTCCAGACGCAGGAGACCAGAACTCTGACGCAGTTTCACCTGCTGAGCTGGCCAGCTGACGGCATTCCCACCTCCACAAGACCACTGCTTGACTTCCGCAGGTAATAAACTTCTCAGTTACACACATTACTTCCTGTTAGAGTTAGTCACTTTAATGAGAAGATCCCAGGTGGTAAGGATGGTGTGTGTAATGCCACTGTGACTCATTAGTCCACCTATCCCCCTGTCGGTCTTCATCCATTAAACCCCCTCTGTGCTGACTCCATCCGTTATCTGAGCTCTCTCTCTCTCCCTCTCTCCCAGTGTGCAGGTGGACAGGTTTGTATTTTAACATCTCCCAGTGTCATTTTTGTGGTTTGCAGCTAGTACTCTGGCTCCAGTTGCATAGTCACAAAAATGAGCATTGGCAGGTGTGACTGGCTACTGCAAGAGGGACAGTGAATATGTGGCTTTCTTCTTTACCTTTTCTTTCCTGTTTAACCATCTCACTTTCCCTCACTAACCTCTCCATTTCTTAAATCATCTCCATACCTAATGTTCTCCTCTCTATTTCACTTCATACTCTACTCTCCCTACATTTTTCACAGTTCTCTTCCTCAGTGCTGCATTTGAGACATTCATATTTGTATGCACTAATTGTGTCAACACTGCCTGTAACATTCACTGAATTTGTGAACAGCACTAAGACTGAGAGGATCGATTTTTTCATTTATAACAGAGCTTTTCCTCTGTTCTTTGCTCTCCTCTCTGTCTCTGCTGTCCCTTGTTTCTGTTTTTCAGGAAGGTCAATAAATGCTATAGAGGTCGATCCTGCCCAATCATCGTCCACTGCAGGTAAAGAAACCACAATAACATCAAAACTGATATTAGATGAGTAAATGTGTGTGGAAGTGGAAAGCACCCCTGCTAGCCCCCTATTACACATCATTTCATTAACTGCTGATACTTAAAGCTTGTGGTCCTGAACCTACATGAAAGATCTTTGTAGATGGATCAGCCCCATGTTCCAGTTAACAGTTGAGACACATCTCCAGCCTTGCAACAGCCTTTTCTTTTTCAAGGAATTATCAGTAAAGTGGTGCACACAAACAGCTATGTTGTGGCAATTCTTGGTATTTTAAAAAAATACTTGCAAGTAACTTTCTAAGACATACTGGATTCAACCAAGTGCAGAGAGGAGGAAAAGGTCAAGTGGTGAGGGAACATTTATAAAAGCTTCATGGTGGGTGTGTTACTGAAAGAGCCTCCAGGGAAAAGGCTCTGCTGTCCTCCAACGTTATCCTAATTGGATAACGTTGGAGGACGTAACAAGACAGAACCTGATGTCAGCTGAGCCAACTTGTCAAAAAGACCCAGAGAATATGTGGTTATGCCAACAGCCAAATATCATGTGGTTTGGGACTTTGGGACAGAGGTTTAGTGTTGATGTTTATTATGATGATTATGTTGTCACTGTTGAAAGGATTTCATAAATTTGAATAAAAAATAAAAAAGCTTTGCATGCCATCATGACTGGTCTCCTTTAAAATACCATAATGTGATGAATGGGCATGTAAATTAAAAGAATGATTTCAAACATCCTTTTTGTCTCTGTCACAGTGACGGCACCGGGAGGACTGGCACCTACATCCTCATAGACATGGTGCTAAACCGCATGGCCAAGGGTGAGTCTCTCATATCAGTACACAGATGCGACAAAGTATTTAACATTAGACTCAACATTTTCACTCAACAGTAGCACATATATTTTAAGTTTTGAAAAGCCCTTCAGTGCTACACTCCGTTAAGCTGTCAAGTGGTTCTTGGCCTAGTGGTTTATGGTGTGCTACTATTGTGGACAGCAGATGGCACTGTAGTTTCAGTATAGCTGCATAATGCATGCTTAAGTTTCAAATTATTCCAAACTGAGTGACTTATTAAGGCTAGATTGCTGGAATTACATAATGTATTGCTAAACTGAAATGCCATATATATTTGTCTGCAAAGCCAGAACAGTAGCTCCTAACTGTTGCTTTTGCTGTTCCTGTTGTTATTAGGAGTGAAAGAGATTGACATTGCTGCGTCACTGGAACACATCAGGGACCAGAGGCCAGGCTTGGTTCGCACAAAAGTACGGTTAAACTGTGTGTGTGTGTGTGTGTGTGTGTGTGTGTGTGTGTGTGTGTGTGTGTGTGTGTGTGTGTGTGTGTGTGCAATGTTTAAGCACCTAAATCCAACACACTAACCAACTCCCCCTACATCTTCTCCTTTCCCTTTTCTCTCTATCTTTCACACTAGGATCAGTTTGAGTTTGCGCTGACAGCAGTAGCAGAGGAGGTGAACGCCATCTTGAAAGCCCTGCCACAGTGAGGATACGCACAGAGACAAATACTCATGAAGACACGTTCAGTCAAACCAGCTATGTCCGTCTGGTCATGTCACTGTAAATAAGAATTTGCTCCAACACATCTGGAGCTGCTACTGCCCTTGATATCAGCATGCAGTATTTGACCAACTTCATTCTCTGGGTTTTAAAACCAAACCAAAACTTATATTTTTGACCCTTCTTCATACAACATCTCACCTGATTCAAAGAGTTTAAATTTGCAAATGCAGTGCCTATAATAACAAATTAAGATTAAGACTCTTTGGCTAGACATGATACGATGATGATCAATCACCATGAAGGATGATTGGCAGTTTGGCATTTCTCTGTTGTGCTGAAGTTGAATAATGTTGAAGTTTCTGTGACGGCTGAGGTCCGGGTATTGCTTTGTTTTCTCCCTCTTGAGTGTGCTGGTTCAAGTCCGCCAGAGTTCTGTGTTGATTTCTGTCAGGTTTTGTTCGTCCATGCCTTGACAACACGATTGTTTGCCTCAGATACTGGCCCTTTGTGGACACTGTTCACTGACCACACAGTTACACACCATCCCTCTCCGTCTCTCTTGGTTCCTTTATTGTCTTTTTGTGTACGACCTTGTGATTTATGTAAATATTCAACTTGATGATTGTGATTATTCCATGTAGCAGACAGATAGAAAATATCTATAAAAATGTATTTTTGACTTGAATAAATTTGTGATGTGATGCAGCACAAAAGACTTGAGTGTTTGTTTTCAGCTCTATTGTTTGAAAGAAATGCTTTTTTGGGGGGGTTGAAATCCATTTGTAGTCTAATTTTTTTTTTTGACAGCGCAACCTGCAGCATGTGGTCAGAACATCCAATAATAATTCTATTAAATTGTTTTACTTCCTATCACAAGAAATTCCTTCCAGGTGTTTTACCCTCAGTAATCTGGTACCAAGCCAGACTAATCTACTTCAAGATAAACTAACAGCAAACACAGAATACGCAGCAGAAAAAGCTTTATTTTCTCTGCTTTGTAACTTGAGGGGCATTTTGCCTCGTTCAACTGTTTCAATGTGCAAGCAAAATATATTTTCAGCTACAACAGTTTAAGTTAATGCAGAGATGATGAGAACCAGGTCCTCCATTTTCCAGTCTTTCACCCCAATGAGCCATGACACACTTACACAAATACACAAAATATACACATATCCTATTAAACAATCTTTTTTAAAGTGTCAGTCAGTCAGTAGGAGCCTCGATGTGCAGAAAGAGACAAGTGCATCGTGGGAATTGACCTTTAACCTGTAAAAATAGATGTAGAATTACAAGTTATATTAACAATATTAAAGGCATTACCTGTTATCAGTGTAACTACTTAGGAAGATGGAAGTTTGAGTATTTCTGGCAAATGGGGCAGGAGAAGGAATAACTGGAAAACAATCAGGGTGTTTCAGGTTCACACTCTGGCTTTACCTCAGGCTTGGGCACAGAGCAGCATGAGCCAATCGGGTTAGCTTGTGAAGGCCTCGAAGTCTGAGTCTGAAACAGGAAGCGAGAAATGTGAGACAAGATAACGAGAGATCAGTGCTACAAATGACGGTCAGTTATGTGCATTGTTACATTTTAGGTTTCAAAACTAACATGTTTTCTCATAATTTGAAAATAATATAAATAAGAATTCATATCTTTGCAATACATTTTTTAAGTTGAGACCAGCAACCACTGGATTGTAAAGTGCACAGGTAAGGCTGCTATACTCTTAAAAAATACAACATCCATGTATCACTGCTATTAATCTCAGTCTTTATTTGCTTTTGAACAATCTGGAAAAAAAAACATAGCAGTTCAATGAAATACAAATAATACAGGCTAGTTATTTATGAGAGGAACCATCTGCCTCTTGTGAGGAGTGAACTATGTCCATACTCTCTAATTTCTTCTTACTGGTGGTATTTTTTCAAAACTGTGCTTGTTTTTGTTTTTGTTTTTTGCCAGAGATTAAATTTGTCCCTGAAAGCAAAGCTATTGCAATGAAAAATCAACGAGGCACTCTTGAAATGTACAAAACGACAACCAAACACATTGATTGTACTCTAGGAGCAGTGTAAAAAAAGGCTGCAGGAACAAACACTGCCAGTTATAAGTTACATTAGTGTACAGCTCGTTAGTAAACAGTAGTGACAGTGGGGTTTTTTTTCATGTTTTTGAACAAACAGCAGGGTCTGTTATTTTGCACCATATTTCACACAAACAGTAATCACATTCAAAGCAGTTAGTAGCACCTCACACTGAATGTGAGGTGTGTAGAGAGAATGATGGCTAAAACATTACGAGCTTGTGCCATTGTGCCAGCTTGGCCCCAAGATGAATGCCAGCTAATTTGCTCATTTGACAAAACAGCCTGTATGAGGTGAGTACGCAAAACTATGCATATGACAACATTTGTTATGGTTTCAAAATGGGAGAGTAGATAGATGCAAAATAAAGCTACTGTATCTTCCATTCAAATGACATTTCTGATCACTGCTGAAGATCTGTACCGTGCTCTCTTGAATGCTAGTGCAGATAAAAATGGAAAATCCCAAACCAGAGAAACCCTGTTCCCTCTTTCAGGGAGAGAGATTTGATCTGACTGAAATATATTTGACATCTTTGCACAATTGAAATATTATGAACGTAGATACTCATCAAAATATACTTTAAAAAAAAAAAAACAATCATGATTATATTGAGCTAATTTTAACAATCAATTATAATGTGGGCCACATACTTTATGGCACATGGCCTTCTATCTGCATAGCGTGAACCCAAACTCTGACCTACCATTTACAGTCTGACCAGACATGAGTATTATTTTTGTAAAAGTGCGTTAAGGATTGAAGGTTTATTTGCATTAATCATACATAAGTGCATCTGTTAAAACTATGTTACGAATTTTTAACCGTTCCAACAAAGTAGAGAAGGCCTGCTTGTATTTACATGACAACTGTGTTTACGCTTCAGCTGCTTTTTGTTCAACACAGTCCTGAAAGGAGCCATTTAATCAGTAAACAGATCACGATTAATCGGGCTGTTTTTAATACACAAAGACAGCTCTGTGGCCTTCTTCTTTAACATTTGAATCTATTATTCAACAGCGGGCTGAGGGTGACGCATTTTCTCTGTATCACCTTTGCCAGAGAGTCTGATCAGGAAAATTCTCTGGCAGGGTCACAACTGACCTTTGCACTAATGTAAACAGTAAAATATGCCACACACAGTACACTCACACACACACACACACACACACACACACACAATACACTCTTATAGTACCATGTCTCTAAATCTCACTCTTTAAATCTCTGTGAATAAAGCTCAGCGGCATTCTTCTTCACTCCTGTGTTTTGTGAACTCACCATTGACTAAGGCCTTAAGCTGCACCTTTAGACTTAACGTTAAGTTAACCTTGACCTTTAACCTCATTTATATAATGATTTGGCAAGTGGAAAAAAAAAAACAATTGATAGGAAAGTTACATGGACACATCTGGATTGAAGAATCACAGCAAAACACTAAAACCCGTCAAAAGTGACTCATCTGTTTCAAGGTGTTCAAACTGCATGAAAGCTTTGAGACAGCTGAGGCACTGCCTTCTATAAATCACATTATGTTAGAGTCTGGCTGTAGGCACAACACTGAGGTAAGTATAAGAATAAGGCACACTCACCAAATTAGCTCACAATACACCCACACTTATTTTTCTTTTTCGCACCCTCATCACTGGTTTTTGTGGCCTGCTCAGACTCCTGTGCATGCTTTGGTTCTGTAGTGTACTGCTGGCTATTGTGGCTCTGTGGTGTACTGCTGGCTGTAGTGGTACACTCTGAAGAAGAGTCTGACTCCTTGCTTTCCTTTCCCCCACTTTCCCACCCACTTTCAGGTCCTGAACCCATTTTAAACTGCCCCTTCTCATCGACCTCCCCTGAAACTGTGTGTTTACTACCATCTGCATTAACAGTTGTCGTCTTAACAAACGTTTGTTTCTGTTGGCCACCACCTTTGGCGGCCATAGCTTTGCCCGCACGCACAGCACCTGATATGATGTCGGTAACAGCTGCTCTCTGCTCGGCTTCCATTTCTGACAGGCTGCATGCCAGAGCCATCTGCAGCTCTTCGTCATCTTCGTCATCATCGCTGATGGTCTCAGCCCCGTAGTTGTAGAAAGGGGCAGAGCTAAATGAGCGGTGTGTAGACGTAGTGTGTGTGTCGGCCGATGATCTGTTTTGGATTTTTGGCTGCTGGGGCGAGTGACCAGGCTGACCCTCTCGTCGGCTTAACTCGAGTGCCAGGGCCATTTCATCCTCCACACCTGGGGATAGGACACATAAGAACATTACTATCTATAGGAAGTCTGAAGTAACAAGTACTCACACATACAAATGTGAGCAGCTGAAGAGGAAAAGACAATCTGTAATTTCCTGCAGTTATAGCTTCAGAGCCAATATCTTCAATTAACTTGAATCTTCATTGTAAAGTTTGTAAACTTTTCTAATGGAGCCAATTTAGCCCCTGTCTTTGTCAAACCCTGAGCCTTAAAGGGATATTCCGGCGTAAATTTAATTTAGGGTCAAACACACCAATACCGAGATAGACACCCTCTCGGGAGATGAATGTTTTCTGACCGCTTGCTTCTGTAGTTATACCAACTTTAGTAACCACCACACGATCGCAATACACAGCAGTCTAAGGAGCCACACACAAACCTCAACCAAAACACCACTCTATAGACACAAATAGTGCTCAGAGCAGCACCTAACTTCATCAACAGTACATATAGGGTCCCAGCCATAGTACTAGCCACCAAACATCTTTTTAGCTTTGCCTGATTTCTTTAGCAAAGAGACTAAACACAACTCTGCAACAACAACTGATAAAGAAATGATCTTAAATGTTCTTCCGTGAGCTGCATCACCGCGCTGTAGTCCTTAATGGACTGGCCCGAGGTCTCGCTACAAATGAGTGGCTGCTGAAAGGTGAGTTGTGTTTAGTCTCTTTGCTAAAGAAATCAGGCAACTCTAAAAAGATATTTGGTGGTTAGTACTATGGCTGGGACCCTATATGTACTGTTGATGAAGTTAGGTGCTGTTCTGAGCATTATTTGTGGCTATAGAGTGGTGTTTTGGTTGAGCGCGTGGCTTTCTGTATTGCTATCATGTGGTCGTTACAAGAGTAGGTACAACTAGAGAAGCAAGCAGTCAGCAACATTCATCTCCGGACAGGGTGTCTAACGCAATGTTACGGTGTGTTTGGCCCTCACTTAATTTTACGCCAAAACATCCCTTTAACAGCTGGAAAATGGAGTTTTAAGAGAGAAAACAGAGAAAATTCTCATACATTTGAATCACCAGAACATGAGGTCTTACCATTAATTAAGATACTCTTCAAAACCCCGTCCTCTTCAATTTCTACTCTTTCCTGTCCGTTCTCTTTTATCCTAAAAGCAAGACAGCAAGAAAGTAGTGAAGTTTATCATAAAACCCTACAAACGAAATTAAGTATAGACATTTAGCTGCATTAGGGAGCTGGTTTAGCCTCATTGCACTAGCTGTACTCTCAATTCCTGGTCTTGACAGTATTTTTCTGCATTTCAACCTTTTCTTTATCAAACCACCCTGTTAAGTAAAGACAAAAAACTCCCAAAAGTATACAAAATAATATGCAGTTGCACTGAGATAAATTACTAAATTATACCAGAGGAAATTATATTCCTCTCTGGATGATTTGTCCTTTAGCTAAAGTCTCCGGCATCATGAACAATAACAACAGGCATGAGATAATATTCCAAAACTCAAAACTACAGTACTATGCTGCAAGACCGTATGAAAATACAACAATACAATAATGACATTTTGACATGATTTGGTGCGCTACTGTTTTACCTGTCGACAGTTATTGCATTGCTCTATGCCCATAAGTCCAAGTTGGAAGAGAAAGTTGGATTATGAACTTTCTTATCAACAATGAGCTCAATTGAGTTTACAGATTAGAGGTCTGGACCAGGCAGACAAAAATTCCCATCACATTTGAAAAAAAAAACAACAACTATACATCCCTGTACAAGCAACTTTTCCAAAGGCGGCATTACATACTTCTTTGTTGTGGTGCGTTTGCCATTTACAATGCGAGTGGAGGTAGATACTGATTTGAAGTTGCCCGTCCCTCCACCCATGCAGTCCATGCCATCAAAACCACCCATGGAAGAGGAGAAGGAGGTAAAATCAACTGTAGAAGGGATGATGATCAGGAAGAGAGAACAGAAGAGAAGAGAGAGATTATTTGTCATGAATCATCAGTTTGTCATAAAAATGTCTAATGAAAGTGTCCTTTGATTTATAACACGGTAGTCACAATATAATAGTTCATGATGGGTTACTAATATCACCCCCAAACATGACACTGAATTTACCATGCACTTTATCTATGAATCTGTATAACTGCTAACCTCCTGCTGAAGGAAAGGAGAAGAACCGGCTGGGGCCCATGCGAGTAGACGAGCTCCCAAAAGATGAAAAGTCATCTGAAAAACAAAAAGAATATTATTGTACTGCTGGATAATATGCAAAGTTATATTTTTCTTTTTATGTCAACAAGCAAAGCAAGACACTCTAAACTTTAACTGGTTATACAGTATATCAAATTACTAATATGCGCTGTTACTATTAAACAGGGCATAAACACTGTGTCACTTACCAAAGAAGCCAGTGAAGGGGTCCTGGCCAGCGAAAAACTCCCTGAACACCTCGTCTGGGCTGCGGAATGTGAAATTAAATCCTGGGAAATCTGATGAAAAGTCTGAAGTGGAGGAACCTGGAGCATTAAATTATCAGTATGACAATGGTGGAGAGCAAGATAGGAAAGAAAAGGCACAAAGGTTAGATGAAGGTAAACATAACAAAACAAACATAACATTGTACCCTAACATATAGCCATCGCACTTTAGGTGTGTTTGAATCATACAAATATCATTGCAGATTTACCTGTCTGTCTCATTCTGTCATTTCCAAATCTGTCATATTCATCCCTTTTACTCTCTGCAACAGAAGAGCACAGCATAGTGTTAGCATAAAATACAAACAGGTAAAAAAAGCCACACATTTCACTACTGTCAAGGACTGTATGGACGTCTTCTGCTGAGTGAAGCCTCTGTGAGAACAGCACCCCCTGGTGACAGGCTGCAGTAAAGGTCATAAATCCTGCATCCTCCAGCAAAATGAATGGAGCTGTGGCCAAACTTTAAAAATTAAACACACAGAAGATAACCGTTTTCCATACTTACACAGTCTATGGCTACTTTACTACCAACAGCCATCTCACAGTCTGACAAGCACACACAAATATAAATATAAAGACACATTTCCCAGACTTACTGTCAGATAAGACTTCATAGGCCTCAGCAACTTCTTTGAACTTTTTCTCTGCTTCCTCCTTGTTGTCTGGATTTTTGTCTGGATGCCATTTTAGTGCAAGTTTCCTGTACCTAGAAGCAAACAGACTCTAGTTCACAAACATAGACAAATACACACAAAAGGACAAAGGCCTGTACTAATGCAAAGGTCATAGGATATTTAAAGGGTAAACCCCCTAAAAATAAACCACTAACAGATCTTTTGAGAGTTTTTCTCAGTGGTGCTTCTTCAGCTTCAATCTGTGCCTGAAGTTATTTCGTAAAAAGAGAAATTGTGTTTTTAAATAAATCATGTTTAAATATAGATTTACAGTTAGGTTATTTGTGTTGACAAAATACTCACGCCTTCTTTATGTCATCCTGAGAGGCAGTTTTTGGCACCCCCAGGACTTTATAATAATCCACCATGTTGCCTCCAGGCACTTTTCACACCGTCCCTGAAAGACATTGTTTCCTTATGAGTTCACAGTATACTCAGAATTGATTGGACAATGATATCACACATAAATCAGATCAAAGTCTGATGAGGAGAGCTCAGGAATCTTTTTGGTATCAATGGTATTTCCTGATCTCCAAATAAGGTTGAGGAAAAAATCAAATATCATTATTTATTAAATGCAGTCAGATGCTAGAGTACAGCAGGGACTTTAAAATGACCAAAGAAGGAAATCTTATTTGCAAGAATGAGTTATTAGTCCTTCAGTGTTTCTAGAATCTTCTCAATCACAAATACCTGTTTTTATTAATTTGGACTTTCTGATCTTTTCTCCAGGTTGAGTGAGTGCTGCAGTAAAAAAAAAACTTGATGGCATCTCTTCACCCACCACAAGTCTGACTGTAAGGGCAGCATGACTGTGACAATGCTTAAATAGTGTAATCATCTAGTGAACAGCTTGATCTTGAGCAAAGAGCAAGTTTGCCATATTTTTAGAGTCTCTGAAAACAAGTGTTTGGCAGGTGCACTTGGATTTTGCCGAGAAAAATCTCCAAAATACTAAGAAAAAAAAAGTCTGGCTATTTTTGTCAAAACTCCCTCAACAATAACCTGTTCAAGACCAGACTGACTGGAAATCCTTAGTCAACTATGATGTCAGAAAATAAGTATAAGCATAACTTTACTGTAGTAGTTAAATATTCAGCAAGTATGTAGTTGGCTCTGAGGAAGGATTTCCATCACTTGTAAATGAGTTTTAGGAATAAGTCTCTGTGGTTAATGAATTTTTGACTGCCATAATGATTTAGAATCAGAGTCCATTAGGTAATATTATTCAAAAACAAACCAAAAATGTAGTTGTCCAATTCTGACCCAGTTGTGGTGGTTGTCATGTAAATATTTCTTATCATAACAATGTTCCTTAAACTTAAGAGCATGTAAATTCATGGTTACAGTTAATAATGGTTTACTTTGATGATCAGTTTTAACCCATTTTTTTATTCTCGTTTGATTGATCTTTTTTTAATGAACCCTATGTATGTCGATCAAACTGATGTCATGAACTGACATACCGATCTTTCCAATCCAAAGAATTGAATAAATAAGTTCGGTTGAATCAATAACTCTACATAATGGTGTGGCAGACAGACCGAAATTGTTTCTGTGATGTGTAGGATGTCGCGTTACAATGTTACTAAGATGTTTCAACGTTATGTGTATGTTGCTGACTGATAGAAAATAAATTAAATGTTTGGCAATTTCAAAGAAATGACAACATCGCACAGCATACCTTTCTGTCTGAACTCAGCATGCTTTATCATCATGCCACTCCCATTAGTGGACTCCAACAGATCGAGGACTGAGGGGGGACTTCCAAACAGGAGTAAAATAACTGAAGTTAACTTTCCAAGGCCCCTCGGGAGCTGCCATGCGCTCACAGTATAATTACAATGTTATTTCTAGAGTCATGGCTTCTAACAACTGCTCCTGACATGACAGTGGGCCTACGCAATCGCGTGCACAGGTGTTGTCCCTTTTCAAGAGGGTTTAAACATTAAGAGGTAGGGGATTTAACTAACATGTTGTTTTGTTTGTATGCTGACACTCTGTTCCCTCATTTGGTAAAGTTATAAAGCAATGATAAACAACAGTAGCCCGTCTACAGCCTGCTGTACCCAGAACTTTTAACGGTCAGCCAACGCTTTGTACTACTCACCGTCGGTGTCTTTCGGGTAATTTATGTGCAGTGCAGCCCGGGTCCACCACTTCGGTTCAACAATGAATCGGTTCAGACAGCGGTGTCTCTGGTATGCGTCCCCTCCCTCTCTTCGTGACAGCGGCACAGACAGCCTCCGCCTTCGGCCTTCCTCTTCCCCGCCTCGGCACAATATGTCCGCAGTGTACCGATATGCTTCAGCGGTGAACTGTTCAGCCCTCTCCGGGGGGAAACAGGGGGGACGGCTACCTCGGCTTGGCCCGCGAGCTAGGCTAAGCTGCACGCGCTACGTCACTCCCAAATGGTATAAAAAATAGAGCGTCTAGAACGTACCAGCGCTCAGCAGCGTCACCGGACCAGCCCGACAACGCCTGCCTGTTGCGGTGTGATAATGCGGCTGACCAACAGTATGAGGCCTGGATGAAAACATTTAACCGACTTCTTACGGATACCTGATTCGGTCAACCATGCAGTTTAAACATAGAACCCCGAGTACTTTATTTGGAAAGTACTGTCAAACCTGTTCATCCAAAAAAAAACAGTACGAGGTGTAACCTGTCATATCAATTACTCCCCTTTTCCATTTTTTGGAACTTTACATAGCCTTTACTTTAACAATTATTGAACAATTTAGACCAGCTTAAACGCAAATGCTCCCATCTCATCATTGAGAATAATTAGCTTGTAGCAAAGACCTATCTACTATAGGCCTATCTACTACTATCCTACAAAGTAAAATTACTTTTATTGAGAGACATTATGTGTCATATATGTAGAAGGCTTTGATGACTCTCTGAACTCACTGTAGACTGATTAGACAGTGTCTCCAAACAGTGTCTTCAGAGTTTGCTTTCACTTCATTATCTGCAATGTCATAGTTGTTTTACAGCCAGTGGTCTGGACTTAGCCATGGGACACCGGCTCTCACAAATGACCATATATTAAATGGTCACATTGCTCCCATCTAGTGGCTGAATGATGCAACTGCATGTAAAAAAGTTGGCCCAGTTGTTTTTGTGAGAATTTGATCAACAAAAACAGAATGGAAGGAAACAGTCAAGGGCGTTAGACTATGATTTCCTCTCTACATGAATAGTTGGCAGTGACACGTATTATAACATCCTGGGAAAACAATTCCACTTAAGGCTGAATGTTTAAAGTGGGGTTAATCTTACAAGAGCATTTTCCTGAAATATTTTGTAGGGGAGCAATAATTTTGTATCTGCTCTGGATTCCACATGTTTCATTGTACCTATTGAATTTCCCTCTGGGGATAAATAAAGTTATTCTCATTCTTGCTGTGGTTCTTCCCACATTGCTGCTTATGATAAATTACCAGTTTCCACTGCCTAGTAGCCTAAGATATTCCATATGACTCACAAAACAAGAGTACCCAGCTAGATGTTAAAATACTCTGATAAAAGGAAGTTCAGAATAGTTCCCCAACAGGTTTCCAGGCTGGGCTACAACTGTTCAAAAATGATCACAGGTTCATTTACAGGTTCTTAAGAACTTTTTATTGATAATACTGTCATTTTACCATCACAGGTTATCAGAGTGTTGCAAGGAATGTGTAACTTTCATGACAACTTTTGGAATGTGTGATGGCAAAGCCCAGGAATTTTTTAGCCCTTCAGTACTCCTCTCCTTCTTCATCCTCATCTCCCATGCTGTCAGTGCCAACCTCTTCATAATCCTTCTCCAGGGCAGCCATATCTTCTCTGGCCTCTGAGAACTCTCCTTCCTCCATTCCCTCTCCAACATACCAGTGGACAAAGGCTCTCTTGGCATACATGAGGTCAAACTTGTGGTCAAGGCGGGCCCAAGCCTCAGCAATGGCGGTGGTGTTGCTCAACATGCAAACAGCCCTCTGCACCTTGGCCAGGTCTCCTCCAGGAACCACGGTTGGAGGCTGATAGTTGATGCCCACCTTGAAGCCTGTGGGGCACCAGTCCACAAACTGGATGGTGCGTTTGGTCTTGATGGCAGCAATGGCAGAGTTGACATCCTTTGGCACCACATCACCACGATACAGCAGACAGCAGGCCATGTATTTACCGTGGCGAGGATCACACTTCACCATCTGATTGGCTGGCTCAAAGCAGGTGTTGGTGATGTCAGCAACAGACAGCTGCTCATGGTAGGCTTTCTCAGCGGAGATGACTGGGGCGTAGGTGGCCAGAGGGAAGTGGATACGAGGGTAGGGCACCAAGTTGGTCTGGAACTCTGTCAGATCAACATTCAGGGCTCCGTCAAAACGAAGAGAGGCTGTGATTGAAGAAACAATCTGACCAATGAGCCTGTTCAGATTGGTGTAAGTGGGCCTCTCGATGTCCAGGTTCCTGCGGCAGATGTCATAGATGGCTTCATTGTCCACCATGAAGGCACAGTCGGAGTGTTCCAGGGTGGTGTGGGTGGTCAGGATGGAGTTGTAGGGCTCCACAACTGCGGTGGAGACCTGAGGGGCTGGGTAGACGGCAAATTCAAGTTTTGATTTCTTGCCATAATCAACAGAGAGTCTCTCCATAAGCAGGGAGGTGAAACCAGAGCCAGTTCCCCCACCAAAGGAGTGGAAGATGAGAAATCCTTGAAGGCCAGTGCACTGGTCAGCCTGAAATGAAAAACCTTTGATTACTGAAAATCCAATTTTCATTGCGCATTTTAAAGAGTGAACATCATGAGAGGTCACAAGTCAGGCAAGCTCCTATATTAAAGGATTACCTGTTTCTCGATATCATTGAAAATAGGTCAGTGGGTTGTACTTCTTTACCACAATACTATGTTTTTTTTTAAAAAGGAATTCTGTTTAAGCCTGTTTCTTGACCTACTTAAAAATGGGTCAGTGGGTTGTTCTTCTATACCACAATACTATGCTTTTTTAAAGGAATCTGTTCAAACTTTTACCAGTTTACGAGTCCTGTCCAGAACCAGATCAATGATCTCTTTGCCAATAGTGTAGTGTCCACGGGCGTAGTTGTTGGCAGCATCTTCTTTACCAGTAATGAGCTGCTCAGGGTGGAACAGCTGGCGATAGGTTCCTGTTCGCACCTCATCTATTTAACAGACAATTAGAAAGGGTTTGAATAATGCTCATGGGCTACAATTGTTTAAAATACAACATTGTCTTGAAGCATACAGTATATTTCAATTTCCAAAAGCACAGCAACTTGATATTTCCATCTGTATTGAAACAGGGTATTATCTGCATATAACATCATACCCCTTTTATCATCAAAATAAAAGATGTAATGTGGAGTGCAAACTGTGTTCATGGGTTTGGGATTTTAGTATGCCATTGTTTGTATCTTAAAAAAATATATATTAATTTATATAGAAATTCTCTGGAGACTGATAAAAGCCAACTGGAGGTACATGTTTATTTTGATGCTGTACACACAATACTAACCAATAACAGTTGGTTCCAGGTCGACAAAGATGGCTCTTGGTACATGCTTTCCTGCCCCTGTCTCACTGAAGAAAGTGTTGAAAGAGTCGTCTCCTCCTCCGATTGTCTTATCACTGGGCATTTGTCCATCCGGCTGGATCCCATGTTCCAGACAGTACAGCTCCCAGCAGGCATTGCCCATCTGGGCTCCGGCTTGGCCGACGTGCATAGAAATACACTCACGCTAGAAGTAGAAAAGAGAGTTTGTTTGAGCAGCATGCAAAGGTTTTCCTCACGGCCTAAAATTGCCATGTCACATTTAAATAATTCAGTATTTGCCTCAGAAATTGCCAGACCCAATGCCATTTGCTCACTATCAACATCTATTAACACTGGTGTGTGTACTAAGATAACTCATGAGGAAGTTCAGTCATGTATCCATTTTATCATAAAATCCTAGTATAGGCCACATCTCCTCATGTTTTTTATTAGTCATCTGGCACTCATGCTTTTTCTTGGTATTTCCTGTCTGCCAGGAATCATTGTTCTGATGGGCCTGTAGTTCAGAGGGGAAATTGGCAATAAACATTGACTGCAGAACACTGTGTGCTAAAGCAGAATTTTAAAGCTTCAGCTGCTCTAAGTGCACACCCTATGAGCAGAGCCAGCAGTTAAATGAAAGCCAGAGTCTGCACTTTGGGGCTTTTCGTGGTAGACATGCAGCAAAAGCTGGCAGGAAATGCCGTCAGATTAGCATACAAACCAAGAAACTCTAAAACAGACAAAAAGGCCATGGTTTGAGTTTATGGGAAAGCCATCCCCCATTTCTGCATCCTGTGTCTCCTCCCTTTCTGTCTCTCTCCTCCCCCATCCTGTCCAGCTGCATAAGGCTGCGTAACAGTCAGGGATGTCTCTCTCCCTCTCCCTCTCTCTCTCCACATTTCTCTCAAACCCAAAACTCCTAACAGCTGCAAAATGGCTGCCAACTAACTCATATGGACCAGGCCAGACCACTCCTCTTTTTTCCCTGTTCTTACTGTCCATCCCCCCACTGCCACGATTTCCCCGATCACTCCTCTGAGTCTAGATAACTCTAAATCATTAACAAACAAATCAAACTTGTTTCTTCTGTAGGAAAATGTTTTTCCAGCTTTATGGCAAGCTGTGCAGCTATAAAGTAATAAAGCAGACTAACTCATAAAGTGGCTGTCATTTGACCTAGATTGTTCAAGAGAATGGAAATGACTTATAAGGCCTTGTTGCTGTGTGTAACGGTTCTAGTACATTCTCCCTCCTGATTCACAACAAGGCATGACCTAAAAGTTTAGTTGAAAACATGAGCTCCAAACCACTATCACATAATAGGATAAAGCTCATTTTGCATCAGTAACCTTTATATCCACAGCAGAGGCCTTGTGAGCATTAAATGAGCCTGGCAGATTACTCTGTAAATGTTTAGCAGAGACAAAGGGAGGCTGGAGCAGAAAGAGAGAGAAAGAGAGGGGAGATTTCCAGACTACGTCATCAGCCGAGCAGTTACTCACCATTTTGTCTGCTTGTCCTTCGACTGACGTTGAGGATTCAGATCCAAGGCAGAAGTGCGGAGGAGAGGGAGAGTCAGGGTTTATATAGGCAAGGATGTGGAGGGGGCAGGCAGGAAACCACAGCAAGCAGCTGCATTGCTCATTGGCGGGAGGGAGCAGCAGTTCAAAAAAAAAAAGAAAAAGGGAAGTACCTAATGCTGTGTGACACATAATCCGCCCTGACATTGATCTGCTTTGTCTGTCACTTTGAGATGTGAAGCTTGTTTTTGTCTCATTTCTCCTTTTCCTCTTTTTTTCCTCATTGTAGTTTTGAGGATTTACTAGACATTCATCTCAAGCGTTTCATTTAGCCTACAAATTCAAAGCTGTTATGTTGGGGAACTTTTGGAAGCATGCAAACCAGTTACTCCTAAAGATTTTTAGTCACATTTGATAGCATTTTACTTTGTCTGCAGGCTGAATAACAATGATGCACATTTAATGCATTTGTCTAAACTCAGACTCTCTTCTGCTATTTCCCATGTGAATAAAATCATTAAATGAATAACCACACATTATCAGAGTGGAAGAAGTCAATGAAGGTCTTTATTTTTTATCATGAAGTATGCAGTTGTTAAGGCAGATTACAAACAAACACAACTTTATCAAAATGTCATGGCAAGTTTTCTGCATGTTTCCGTTGTAACTTTTTCTACAGCCTCTTTTTGATCCTCGAGCTTTGATTCATGTGTAACTGGGATCCTATTGTTGCTGCAGGCTACTGTCTGAGTATGAGCTACACAAACAACTCCGGCCACTGAGTTACACAGTCATTTTTCTCTCTCCCGCTCTCACCAAGTCACAGCTGAATGGTATATAGAAACTGACATAGGAGCCCTTTCATAACTTACATTCCACATGGGAGAGTACAGGGGGGGAGGTGCACAAAAGAGAGGGTTTGGTCTAAGTTTCTCAGTTTGATACAGCACAAAGAGGAGACTCGTAAAGGCCTGAGAGGAGAAATGCTGCAAGGCAGGGCAATAGGTTTTACATTTATTTGAATGATAGGATTTAACAATAGATAATAATCATTTAGCAAACTTATTTTCATAGTTTGATTAAAATGATAAGATTGTTTTGTGACAGAGTTTACTAAGGGTGGAGGTCTAAGTACCTCAAGCAGCAACCTTCACTCAGCAGTATTTAAGATATGATGAGTTATTTTCCCAGTTAACCAGTTTGACTTGTTGCAGCAGTTATAATAGAAAAAGGTATAATTAAAATTCTTCATTGAAAGTAAGCAAAAAGTAGTTAAATTGATTAACTTATACATTTTCTTGAACACAGACATTATATCCCATTTTAAAACTAGGAAGCAAGTCTTTAATAAAGCATGAATGCACGACTAAAGGAATTCAGTATTCATCTTCATCCTCCTCTCCGATGTTGTCAGCGCCAACCTCTTCATAATCCTTCTCCAGGGCAGCCATATCTTCTCTGGCCTCTGAGAACTCTCCTTCCTCCATTCCCTCTCCAACATACCAGTGGACAAAGGCTCTCTTGGCATACATGAGGTCAAACTTGTGGTCAAGGCGGGCCCAGGCCTCAGCAATGGCTGTGGTGTTGCTCAGCATGCACACAGCCCTCTGCACCTTGGCCAGGTCTCCTCCAGGAACCACGGTTGGAGGCTGATAGTTGATGCCCACCTTGAAGCCTGTGGGGCACCAGTCCACAAACTGGATGGTGCGTTTGGTCTTGATGGCAGCAATGGCAGAGTTGACATCCTTTGGCACCACATCACCACGATACAGCAAACAGCAGGCCATGTATTTACCGTGGCGAGGATCACACTTCACCATCTGATTTGCTGGCTCAAAGCAGGTGTTGGTGATGTCAGCAACAGACAGCTGCTCATGGTAGGCTTTCTCAGCAGAGATGACTGGGGCATAAGTGGCCAGAGGGAAGTGGATACGAGGGTAGGGCACCAAGTTGGTCTGGAACTCTGTCAGATCAACATTCAGGGCTCCATCAAAACGAAGAGAGGCTGTGATTGAAGAAACAATCTGACCAATGAGCCTGTTCAGGTTGGTGTAAGTGGGCCTCTCGATGTCCAGGTTCCTGCGGCAGATGTCATAGATGGCTTCATTGTCCACCATGAAGGCACAGTCGGAGTGCTCCAGGGTGGTGTGGGTGGTCAGGATGGAGTTGTAGGGCTCCACAACTGCGGTGGAGACCTGAGGGGCTGGGTAGATGGCAAACTCAAGCTTAGACTTTTTACCATAATCAACAGAGAGTCTCTCCATAAGCAGGGAGGTGAAACCAGAGCCAGTTCCCCCACCAAAGGAGTGGAAGATGAGAAATCCTTGAAGGCCAGTGCATTGGTCAGCCTGAAATGAAAAATCTTTGATTACTGAAAATCCAATTTCTGTTCCACACTTTAAAGATTGAACATCATGAGAGGTCACAAGTCAGGCAAGCTCCTATATTAAAGGATTACCTGTTTCTCAACCTAATTAAAAATGGGTCAGCTGGTTGTACCATAATACAAAGATTTTTAAAGAAATTCTATTCAAACTCTTACCAGTTTACGAGTCCTGTCCAGAACCAGATCAATGATCTCTTTGCCAATAGTGTAGTGTCCACGAGCGTAGTTGTTGGCAGCATCTTCTTTACCAGTAATGAGCTGCTCAGGGTGGAACAGCTGGCGATAGGTTCCTGTTCGCACCTCATCTGACATGTAAAATAAAAGAGCAGCAGCTTTATTTCAGGAGTGATCCTTAGACTCAGTCTCATCAAAGCTTTTACTGAATTTTTTAAAAATAATTTTACAAAACAATGGGGTAGAATCAACATGGACATCACCTGTGTAAAGAATTACTTATTAATTTATTCAGAAATTCTATTGTTGCATTGTATCCTTGTGCTATAGTTCTCCCCATAATTTTTACATGTTTCAAATATTTTAAACAAATGGTTGTTTAAACAAAAGTTTATTTATTTATTTATTTCAAAAATCATCAAAACGTACAAACATCTGATATGACATATCATTAGCTTTAAAACGGGTGCTTACCAATAACAGTTGGTTCCAGGTCAACAAAGATGGCTCTAGGAACATGTTTTCCTGCCCCTGTTTCACTAAAGAAGGTGTTGAAAGAGACGTCTCCCCCTCCAAATGTCTTTTCTGTAGGCATCTGTCCATCTGGCTGGATCCCATGTTCCAGGCAATACAGCTCCCAACATGCATTGCCAATTTGAGCCCCAGCTTGGCCCACATGGATAGAGATACATTCACGCTGTTGGGAGTAAACATCATTGTTAATTTCTAGTTACTGCCTTTCACAGACAGAATACTCTTTGACTACGATTGTGGTCACATTACATAGGTACAATTGACTTTTTTGAGGAAATTAGACACAAGATTAACACAATAATTCAAACATCCTGTTAGTTAATCATGTCTTACCATAGTTAGTCTCTCTTCTCCAATGTTCAGGTATCGGTAAGAAGATGTAGTGCTGGAGACAGCTGTGGGACTCTGCTTTTTTATAGGCTACCTGCAGCTTCAGGTGAACTGTGATTTGATCTGAGCTGTAATGAGAGAATCGACTGATGAAGCCAGGATAAGATCATCCACTTGACAGTTGAAATGGGTACAATGCGAAAGAAGGTCACCGCCCTGATCATTGTGTGAGAGTTTTAGAGGGGTGTGTGTGTTTGTGTGTTCATCTCATATTTCAAAAGTTAAGTAGCAGATATACAGAGGAGAGGAAGGAAGGATAATGTTGTTTCTTTTGGCATGAGTGAAACTACTTGCTCTGATTTAATTTACCATGGTCTAAACTTTTTATCAGTAGAAACAACAGATTTTATCCACTTAAATACTCATTTGGAAAGTTGGGGTATGATGGAAACAAAACTTACAATTGTCTGCTCATTCACATGCAGTGGTTTTTGTATGACTTTGTGTCATCTATTTATGTATGAGAAAAGAAATATGAGATTTTAAAAAACACACATCACCAGCAGATAGAGATTTTTTGAAGAACTGTGAGGTGCACAACAAATTGCATGGATTTTTTTCCCAAAATGCACTGATGCTGCAACACAGAACCTTTAACTAAGTTAAATGCAAACTTTATATAGATTAAAATAGAATACTGAGTCACGATCGAATTACCCCCTAGGTGATTAATAAAGTTCTTCTTATCTTTCTTTTTATCTTCAACTTCCTGTCATTTTAAAGCACTGCACCTAATATGAGATCTGCCTCTCCTGCTTTCCCATGAGAGAGTAGTGAAACAGAATACATGAGAGCTGCCTCTCAGGGAATCAGCTGACTGAAAGGAGTAAAGCAGCTACCGCCTGCCATAGAAGTTTTACAAAAGGAACTATAAAAGTTCCTATTGTAAAACCACACAGACAGTGTATAGATATGGGACAAAAAGCCCAAAACAAACGCTATTTGTTCTCTGGCCAACCCACTGAGTCTGGGAAGCAATTAGCGTCCTGTAGGCTGTGTAGTACAATTCTCACCATCTTTAAAGTGAGTTTCTGTCGGGTAGCAGTGGGTGCCTGCTTTAGTGTGCAGGAATAATCTAAGCTTGTGATACGTTACTTTTACCTAAAGACAGAACATTCTGTTCCAGAAACAAGTTAAACCACTTATTAGAGCAGCAGGTGTGCACTGCCTTTAAGAACTGTTGATTTAGTCTAATTTACTGTTTGAGGTGAAAACACTGCAGCTTCTTCTTTCACAAATGTCATGTTGTTTCCCTCATTGCTCTCCCTGTGTCTTTTTCACAGCATGCAGGTTAAAAAAAGAAACAAGCTAAGTAATTGTTCACTTGGTACTAGTTAATTGCCATTACTGACTATAGATGTGTTTTGTAGCAGTCATGCAGAGTTTGGTGATACCAGAGTTTCTATTGCTCATTTTAAGGTCAGGTTCTCTCCTGAGGCTGTGAGACTCACCTGTGACAAATATGATAAATGGCGTCTCTATCTCAGTTTCTTATCACAAAGCTCACAAAGCACCATTGTCTAAATGAGAAAGCAAGGTCATATCAACTGAAACATTTTTGTTTTATTTTGTCCTTTTCCTGCATGGTGGAATCTTTATACTAATGTGTTCAAGCAATTATGCATACCCTCAGTTTTTACACTTCTGCAAAATGTATTAATCTGTTCAAATATTAAGCGTCACTGGTGAAAAGCAAACACCTCTTTGTGGATTTTTTCATACACTTTGCCCTCATAGGTGTTGCTGGAGTCACAAAGCTTTGTCCCAATTCTATTGTTTGACAGCACAGGTCCCCAACACAAAACCTTTACATCTCTTCAATAATAGTGAGAGGAGAAAGAAAAAAGAAATTGAATGATGGCAGAACAGAAAAGATAGAAATAGATCATCTGCACAGTAGAGGACCATAATGCAGGGGAAAAATTTCAGTTTTCTTTTTTAAAGCAAGCTCCATGTGCAGCACCGCAAAGCATAACAACCCTGTTATACTGTGACAGACGGACACTTAAGTCAGACATAAACACTGAAATACTTTCCAGGGATCACTGTAGTGTTGTGGCGGGAAAAGAAGTCCACTGAGAGTTGTCACATGGGCCTTCTGTATGTTGAACTTCCTCAGTGCTTCATAGTGACGCAACTGCGACCTCTAGCTTTCAAATGGCCACATTGACAGTATTCAAATGAGAGTCCAAGGACAGTATCACTGAGAGAGGTTCACTGTATGTCTATTTATGACTTTAACTATAATGGCAGGATAATCATTTGGGATTATTTAAAGTGGCAGGATTGGTTTTTGTGGACACAAAAAAGAAGTAAAGGTGTTCTGAGATTATAGCAAACCAGTTTGTTGATTAAGAAGTTAATTGAGTCATACTGTATACAAAAATAATAATAATAATGATAAAAAAAAAAATGCATGAAGACATAATCATGCAAAATAATACACAGAAGACAAAATTAAGAGATTCAGATCTTCTAACTCCTAACTGGTGGGTCTGGTCCCAAAAGTGGGTTCAGAAGGTGAGCCCAAAAAAAAGTTGTGACAGAAGAGTCTTTGCTGGGCCTTATCCGTATCAGTGAACTTAAAACTAGTGAGTCTGGTGGTAGGTTCAGGAGACCATGATTAGATAGACCAGATCTTGAAGACCACAGCCAAGGGGGACGTGAACTGGCCACTTGAGACCATGATGGCAATCATAGTAGCAAACAAAGCTATGTAGCTGTATGTAGTTTGTCCATGTTAAAAGCAGGAACATCAAGACCGACTACACGATGAACCATAGAGCCACCCAGATTCACAAACTGCGTCAAGAACTTCAAGGCCTAAGAAAACAGCTCAGGAAGAAGAAAAACAACCACTCGCCGAGCTTTTCTGAGCAACATCCTGAGAAAGAAGCTCACAACGCTGTGCCAGGCAGAGTGTCACTGAAGGCAGGGGGAGGAAAGAGCAAGAAAGTGCACTGCTTTCATCTCCAAGCCTTTTACCTTAACCAAGAAGTTGTTAGATTACAAGCTTAACGACAACCTCATGTGCTCAACAGAGGATCCTTCCTGCATAACACCATGTATGACCCAGAGAGAGACCAGGAGGTTGGACCACAGGGGGCCCTCATAAGCCTACATCCTCCAACAGAAGCCTTGTAACAAGGGAGCCCAGATGGACTGAGGTTCAAGAGGTTGTGAAGGGTCTAGAAATCTAGAGATCCAGAGATCCAAAGGTGCCATCGGCCTGCATCCAGGTGCAAACAGATAGGAAATGGAGGGCAGACATGGCCCTGGGGGTGACTGAGTCTTGGCTGAGGCAGAAGGCACTGGTAGGGGTAGGATCCCCCGTCATTGGGTGTTCACATTCTGATCAACCCTGGTCGCGTTGCCTGTGCCAGGGTATTTGATGTTGAAGGACCCGAAACACCCAATGACCCCAGGTTACATCACTGATGATTTGTCCCGGTGCATCCACAAGCTGTATCTTTCATTCGGTACATCATGTGAATAGAGAGGAGCTTGTAGCCCTCCTTTTGAGAAGAAACAAAGTCTACAGATAAGGGGGGAAAAAAAGATAAAACATGATGAAAAAAGTCAAACATGTCAAGTTTCATACATATGCGATGGCCTTATAAAGAGTAAACTCTGTACATTCACAAAATGAGTCAACTATAGCAATTCCCTCCACACTGACTGTCTGTGGCTAGGATACAGAACTTATACTGCAGTGCTGAGTCTGCACTGAGGTCACACTGGTCTCAATCTAAGCACAAACTAACCTGCTCTTGTAGAAATGCATTCTCCTGTTGCTATGACAACAATGGTCTCCTTAAAGAAAAATGACTTATTTCTTATTTTACTTATTTACTACTTACATTTTTCAATGACAGCCACAAGACTTCAAAAGTGCAGACCACTAGAAAAATTCATGAAATCAAAATAAACAAGCAACCATGAACTGCAGGTAAATAAGAAATACAAATCAGATTTACCACAAATGGTTGTACGGTAGATTTTTGCAGTATTTGAGGCTTTACCAGGAATTTATTTTCATATCATATAAGACTGAGAAGTTGAGTATTTATTCCAATGGTGTACGCTTGATAGAAATTTGGCTTTAGCTCTTGCAAGGAACTTTAGGGTTGTGTCAAGTGTAATATCCCTTGTGGAGGAAGCAACATTTCATCACCCTATTAAAATAATGGCCTAAGTCATTTTTTAACAAAAATGAGTTTTTGGCTTAAATCATCTTTTGAGATGATTTAGAGATGATTTAGGCCAATAATTCTCATCGTAAAATCAATGCTGTTTTTTCAGGTGCCTGCCTGACACCTAACTCAGGTATTATCACAAATGTCGCTGATATTCTTGCTTGCCCTTAAGCATCCTAAAAGTATCAGTATGATCAATCAAATTCAATCGGCATTATTTATATAGCACATTTAAAAAAAAAAAAAACATTTAAGCTTACAAAAGTGCTGCACAATAAAATTAAAAGAACAGACAATGCAGAAAACATCAAGATGCAATAATTAAAAGCAAGTAAAAAAAAGAACATTAAAAATGAAATAAACATAGCATAAAAGCATTAAAGAAATAAATTGATAAAAGGACCATAAAGGACATAAAAGGACAGAGATCACACAACTCTCATGCTGAGCTAAAAACCAAGGGATAAAAATGAGTTTTAAGACGTGATTTAAAAGTAGAAAGAGTGGGAAGTGGTTTTGAATAAATTTGAGTCTATTTTCAAAATATGAGAAAACTTCACATAGGAGCTTCAAAGACAGAGGATTAATGACAATGCCATGGGCCTAAATTTCTCCAGATGATATTCTTAGATGAAAACAACCAATTAAATTTTAACATTGAGTTTAACAGTCTTTTCCGTAAAAACTATTACAGTGACTAATGTGCAATCAGACAAAAATGTAAATTACTGTTTAATCTGAAAAGAGGAGAAGGTTCAATAATCAGCCGTTATTTCTTAGCTTTTGAATAGACTCTACAACATTTAAACTGATTATTTAGGAACGCCTCTCGCACAGGTATGGAAAATATTGTTGTCTTGCGATATTGTTGCCTGCGCATTCACGGAGCGCGTTCACGTCAGAGTCAAGTGGGAGTGGTTAGCTGGTTGACTATAGCGTGACAGCTCCTCGCCCACCTGACATTACTTACTCACTCGGTCCACATTGACGGCGGCTGTGAGAAGCTAGAGGCAACTTTAAAGCCAGTAAAAACCTTCCTCCTCTTCTTAGAAGCTACTACCAAGAATCTACAATGGTAAGTGTTTTTCATTATTATCTTTTCTTTACATATTGGAGAGAAGTTTCCACTCTTCCGTTTATTTATCCTTTACAGCGAAGTTAACGTTTGTTCAGCAGTTGCGTTTTGACGCATACGTCAGTCACTGTTCAGGAAATAAAAGTGTTAAATATATCAGAGTGAAGGTGCGAACGAGCAGCTCTGTTCTGCTCTCTCTGTACTCCTGCAGCAGCTCTCGTGTCAGAAATAGACTCAGTGACTGGCAGTAAAGCTGAGCTGGCTGCTGGCCTGGAAGAGCAGGTGCTGATGATTAGTCTACGTCTTCAGCACACCAGGAAAAACAAACATATCCAACTTCACAAACAGTATATTTTGTTCTTTTCTGTGTTCTTTACCTATCTGTACCTATAATAACTTTGACAGAGATAAGTGTTTTATTCCTAAGAGCGTAAAATCCAGTCAGGTAAGGAATTTAGGCGTGTCTCATGAGAAACTGTCAGCAAGTCAGCACAGATTGAGACCAGGGCCAGTTTTTTTTCTTCTCTGCAATACGGGAGCTTCCCTTTTTCAAATTCAAAGTGAGCTGCATAAATTGTAAAAGTGACTCACCATGCAAGTACAGCTCAGGCTTTGCTGCTTTAGTGAAACCAACAATACAATGTTGTTTGGATATGTAGAAAGCAAAGTCACATGCTTTCCACAATAACAGTGGAATCAGACTAAAAGCTAATCCCTGCTGCATGAAGTTGATTGTAATAACTGTACAATATGGCCCAATGTTTCTGGGCCAGGAACCAGCACCCAAACACGGGCTAATCTTTGGTCTGTTTGCACAGTAGTATAAACACAGCTTGTTAGCATTGCCGAAACTGTGACCAAACGGTGTCATTGTGTACACTTCTGCTGTATTCCCGCCCTTATCAAACAGCTCTGATCACTAAAGTGCAGTTCATATACTAGAGTTAGGTTCAAATCCTTACTTTATCCTGGCATACAGCAAAAGTTACAATCAAACAACTGTAATTTAGATTGTTAAGGGAGCCTCAACTATCATTTAAAAAAGGGTTAAAGAATTACAAGCTGAAGATCATAAGTCAGTTCACATGGCTGTTTCACTCCACGAAGGACATTTCTATAATTGGCATAATCCAAGCTTGTTACACAATTCAATTACAAGTAATGTCCAGTTAAAGCATGACACATAAAATTACATCTGAAGCCTACTCTAAAGGGAGGCATTTAAAGAATAGAGTATTAATAAAACAAACCACCAGTTTCCTCAATTATGTGCAACGGCAGATCAAGTCCTATTTGGCCTCGCCTGTTTGCTGATGGCGCTTGTTGTTGGACTCTTCCTATCTTAAACACACACTCTTAAAGCCGGCCTGACCACATATCATGTTCATTTTCACAGTTAAAACAAGCATGAATGGAGACAGATGTGGATCAGTTAGTTAGCATGTGGGGCCTAATCAAGCTGCTCAGTGACACATCAGTTGAATCAGTCCGGGCCATCACCACAGGAAAGACCCGTGACTTCCTTTTTATTCATAAAGATCAGCAGTTACTATGGTAATGTCCACATTAAACTGAATGACACAGTTGGTTTAAGTCTTCAGCAGGATTATGACTTCAGTGATAGACCAGGATCTTATCTGAAGTATAATCATCTACACACCTGTCATCTTGGGTGTAGACACTGTTTTGTTTAATCATCATCTATCTCCACCTTTTGGTGATGGTAAATTACATCTGTAGAAGCATAACTTTGTTCCATTTTTATCTGTCTGCCTCTGAAAGGATCCTGAGTGAGTTAATAGGCAATTATGACAGAAACAAACCGGAATCTCGAGTTCATATGGACGAAACGTAGACATGCTGTTGTTTTTGTCATCCAGACACACCCTGACAGGTTCTTGAAGGTTTGGCATTTGGCAGTACTCTGTCTCTTGTCTTGAACTGGCAGTTACTCATACATGAACTCATAGGGGACAATACCCCATTCACTTGTAACGTCATGTTCACAGGACATGAATCATTTTCACCTTCAGTGTAAAAGCAGTTGTTTCCAAATTGCAGAACACTCCCAAACGATTGGGTGTAAAATTCAACTCAGCAGTGACCTCTATTTTGGAAGCTGCCAGTCAGTGTTTACTGAAACAGTCAGCCTCTGCTGCTAGGTGTCAGGTTAGCATAAGACACCTAAAATAGCTGCTGCACAGAGCTCTGCTAACCTGGAAAACTAGGGTCACTGCTGCAGCACATAGATATGGCTGATGAACCAGGGAATACTAAAAATATTCTTTTGACCTATATGGACTAAGTGAGAAGGAAACTGAAGTTGTGTCTGGTGATTCTCTTCTACTTTGCAGAGAGGCTAGCCCCCCCCCTCAGCTACCAGCACATGGATTAATCCTTCCATATGCAATACATCATGATCTGATAAGACTTTAGGCACCAATTCAAATTGATAGAGGGGAATGGCAACCAGATAGGAATGTGTGACTTCAGGCTAATCTATATCTGACACTCAAAGAAGCTATGGTTCAAAAAGCCTGTTAAAATCTGTTCTTTCCTTCTGATTGATATACCAAGTTTCCTGCCTTTGTCCAGTGCAAACAGAGATGCAAGCCAGAGATACTTGTATCTAACCCGAAGGGTGGAATCTCTGATAGTGGATAGGTATTTCTAAAATTTGAGTCGCCCAAACTTGCTCTGTGCCTCAGGCCTCAATTCCAAGTACATCTGTTGTGGTTCTGCGAGAACAAGAAGAAATTTGTCGACTCTGATTGTATCATTTTCCCTTATTTGATTCCATACAGAAACAAAGGAAGCTTTTAAAGATGCTTAAACTTACAAATCAGCCTTTATAACATACAGAGAACACCAGATTAGTATTACACAGTCAGGCATTAAAATGGTTGTTTTCTTGAGTAGCGTTATCCTCTTACTCTCAAAAGTGATTTACAAATTTCAACACTGGCATACTATTTTGCATCACAGAGAGACTCATTCAAATAAAGCAATGCAGATCTTGTGACTCATACAGAGGGTATTTTAAAGACCAAATCCCTTTTCTCCTTCTTAATACACCATATAGTTTATTCAGTACAGTCATTGCAGTGAAGCTGATTTCAGTCATCTTTGTAGCAGAAGGGTTAAGTGCTCAGTTGTTCTCTGAACTCAGCCTTGCTCAGACAGTCACAAGATCGACTGACAGCTGCAGTAAATCTGTTTTGCCAGTTCTTTCAACTTTAAACCTCCCCCCACTAATAAATTTGGCTTCAGCCCTCTGGCAAAGTGTCTAAAATATGAACCACTGGGCTTGTGTGTGAAAACTGGTCACATTCAAGAACAACTTGTACTCCACTAGAGTTTACGGTAGTTTCTCCATGTCATCTCGCCTGCGTTTTTCAAGCAACTTCTTTTGTTTCTCTCTTTTTTTTTCTCCTCCAGCGTGAATGTATCTCTGTCCACGTAGGCCAGGCTGGTGTCCAGATGGGAAACACCTGTTGGGAGCTTTACTGTCTGGAACACGGTATCCAGCCGGACGGTCACATGCCCAACCTGAAGACTCCAGGAACCAAAGATGACTCATTCACCACCTTCTTCAGTGAGACCGGAGCTGGAAAATATGTCCCCAGAGCCATTTTTGTTGACCTTGAACCCACTGTCATTGGTCAGTAGTATTATGAGTTAACTTTTTTTTTTTTTTTTGTTTATATCAAGAATTGAAACCTTAGGCTTCTGATGTTCATGTCAATAACCCCCCCAAAAGTTTCCTTTTCTGACAATTTCAGACTTTTTAGTGGAAAACTGGGAGTGTCTCAAGTTGAGGATCCTCCCTTCATTAAATATTCATTCCATGTTATTGTTTCTTTCTTCAGATGAGGTGCGAACGGGATCATATCGTCAACTCTTTCACCCTGAACAGCTGATTTCTGGAAAAGAGGATGCAGCCAACAACTATGCCCGTGGCCATTACACCATTGGCAAAGAGATCATTGACTCTGTCCTTGACAGGATCCGTAAACTGGTAAGGTTTCTGAAGAAAGTCCTCAAATCTTGCACACTTTTAGCTGTGCTGTACCCAGTCCTCACTCTACATCCTGTTTATCTTGGTTCTTTCTATCTGTAGAGTGATCAGTGTACAGGCCTCCAGGGGTTCCTGGTCTTCCACTCCTTTGGTGGGGGAACTGGCTCAGGTTTCACCTCCCTGCTCATGGAGAGACTCTCTGTTGACTTTGGTAAAAAGTCTAAGCTTGAGTTTGCCATCTACCCAGCCCCTCAGGTCTCCACTGCAGTAGTGGAGCCCTACAACTCCATCCTGACCACCCACACCACCCTGGAGCACTCTGACTGTGCCTTCATGGTGGACAATGAAGCCATCTATGACATCTGCCGCAGGAACCTTGATATTGAACGCCCATCATACACCAATCTGAACAGGCTCATCAGCCAGATTGTTTCTTCAATCACAGCCTCTCTTCGTTTTGATGGAGCCCTGAATGTTGATCTGACAGAGTTCCAGACCAACTTGGTGCCCTACCCTCGTATCCACTTCCCTCTGGCCACTTATGCCCCAGTCATCTCCGCTGAGAAAGCCTACCATGAGCAGCTGTCTGTTGCTGAGATTACAAACGCCTGCTTTGAGCCAGCCAATCAGATGGTGAAGTGTGATCCTCGCCACGGTAAATACATGGCCTGCTGTCTGCTGTATCGTGGTGATGTGGTGCCAAAGGATGTCAATGTCGCCATTGCTGCCATCAAGACCAAACGCACCATCCAGTTTGTGGACTGGTGCCCCACAGGCTTCAAGGTGGGCATCAACTATCAGCCTCCAACCGTGGTTCCTGGAGGAGACCTGGCCAAGGTGCAGAGGGCTGTGTGCATGCTGAGCAACACCACCGCTATTGCTGAGGCCTGGGCCCGCCTTGACCACAAGTTTGACCTCATGTATGCCAAGAGAGCCTTTGTCCACTGGTATGTTGGAGAGGGAATGGAGGAAGGAGAGTTCTCAGAGGCCAGAGAAGATATGGCTGCCCTGGAGAAGGATTATGAAGAGGTTGGGGTCGACTCTTTCGATGAAGATGAGGAGGGGGAGGAATATTAGACAGGCTCAGCTGGGATTTTTTTAAGTTGTTTTCACAGACATAAGAGTCTATTTATTTTACAAATAATGCCCAAGTTACAAAATATATTTTGTGTTTTGGTTTCAATTCTACAAATTGTTTTTATTTCCCTCTGTAATTGAAAATTTTCTTACTTTGCAGCTGTGGTTGTAAGTTTTCTATGTGCCTGCAGAACCATTGTAGAACAACTTTTGAGTCCATTAAAACCATTCATTAATTTGTTTAGTTAAAACAATGGAACATTGTGCAATACCTAGACTTTTCTAAGTTTGAAAATGTGTTGTTGCTCAATAAAAAATTCCTCCATATACTGCCTTCTTTGTTGTCTATCTATACAGTATAGATTAACCCCTGTATATCATAAGTGATGGGGAAACATATTAGTGACTTACTCTGACCTCTTTGAGAAGAACAAATGGCTCACTTGCTTCTCCACGTTTGTCTGCAGATTTTCAGATTGGCTGACTCGTTCAAACTCCATATGATTATCAATCGAATTAACTTTTGCCAGTCTGACAAAGGGGACATAGGTGAAATGCGACATGAAGTCTGACTGGTAGCCTGAAACTATGATTGACTTATTACCTTGTCACTGGAGGGATTTATGTTTAAATTTAGAGCCCGAAAAGAATAAAGTTTTGTGAAGTAGCTTGACCTGCTGTTTTTTAAGTTAAACAATTGAATGCAGAAATATTAAAGGACTAAAGGATAAACAGAAACAATTAGTTCTGACGGAGAGGGTAAAGAAATTAACATGAATACAGTCGGTCCATGTACTTGGTACAAATTTCAAATGGAAAAACGAAAATCCTGAGATGTGCTGTCTCCTGACAACCAGTACTGAATCAGGTGACGAAAAACAGAAAACAAACTCTTTTCCGTTTTATCGTTTTGATCACAAAGATTGGAGAATGAAGAAACAACTCAGTATTTAACTTTGATGTGCCTTGAAAAGGAAATTGAAGATCAAAATATGTGCATGGAAATCTTGTGTTTCAAGTTTCATTCACTTTTTTTTGTGACCCAGAGTTGGAGCGAGACTTTGGCTCTTGTTAGCAAAGATAAGAATAGATACCCCAGCGCACTGTTGAGGCCCACTTAAAGACGTGCCTACGACTTGCAGCTGCTGCTTCCCATTGTTTCTTTTTCAAACTAAAGTCAGGATCAATTTTCTCCACCAACTCTGCCGCCTGAAGCTGCAAAGGTGGGTCCGTGCCAAATGAAAAGAAAAAAAAAAAGCTTACAGCACCCGGTATTCCCCGGCAGTCTCCCATCCAAGTACTAACCAGGCCTGACCCTGCTGAGCTTCCAAGATCTGGTGGGGGTTTTTTGTTTGTTTGTTTTGTTTTGTTTTTATTTTTAATTATGAAAAATAATTCCAAATTTACAATCTGAATGTTTACACAAGACAACATCTACAGTAAAGTAAAACAAACACTAATGACGAGTGCAAAAAGTACAAACCCAAAAGACAAAAAAACAAAACATTACAAGATTCTTCTAATCAAGAAAAGGAAGGATCAAATTAAAATGAACAGAAAGCCCAAAAAATCATCTCAAGGAAAAATAAACCCAAACCCAAAGAAGGTAAAAATTAAAATTATAAAAAACATCTTAATGTTGACAGAAATAAAAAAGCACATTATCTGAATCCCATACCAAACAGAAAAAGGAGAAAACTTTATTTCACAGCCGTGAGTATTTAACTATTGCAAAAATAAAAGAGCAACACTCCCTCCAAATAAGAATGTAAAACAATGCAAATAAGCTATACAAATGCAAAAAAAAAAAAAAAAAGGATATAGATAACATGGAAAATGGCTGGAAATGGCTGTACAGAGGCTAAATCCGTCAATACAGCTGTTAATAGCAATATCATAGGGCTTTAGTTTATCATATGAGTTTATATGCCATGAGGTGTTGAGGTCTCTGCATGTGTAGGTTACTGACTTACTGTAATCATCGGGTCTATCTCGTCCTTATAAAAACCTGCTCTATTACGGCGAGTGTCTGTCTTCTTCTGTAGTCAAACCGTAAGATATCAAAATCTACCCGGATACAGCAATGCTGCTTTTTTATTGGCTGTTCAGTAGATATACTTTATTTGATTGTCTTGCGCGTCGCACGCAGCTTCTGAACTCTCGGAGGAACTCGGTTGATTCCTACCTGTTCCATAGTTAAAGAGGTGCAACTTGGTGGACGTCACCATGTTCATTTAAATGCGTGAGAAACAGACATGTTTTGAAAATAGTAGATATGGCGACCGAAACATTTGAGTCTCGAATAGCACATAGCCATAGTAAACACCATTACATTCGGGTACACTCGTGTGGCTAACACCAGAGCTAATCCACTGCTCTGCTTTGATGTTGACTAAAACCACAGGAAATTACACAATTTTAACCCGGAAACGCCATAAAATCTCAACTTTTTACCTGATTAATGCAGTCAAAGTTATTTTTAACATGTTTTTTTTAACCTACCTTGAGGTATATTTGAGATTAATATATAAATAAATGATTCATAGACTGAGAAACAGACTGTGAGTGTGTTTCAAGGGGAAAAAAATAATGTGTCAGGACATATTTAGCAGATATACTGTTTTTTAAGTTACAAGTGACTTCATGTTAAAGCTACTGTGGGGAATTTTCAGCCAATTATAACTGACTGATATTGATAGGGATGCCTCTGTGTGGCCTTAAAAAGCAAATCAGACCACCTTTGAAGGGTTTGTTCATCTCTACAAAGTTATTTGTGAGGTTAGAAACTGTTGTCAGGGGTATAGATGTCAGATGATTTAGCTAAATTGAAGCTTTTTAAAAAGGCTTTTTCAAAAATATCGCAGGTGAAGATGACCAATGACTTTTAAAATTGAGCAGGGAGATTGTTTGTTTGAAAACAAGACTTAACACAATTTGAAAGAGAGGTTATGAAAAGAAGCATAAGAAGCAACACAAACCAAAAATTCCTCACGGGAGCTTTAAGAAAGAATTGATAACACCTGATTTGTGTCCATGATGATTTAACTCATCAGGTGACACCAAAATTCATCCTGTGAACAAAATGAGTTTGTTACCATCTCTGGAGTTCCCGAGGAGGCTTTTGCTGATCTTTATGATCAGAGAGAGGAGACACACGCTTTTCTCTCTAATGGAGTAAAAATAGTTTTGATTTGTCAGTAACAGGATCAACTGAAAGATAAACCAAAACTAATGCTTATAACAACACTGAAGTCCAGACTGGTATTCCTATGCTTTACTTACACTACATCACTTAAAAAACCAAGAACAACTCCATTTCTTCTCCTTTGGTTTCTTGTTTTTCTCCCCAGGTGGGGATGCTGTGGAGCCAGCCAGACCCTTGGAGGTGAAATCTCTGCAGACACAAGCACACACCATTACCGTGTGGTGACATTTGTTTTAACAACCTGTAGTGATGTTTTTAAAGGAGTCTGCAGTGACTAGTCAACATTTATCTTTTGTGGCTGCACAAATAAACAGCTGATTGTTGGAGCAGTTTACTCACCTCCGCTGATGGCTGATTAGACTTGTGACTTTTCTCTGTGGAGTAACAACAAATATAAAAATGAAAACCCACTGTGTCAAATATTTTTAGTGTCTGATTTTAAATGTCACATTTATAAAATGATCTTATTTTAACAGCTCTGAAACATACCAGAGGTTGACCAAACAGCCTGTGCAGCCAAAAGTTCTTTGGGCAGCAGTTTTCTGCGTTAGAAGCCTCTGACGCAGTGTCACTGGTCAACACAGAAACACAGGTTGGTTATTTTAATGAACAAAACAAATCCATAAACAGAAATATCTGCAGAGACACATGACAGTCACACAGACTCAAACCATGGTGATATTCAGACGATAAAATACAATAAACACGCACTGGATGGTCTTTGAGAAAGTATCAGAGTCAAACTGAAAAAGTGTCTTTATGTATCAAAAATAATACAGCACACTCACAGTGATTTAAAATACCTGAAGGTTATTCCCTGTTTTTGTGTTGTTGTTATTGATAAATGAACCCCCTCTTTGTTCACACTTATTCATTAAAAACCTAAGTGCTGAATCTCTTTAAGTTGACACAGCGTTTTTAAAACAAAGCTTTTTTAATGCATATTATCCGGGAAAGGCCTCATACAAAACATGTTTTTGCTTCAATTTCAAACACAGTGAATTAAAATGGTCTTTGTTTCCCTTACTGGGAATTTCCCCTTGTGGGACTAATAAAGGAGTATCTTATCTATCATACCTGACTTTACTAGTTTTTGACTAGAGACTCCCAGTAAGAGCAAACGATGATAAAACTTCTTTATTTCATTTAGTGTTTTTACACATTTCCTTTGTCTGACTGATTAATTGATCAGTAAATGTCTTATGTGAAGCCTTTGAATTGTCTTATTCAGTTAAAATAACCACTGAAATGTATCACATAAATACATGTGTCTTGTGACAAAAACAGTATGAAACACAGTGTAAGTCCAAAATCAAATCCTAAATTTGCGAATCTTTAGATTTTTGCTGGCACTGTCACAGATTTAACTCTGAACTGTCTCAGATTATAATCTGCTGGGAGGTCTCTGTCATGTTTCAAATGTTACACTCTGCATATTAAATGCAAAAAAAGGTAAAAGATTGTTTTAGAGACACATTGGTAAACTACTGTTTAATATCACACCCCTATAAATTTGAGTTTGCATTTTACTGTCATCATAAGTTAAACGTGTTTCTTACCTCATGTTGAAGCTCGACCAGGCAATTCTCAGAAAAAAACTAAAGGAAACAAAAAAAGCAAAAGAATAGTATTTCTGAAAAAAAAAACAACTTTAAAAAAACTTTACAACAGGTAGAAACATAAAATAACGAAAGAAAAAAGAAAAAGAATAGTATTTCTGAAAAAAACAAAGGAAAAAAAACTAAACTAAAAAAACTTAAAACAGGCAGAAAAAAAACTAAAGAAAACTAAAAAAATAAGAAAAAGAATAGTATTTCTAAAAAAAACTTAAAAACAAAAAAAAACTAAAAAATTAACTTAAAACTGGAAGAAAAAAAACAAAAGACAACTAAAAAAACAAGAAAGAATAGTTTTTCTAAAAAAAACCTTACAACAGGCAGAAAAAAAATGAAGAAAACTAAAAAAACAGAAAGAAAAGTATTTCTGAAAAGAACACCCTATATATAAATAACAAAAACCTAAAAAAACTAAAAAAAAGGATAGTATAAACAAAATAAAAAAACAGAAACAAAAGTATTTCTGAAAAGAACACCCTAAATATATATATATATATATATATATATATATATATATATATATATATATATATATATATAAAACAAAAAACTTAAAAAAATTATCTTAAAACTGGCAGAAAAAAAAATAAAGAAAACTAAAAAAAGAAGAAAAAGAATAGTATTTCTAAAAAAAAAAACTTACAAAAAAACCCAAAACAAAAACACTAAAAAAAAGAGCAGAAAAAAACTCCCTAAATATATATATATATATATATATAACCAAAAAAACTAAAAAGAAAAACTCAAAAAACTAAACTAAAAACTAAAAAAAGAAGAAAAAGAATAGTATTTCTAAAAAAAAACTTAAAAAACATAAAAAACTAAAAGAAACTAAAAGAAAAGAAAAGGATATTATAAACAAAATAAAAAAAAACAGAAACAAAAGTATTTCTGAAAAGAACACCCTAAATATATATATATGTATATATATGACAAAAAACTAAAAAAAAATAAAAAATTAACTTAAAACTGGCAGAAAAAAACTAAAGAAAACTAAAAAAAGAGAAAGAAGAGTATAAACAAAATTTAAAAAAAACAGAAAGAAAAGTATTTCTGAAAAAAACACCCTAAATATATGTATTTATATATAACAAAGAAAACTAAAAAAAAGACTAAAAAAAAAACTTTAAACAGGCAGAAAAAAAACTAAAAAAAACTAAATAAAAAAAGGATAGTATAAACAAAATAAAAAAAACAGAAACAAAAGTATTTCTGAAAAGAACACCCTATATATATATATAAATATATATATATATATATATAAAACAAAAAACTTACAAAAAATTATCTTAAAACTGGCAGAAAAAAAGTAAAGAAAACTAAAAAAAGAAGAAAAAGAATAGTATTTCTAAAAAAAAAAAAAAAACACTAAAAAAAACTTGAAACAGGCAGAAAAAAAACTCCCTGAATATATATATATATAAAACCAAAAAAACTAAAAAGAAAAACTCAAAAAACTAAACTAAAAACTAAAAAAAAGAAGAAAAAGAACAGTATTTCTAAAAAAAAAACATAAAAAACTAAAAGAAAAGGATAGTATAAACAAAAAAAAAAAACAGAAACAAAGGTATTTCTGAAAAGAACACCCTAAATATATATATATATATATATATATATATATGACAAAAAAATAAAAAAACACTAAAAAATTAACTTAAAACTGGCAGAAAAAAACTAAAGAAAACTAAAAAAAGAAAAAAAGAATAGTATTTCTAAAAAAAAAAACTTACAACAGGCAGAAAAAAACAAGCACCCTAAACCCGGTGTTTTGCACAGAAAAAAAAACCCTTGCGGTTTTTCCCTCCCATGTGAGGGTTTTTTCCCCTCCTTGAGCTACCACCTTACCGTGGTGGAGAGGGTTGTGTGTCCCAATGATCCCAGGAGCTATGTTGTCAGGGCTATGCCTCTGAAAGGTCACCCAAGGCAAACAGGTCCTGGGGGAGGGACCAGACTAAGAGTAGCTCATCCAGACAGAGGTGCCAGGAAAAAAAAAAAGGAAAAAAAAAAAAAAACTGAAGAAAAAAAAAACTACAGAAAACATCATGTCATTGCATTGCTCGGGAGGTACGGAATGACAACGGCGGACATTAAGTGCAGACCTCTTCTGACAGTTCGCCTCAGAGTGGGGTTTTGTTCACACGACCTCCAGCCCCAGATATCCGCAATGCAATGGGGAGGTTGAAAAAGCAGTAAGAACTGTGAAGGACCTCCTGAAAAAATGCGCTGACCCATACATGGCCCTCATGTAATATCAGGCCACTCCGCTTGCCACTTGCTGATGGGGAGAAAGCTACGTACGACAGTTCTCCCATCTTGTCTGAACCCAAAATGGCCAAATGTCAAAGCCCTGAGAAAGAAAGAACAGAGGGAGAGAGAGAAACAGCAGAAATGGTTCAATGACAGACACAGGGCCCGCAACATGGCCAGCCTGAACCCTGGTGACCGCGTCTGGGTCACCGATATGAAGGAGAAGGGGACAGTGACAGCTGGAGCTGACACAACACGCTCCTACATCATTGACACGCTCCAGAGGGAATCTGCGGCGCAACTGAAGTCATCTCGTCACCTTGCCTGGGGCCGGCGCTGGACCTAAAGCCCCAAAGACCCCTGCTTCGCCAGCGGACATCGCACCGGTCCACGATCCAAGAGACCAGGTTACTGTGAGGCCCAACACTACACCGCCGAGGGTCCAAGCGATGGAGAGGCGTTACCCTACCAGAGAGAGAAACCCTCCGAGGTACCTTATGAACTTTGAATCAGATAGAAGGTACTCTCGTAACTCTGAGTGACCAGCCCTCACTCAGATGAAGGAATGGGTACTTGGAGTGACTAACAAAAGAATGGGCTAAGGATAATCTGCAACCCTCCGAGGTACCTTATGAACTTTGAATCAGATAGAAGGTACTCTCGTAACTCTGAGTGACCAGCCCGGGGCAGAATAATCCCCTCACTCAGATGAAGGAATGGGTAGTCCACCCCACCTTCATAGTTAGGGAAAGAAAGGAAAGATAAGTGAGTGTGATACAATGGTGTTGTTAAACAGTTTGGAATATTTTGATTTATTTTGAAGTTACTTGGAGTGACTAACAAAAGAATGGGCTAAGGATAATCTGCAACCCTCCGAGGTACCTTATGAACTTTGAATCAGGATAGAAGGTACTCTCGTAACTCTGAGTGACCAGCCCGGGGCAGAATAATCCCCTCACTCAGATGAAGGAATGGGTAGTCCACCCCACCTTCATAGTAAGGGATAGAAAGGAAAGATAAGTGAGTGTGATACAATGGTGTTGTTAAACAGTTTGGAATATTTTGATTTATTTTGAAGTTACTTGGAGTGACTAACAAAAGAATGGGCTAAGGATAATCTGCAACCCTCCGAGGTACCTTATGAACTTTGAATCAGATAGAAGGTACTCTCGTAACTCTGAGTGACCAGCCCGGGGCAGAATAATCCCCTCACTCAGATGAAGGAATGGGTAGTCCACCCCACCTTCATAGTTAGGGAAAGAAAGGAAAGATAAGTGAGTGTGATACAATGGTGTTGTTCAACAGTATGGAATATTTTGATTTATTTTGAAGTTACTTGGAGTGACTAACAAAAGAATGGGCTAAGGATAATCTGCAACCCTCAGAGGTACCTTATGAACTTTGAATCAGGATAGAAGGTACTCTCGTAACTCTGAGTGACCAGCCCGGGGCAGAATAATCCCCTCACTCAGATGAAGGAATGGGTAGTCCACCCCACCTTCATAGTTAGGGAAAGAAAGGAAGGATAAGTGAGTGTGATACAATGGTGTTGTTAAACAGTTTGGAATATTTTGATTTATTTTGAAGTTACTTGGAGTGACTAACAAAAGAATGGGCTAAGGATAATCTGCAACCCTCCGAGGTACCTTATGAACTTTGAATCAGATAGAAGGTACTCTCGTAACTCTGAGTGACCAGCCCGGGGCAGAATAATCCCCTCACTCAGATGAAGGAATGGGTAGTCCACCCCACCGTCATAGTTAGGGAAAGAAAGGAAA